TCATGCTCGCCAGCGTAGAGGGATGCTCCCACCCAAGCACATTCTCTCGCAACGCCAGCGTCTCCCGGTTCATCGATTCCGCCTCTTCGTACTTGCCTTGGCTGTCTAGCACGAGCGCCAAGTTGCCCATGCTCGTCAGCGTGTCGGGATGCTCCGGCCCAAGCACCTTCTTCTTCCGCGCCAGCGTCTCCTGGTTCATCGATTCCCCCTCCTCGTACTTGCCTTGGCGCTCTAGCATTCCCGCCAAGTTGCTCATGCTCGTCAGCATGTCGGGATGCTCCCACCCAAGCACCTTCTCTCGCAACGCCAGCGTCTCCCGGTTCATCGACTCCCCCTCCTCGTACTTGCCTTGGCTTTCAAGCGCTTCTGCCAGGTAGTTCATGCTCGTGAGTGTGTCAGTATGCTTATCCCCCAACTTCCTTTTTCTCAACGACAGTGCCTGTCGGTGCACTGTCTCTGCAGCAGAGTATTGCCCGAGGCTAGATTGGCATCGCCCTATCCGATCTAGAAGCGAGGCTTTGGCTGTCTCCTCCAACACGCTGTCCGGTCTAGTCACATGAATCGCATGCGCGAGGTACCCCGTCCATACCTCTTTCCTCACGTGTCCACCTCGCGGAAGCAGCTCCTCAAGTCGCGCCGCTGCTCTCGCTGTCCAAGCCGGCCCTTCGCCATGTCTGTCCAACCACCATACCGATGCCATGTGGACCAGTCGGTGCATGTCGAAGCACTTCTCGCTGCCCGGCTCCTGTGAAGCCTGCTGCCGCTCCGTGACGAACGCATATCCTTTCAGCGTCCCGATCGCTTTGGTCTGCTGCAGCACCGAGCCGCCGCGAGGCAACAGGGACCGGGAAACGTTGATGCGGTCGATGCATGCCATGAACGAAAGACACTCCGCAGCAAGCCGGTCTTGCCTCTGGATCTGGTCGAACGAGATGTGCCATGTCCTAGCGACTGTGCTTTCCATCTCTTTGTACCGGCTAGGGTCCTCGAAATGCTCGCCGAAGAGCTCGGTCCTGGTGCCTGTTGCCCAGAACAGCGAGAGATACTCGGATACTGGGACGTCGTTGCTGTTGATGAAAGCAGCCGCCTGCACAACGGCAAGCGGTAGATACTGAAGTGACTCCAGTAGTTGGTCTGCAGCTTTCTCCTCGTCAAGCAACCTTGGTTTCGATATCCGCCGCGCAAGCAGCTGCCGCGCTTCTGTTTTGCTTATATCGTCTAGCTGCAGAACATGGCTCGGAGTCAGCTCTTCGGCAGCTTTCCTACTCCGTGTCGTGAACAAGATCTTGCCTTTGTCGTTATGCGGGAGATGGTCCTGCAGACGAGCCGACCCGGCATGGACGCTAGTGCCGTTTGCGAGCACTCCAAGATCGTCCGCATTGTCCACAATCATCACCCAGTGACCCGCGCCGTCTAAACTCAGCGCATCCTTGACGAGCTGCTTGATGTCCACGTTGTCCTCGGTGATGCCGGGCACGCGGAGGCGGATTCCTATGTCGCGAAAGGCAAGTTCGAAGCTCTGGCGACTGATGGCAGGCACCCAGAAAACGGGACGTCCAGCGTCTTGAATCAGTGTGCGGTAGGCAAGCTCAAGGGCCAGCGCCGATTTCCCACAGCCGCCCAGCCCTTGGACTGACATGCGGTAGGGTGTGCTAGAATCGATGAAGCGTTCGAGAGAGCGAAGCTGGTCTTCTCGCCCGACAAACAACGCGTTCCTCGGAAAGGGTAACGGGGAAGGAGCTGCACTTTGTTATTTGGTACTGAGGACTGCTGCCTCGCGAACGTACCTGTCAAGTCACGTACATGTTCCGTTCCGTGCCCTTTCTGCCGCCTCTGTATTTCTTCCTCCAGGCGCAGCCTTGCGTATGCTTCTCCTTCGCCGTAGATAAGCGGCAGGAACACTCCACATATCCCCAGTAGACAATACACCCTATCCTCCTCCAACGTTGTTATACGCCTAGCTGCCCAGCTTATCCGCTCCTCGACGCTGAACTCGCTCAGACCCTGTCCTCTGAGCACTTTAACAGGAATCTTGGTGATCTTGTGGATCTCTTGCTCCAGCGACATCCTGCTGCCTAGCTGCTTGCCCTCCTTGGAGAAGAACTCGACTGTGGGTGGCGCAAGCAGCTCTTGCAGCGTCCAGCCTCGCATGAACCATCGGCTCTGTCGAAATGCAGCCTCCCACGAAATCGGATACACTTGGGCGTCGGTGACTTCATTTGGAACCTCGACATCGGACAGGTATACGTAGCACTTGCGTGCCCGCTGGTACCAGCGGAACATGGAGTTGATCGCAGTGCTGACTTCGACGCTGGTGCTCTTGTCGATGCAGCAGGTGTCCACCCACGAGTACTGCAGGCCATCCTGGTGCGCTCTGTCTACGCAGAAGTTGAGTTTGTCGTGGCCGGCCTTGTCCTTTCCCATGCCAGCGACCAGCTCATGGTAGGAGACTTCCTGGCCCTCGGCCCACGTGTGCGACAGGATGGCATACGGAGGGAGGTTCTTGTTGTCGCTGAACGGTACCAGTTCGAGACCGCCGTTCGGCGAGCGCTTCAGAAGACGCATCGGACCGCCGAGTATTTCCGTGAGCAGCGAAAACTGGCCGGGATCGATGGTAGTGCATGCGTGCTGTCGTGTAGAATAAGCGGTGCAGAGCAGCGGCACACATCTCCCAGCCTGCTTGCGGCTGCACGTGGGAACTCATCGACGAGGCTGCAGGCTGTCGCTTAGCAGGTGCCTAGGTTGAGTACTGGCTTATTCAGACGCTGCACAGCCACTGATCGATCAGCTGCCGGCCTGATGTGTACCGCACTGTAAGTACATCATGACACGCGGATTATGCAGGGTATGCAGGGCTGCACTGCATTAGCTAAGATTGGCTGTCGCTTCCACCAGAAGTACCGATCAGCGAGGCAGCCCTGCAGAAGATTGCGCGCCACAGCAAGCACAAGGCCAATAACAATTTCCCCACATCGTAGCAAGGCTGCGATGCTCCGATATGATTATTCATGACTGTTATTGAGTAAGGAGAGGCAGATAGCAGCAATGTAGGAAGGGCTGTCTCTTATGCTATAGGACAAGGTTCTCTACAAGTTGCGCGCGGAAACGACGACGCGATTGTATATTTTGATAGGAGCAGTGCTAGTGTATTCGGAATACACTTGAATACATAATCTATTAGAAAGTATAAGAAAGACGGCTGTTTGCGCAGAGTTGTTATCGCTCAAAGCCAAAGTACCCCTGCTATTTTCGGTTACGGGGGTTTTTCGGTAACGCAGGGAGGGACGTTAGTCCATATGCACAAGCTAGAGTCACTTAGGCCTCGTATTCGATAAGTTGCAATTACTTGTATACCGGTAACTATTAGTCTCGGTCAATGCTACGGGTTACACGTCCGCTCACACTGTTAGAACCTAACATGGCACCACGCCAGTCAGGCAGCCCTAAGCCCGCTGCCACCAAACAGTCTACAGGCGTCACTAAGCTTAAGTCGTCCTCAAACAGTATAAATAGCTTCGTCCCAACGTTCACCTCGCCTGCTCCGCAAGTCCACCACACGGGTCTATCATTCCAGATGAACAGCGTAAGCCTACGATATCAAGCTTACTACAGAGCCTAGCTAACGTCTTCCAGATGGGTGTGGACCCCGAGCGCAACGTCAGCGACGCCATGGCCATGCTATCGTCCCTTCTCCCAGCGTGATCGAGGAGGAGCAGAAGCCGAACCTCAGCGCCGGATCCGACGACGATACAGAGTCTGTACTCTCACCCTTGGACGACTTCTCTCCAGTCGGCGACGAGCTGCATGTGCCGGAGAAGCGTGACGGCGTCTCCGCATGGACGATTGTGCCGACATACCAGGCGAAAAAGTCGATGTCGCCAACACCCAAGCCTCACACCCCCTTGGCGGAGGGTGTGCCCGGGACCGAGGACCTCATCACGCGTGTGCCGGGCCAGAAGGCTGTCGCGGTCGTCACTCCCAACGAGAAGCACTCGAAGAACAACATGGCGAATTGGCGGTCCCTCGACCTCGTGCAGGATCGACCACGCATCGATGAAGAGGCCGAGTCCAGCGAGGACGAGTGGCTGGACAAGTACAACAAGAAGTCCGTCGTCGCGAAACCAAAGCGCAAGGATCATGTATGAGTGGGCTTGTTGCATACCATCAGGCTTCAAGGGATAAATCCAGGGAGATAATCTTGCTAGCACCTTGCACTGGCATCGCTCGGGTGGCATGCGCTTCCAGGTGCGATATAGATCGGAATAACCATACCCGGAGACTCATACGAGTTTGGGAGGTATGTGGTTGTCTCATGCTATGTCTGTGATTGACTCCGTCTGCCTATCCCGCGAGACGATATCGAGGCGCGAACACTCTGTCTTGTTTGGTATTATGTAACTAGTTGCACGCCGTAGCACATACAGCTCGTGTTATGAATTGCTGTTGCATCTTTTGACTGTGAGTGATATCTACCCAAACGACGTACCACCCGAGCTGATGAATACGGAGCCACACCATTTAGGTTGCAGCTGCTGGGGATAGAGCGAGGACCTTAATGTACATGTTCCCAGGTCGTGTGCTACAGCCTATTTGGTAGGTCTAAATTGCAAGGGGAAGCTGGCGAAGATGAAAGTGTAACAGGCGCCATGGGAAAATTGGGAGCAGCGTGCTCTACTGTCTTGATCGCCACGTAGAACAATCTTCTGTTCAATTGGGCCCTACAGATTTCAACTGTAACCAATCGATGCTCAGATTGGAGAGCCAAAAACCTGAAACCTATAGAAAAAGAAGACGAGGATCCGTCCAGAGATCTAGGCGCGCGTTTGTCTCCAATAACTGTGCCTGATCGATATATATGCCTAACTCGGAAGCTGTGCCTGAACTCGCCCTGAGCTTCTCAGAGATATAAAAGCCCTCTACAAGCTCGGCTTCTTCTTACCACCATGCGGCCCCTCTAACTTCTCCTCTTTGATCTCCTCATCCTCATCCTCATCCCGGACCTCCTCCATCATCGCCTCCCTATCAGCCAACGCCTTCCGCGTTTTCCAATGCTCCTTCGGATAGAACTGATTCACCCACTCCATATCATCATCGCGCTTTTCGCCGCCGCACCACAGGACCGCAAACTCATCGATCTGCGCCCACCACAAGTTCATAGCCTCCTTTCCATAGCCCTTTAGGATGCTTCTGGGATTCTTGTAGAGCACGTCAACACCCCGGTCGCCGATCTTGCGGCACGGCTCCCGGTCAATATAGCCGGCGCCTTCGGCCTTGACGATCTTGAGGAAGCCGCCGGCGGCAGGCATGGGGGCGAGGACCTTGCGCCACTTGGGCTGCGAGACCGAGAACTTGGGGGCCTGGGGTAGGTCGCCGACAGAGACGGGCGAAGGTGTGCGGCTGAGGATCTCGGTGTTCTCGTTCTCACTGACGGGAGCGGCTTCCGTTGATTTTCCGGCCTGTTTGGACTTCGCGAGCATGAAATTTGCCTTTTACGTGGACTGCAGACCGCCATTGGACCTTTTCCCGGCCATTTTGATGTTGGCTGCTGGACGTGTTGGTCGAGTGCGGGGCGAGTGAATGGTTCGTTCACGTGATATCTTACCCTAAGTCCGGTTGTCGAGGCGCTACGCGGTGGGTACTGAATACCGCACAAATAAAATCAAGGGTTTTTTCGTGTTGCCTGTTGGGGTGTCCGTACACAAGTGCCTGGGTGTTAACGGTGGAGCGGGTGGTGTGAGAGGTGGTGCCTTGAAGTATTATCGCAGCGCGCAGGGTAGCTTCAGATGGCGGAGGGGCGAAGAAGCACCTGACGAAACGGTCTTGTTTCGCTGCGGCGCACAGGTCCGTGGAATTATCGAGAGTCTGTGGCAGCGATTGCGGAAGGCGGCTGTGGCATGTGCTTGATCTGACCTAGTGCTTCAACCGAAAGGGTGGCCAGTGCGAATATATTGAAAGTGCGTCGCTGACGTAGGGTTGTCAGTTCAATTGACTCGCAGGTCGTTCTATTGCGGCTGGCTGGCGCCATCGGCCCCGGAAAGCCCACCTGTCGCTGCTACCACGCGTCTATTTATCGGTGAAGCAAAAGGTATCGTCGCACGCATACACGCCCACACTCGTTGCCCCGATGCCCCCGGTCATCTCTCCTGGTACTCGTCCCAGGTTGAGCGCTGGCCGTGCGGCGCCTGCCCCGGCGCATCCGGCATGTACACATCGCCTACGTTAAACGGCAGCGGATTATGCTGGTCAAATCCGGTCAGAAACACATTCGCCAGCGGCGAGTGCGAGTGCAGCGCTTCGGAGAAGAAGCCCGACACGGGCAGGTCCGTGGCGCCCGGAAACACATTGACCGTCGGCATCGACTCGGCGAACACATTGGACATGTAGGACTCCCCGCTGGGCTGCATTTCCTGCGGCGAGGGGTGCTGCTCGAGAAATTCCTCGCCAGTGAGCCATTGCGTGGCGAAGCCCGAGTAACCGACATCGGACACGGTAGGGCTCGGATGCTCCGAGAGCAGTTGTTTGATTTCCTGGGGCGGATCAGCAGGCCGTTGTGCATGTGGCTCGATGTGGGTTTTGTCCGTACATAACTTACTTGGGTGGTCCGGGGATCTTGGAAAGTCCGCGAAGCCAACTTTTTGAGCAAGTCGACGGTAATCGAATACGCGCGCTCTGCGGTCCTGTTGGTGGAGCTTAGTTCGCGTAGCCAACGTACCAGCTTCTTCACGGCGGGCAGGACAGCTGAGCTCTCTGCTTCGTAGCAAGCTTCTAGCAGGAGGATAGCGATAGACTGCATTAGGTAGTGCACTGCGGACCACCATGGGAAGATTTTGTAGATTTCTTTGCCCCACACAGCCATATCGTCTGGCAAACATGCGGCGATAGACTTGGCCGCGGCCACACACTGCGCTGCAGTTTGGTGGTTGAAATTGACTGAAGATTGCGTCTGTGATCGGATACGACGGTCCAAGCGGCATAGGCAGGGTCTGCATATAAGGATCTTGGTACTGTAATAGTAGGTTTTGAGGATATTACGTTCCTGCTGCATGGTCTGGCCTCGGCCGTGGTCTTTGAAGGGATCGAGGCCCGCAGGAAGCGAGTACAGCCACGCATCCAGATCGTCTGCAAGCTGTGAAATGTAGCCTTGAATGTCTTTCCACGACTTTGTGACCAGATTTGGCGAGTAGAGCTGGTTCAGGACATTGTTTGACACCATTCCCAGCTTTACGACGGCAATCAAGAAGGTCCCCGCGTTGGCTTCATCATTTAACGTGTCTCGTGCATCGGTGCCACTGGGGTTACCTCCCAGCGGCGTGGCGCTTGGTGCACGAGATGAGCCCGCATCCGAAGGCGATCCGGCAGTCGCACTACCCCATTTCGGTCTTGTTCCAAATTTGGCTTGAATGATGGCCTCGTCTATGTCGTTGGCTGATATCGGAAGAGGTAGAGTGGTGGACGAATGGACATCAGCTCCCACCGAAGGCCGACCAGTCACGGCAGACAGGGTACGGTCAAGTGAATAGACTGCCCACCATATTCGCGACAGCAGCTCCTTCTTTACTGCGGTAGCAGTGCGATCCTCGTTGCGTATGTGGAGTCCCAGAGAGAAGCCAAAACGAATAGACATTCCTATGACAACCCAGGATCTGTATCGTTTTTGTCAGTGGAGTGTGCTTTCAAGTGCAAACCTGAGGCGGCGAAGATATTGAGTCAATGGCAAATGCGCAAATGAAAGGTTGATAGACCAGCAAGAAGAAGGAGAAGCCGACTCCTGAATGCAGCTCGTTGCTCAGTGCGCGGAAGAAAGGGTCGAAGAACAGGACCAAGACAGAAAAGGTACTGACCTGTTGACGTGACCGATGGCCATGTAGTAAAAGGACAACAAGCCAGTCTGGAAGTGTTAACCAATGTTGTTCGGTAAGGTTGGTTCCACATACGATTTGCATCTGAGCAAGGTCGGGATGGGTGAGCCACCTGATGTTGTCGTCAGCAGTTGTTCGTGGATTTCAAACTTTGCTTGTTTACAAGAGATGGCAGTAACAAGGTTCATATCGCTTGATGGAGCCATTCGAAGAAGGATTACTTGCCAAGGATCATTCAGACTCAAAGCCCACGCTCTTTTATGGTAAAGCAGGTGATCTCTCTCTGCGAAGGGTGAGTATTGAGCGCGGGTTGCAGAGAGAAAAGGCCTACCGTCGGCAGCGTGGTCACTTTCCATAAGGTGGGAATAGACAGCGCCTATGGCGAAGACTAGATTGAGCATAGCTTGCCACTTTTGGGGCAGTTTGTAGGGCGCCCCTTGAGCAACCAAGGAATAGTAATGGACAAACTGCTTTGTGAAAGTCTTTTGGGAGAGAATGGGGAAAGAGTTCTGGACGGTTTGCATGTAGCACTTGAGGAGGTGTTCTGCCGTCTCGTAGGGCGGCAACTCGAGAGGGTCAACTTCCATGTCCATATCCAGGGGCTCTTCATCGAGGTAGAAACTGCAGCTTCTCGTGTCCATTAGTGGAAGTGGGTTCTTGTTTTGACGTTGGTGCATGGCGGCTATGCGTTGTTCGTGGGCCTGGGCCGAACTGCCCGGAGGCCCGTAGGGTCCATGGTCATGATGGCCAGAACTTGTGCCGTCTGCCTCGCGATGAAGTCTCCGCAGCCACTGGACCTCTGAGTTCTTGCCTATGTAGCCAATGGCTCGAGAATGCTTGCTGCTCAGGAGATCTTCGCCCATGTTGTCAATATCCTCATTGGAGCCAACCTCGGCCGTGACATTGGCCTCGTCCAGGTCGTCGGTCTGGGCTTGGTCTTCAAGACCGACATTGGGGGAGTCGCCTAGGGTTTTGTCCGGGCTTTTCTGCAGGGTCAGGGCGGCTTCAGCCACATCTTCGGCGGCCTTTGGTCGTGTTAGCATTGTTGCTTCTCTCCCGTCCAGTGGCAGCTCGCTACGTACAGCGGCCAGGATGTCGTCGATCTTCTGCTTCTCGCGGGGCGAAGCGCCCGGGCGCAGTTCCTGGAGCAAGTGGAGCAGGTCCTGGTTGTGCTCGGTGGCGCTTCAAACATCAGTGAATCAGAGGGGAGCAGGACAGCGAGTTGACGGACGTCTTGAGGCGGTCTTTGCGGCTGGCGGCATAAACACAGTCGCCTTGGTTGTCGGCGCAGTTCTGGCACTTTGGCTGGGCGCCGTTGCACTTGATCTTGCGGGCGCGACAGCTCAAGCATGCTCTGGAGACGCGGGCTTGGCGGGGCGCGGCGGGCTTCTTGGGGGGCTCTCGTGGTCTGTCGAGGCGTGGTATGGGTAGTTTGCCAGGCCGGGCGAGGGGCACGTGAGGCTGCTGAAAAGCCATTTTCAGAAGTTCAGGCAGGGATGCGAGGGAGAGTGAAGGAACCAGGTGGGGGCACCATGGCTCACCAGCAGCAGCACAAGAGCACTGCGGCGGCAGGCCCTGGAGCATTTGATCTCAGATTTCATGCTGTTGCTGGGCGATGCTGGTGCGGCGGCGATTGGCTGGAGTTCGCCCCCGAGGCGGCGGCGAGCGATGATTGGTGGGTGGGGTGGCCGAGCTGGCGACGGAGCATGCGGATTGAGAACGCCATGTCTAGCGCTGGGCTGGCCGCTCGCGCTGGAGCCATGACGAGGGGGCTGCCGCAGGGCAGGGCCATGCCGTGCGCGCGGGGATGGGCAGCAGCTTGCTGTGCTGGGCCGGGGAGGGGACCGAGTGCCCGCCGTCGAGGCGGCGCGGGCACGACCTGCTGTTATACACAGGCGGGCAGCGTCCGCGGAGGCAGCGCCCTCGCAGCGTGCCCCGCTGCCGCGCAAAGGCAGCTAGCGCTCGAGCTGCCCGCCGTGCCCCGCCAGGCCCCATAGGCACAGCTGCCACCACCGGACCTCGCTATACACATGCACCCGCACCCCCGCCGCACGCCCGCCGCACCGCAGCAAGCATGGCCGACCACCAGCAGGCCGAGCACGACTACTTCGCCAACGAGCCGCCGCCCAAGGACCTGCAGGCCAACGTCACCCTCGCCCGCGAGTTCGTCGACCGCCACGGCGCCGCCCGCCGCCGCCTGGTGCTCGTCACGTCGGGCGGCACCACGGTGCCCCTCGAGACGCAGACAGTGCGCTACATCGACAACTTCTCCGCCGGCACGCGCGGCGCCACGAGCGCAGAGTACTTCCTGAGCCAGGGCTACGCCGTCATTTTCCTGCACCGCCAGTTCTCGCTGCTGCCCTACTCACGCCACTACTCGCACAACACGCGCTCCTTCCTCGACTTCATGCGCGAGGACAATGGCCGCGTCACCGTCGACGAGCAGCACCAGGCCGACATGCTCGACGTGCTGCGCCAGTACACCCAGGTGAAGCGCGATGGTCGCCTGCTGATCCTGTCCTTCGTCACCATCACAGAGTACCTGTGGGACCTGCGCGAGGTCGCCCGGCTCATGCGCCCCCTGGGCCCGCGCGCCATGTTCTACCTCGCCGCTGCCGTCTCCGACTTCTTCGTGCCCCGCGACCGCATGGTCGAGCACAAGATCCAGTCCAACGAGGAATTCGCCCAGTCTGCCGCGGACCCCGACGCCACCGTGCTCCCGCCCGCGACGCGCACAGAGGGCCGCAAGCTGGTCATCGACCTGGAGCCTGTGCCCAAGTTCCTCAAGCAGCTCGTCGACGGCTGGGCGCCCGACGGCATCATAGTGAGCTTCAAGCTCGAGACGGACCCTTCGATACTTGTCAAGAAGGCCCGCTACGCCCTGGACAAGTACTCGCACCACCTCGTCATTGGTAATCTGCTGAGCACCCGCAAGTGGGAGGTCGTCTTCGTGTCGCGGCTCGAGGGCGAGAAGTGGATCCGCGTGCCCGAACACAGACGCACCAAGAGCTTCTCGGGCGTGCCCTCGCTCGTGGGCTCCGCCGACCCCGCAGCGAAGCAGGACCAGTCGGAAACGTCGCAGTCGCTGCTGGAGACGCAGTCCGAAGCGCCCAAAGGCGAGCCCGCCGTTGAAATTGAATCTCTCATCATCCCGGCCATCGAAGCTATGCATACAAAGTACATTGAGCAGACGCAGAAGCGGATATAGACAAGCAATAAATAAGCACAGACGAGGTATGGTATCCTGCGAAACTCCGTGAGCGTGTGCCTGCCGCCTGACTTCCTGTTCATATATGTGCATGCATCCCAAGGTCACGCTCCCAGCTCCATTCCCACGCTCTACCGAGTGCCGAATCGGTGCCTCAAGATGCCGAATCGGGCGCAACCGACATGGAGCATGTCCCATTTGGTCCACGCGTGGATGTGCGACGCTGGATGAGACATGTCTCGGTCACTACACGCTCCCAACGACCTGGATGGGGGCGCGAGCAGACCCGGGGGAGAAAGTCATGCGACGGCGTTTGGTGCGCGCTGGGAGGAGCGGTGCTGTGGTGGTCCTGCCAAGTGGTGACGATGCGATTGATATCGGGCTCGGCTGGCGGTGCAGGGTTATAGGAGTAGGATCAGAGACCAGGATAAAACGACCTAACTGCAGCTGTCGAGAGCAGCATTTTGAGCGCTTGCTAGGCGGCGTGTAGTGCATTGCAATGCTCGGCACCAGGTCCTCGGGAAAACACTTACCAGCGAGCTCCTCTCTGTGGGCCTCGTACATTGACCCGTGGCAAAACACATGTGGTATCCACGGTGAAAAGCAAAGTTGCCAACGCAAGTCCTCGGTGATGGTAGGCCGGGGATTAGTGTTCCCGTTGAGAGCGGGCCGCTAGCTTCCTTGCCCTTGTCTAGTTCGAATGCTTCCATACCGACAACATCCAACAAAACTGACGCGCATCATCGTCCAAGTCGTTGCGCCTACTCCACAACGGCAATGTTTTCTGACCTGTGTGAAGCGCTTCCAGTTGACGTTGACATGTCAAGCAGCTGCGGTCCTTGTGTTCCCTTCCTTTTGGCTATTCCTCAGCAGACCAACTGTACAAGGTTCGGTGGGCAGGGGCATGGTCACGATCGCGCTTGCCCAAAAATTGTCACTTTCTCTAATCTGTGCGAGGCAGCGCTTCCAGTCGCCATGCCAAGCTGTTCCCTCTGGCTATTCCTCTCCATCCACGGCTCTCCACGGCTCTATTCTAGACTCTGGCCATGATAGTGTTATCGATACACCCTTCGAAGAATGGCTGCATGTCTGGCGGCCGTGACCGATGTGAGCGCGGTGGCTGAGACGAAATGCATCCGCAGACAATGCAACGTTCGCAACAACAATACTGTACCAGCCCTCGGCGCACGCAAGATAATTGCTCTTCCGCCTCGTCTCTGCGTGAGACGTCGCTCTTCCTCGTCCATCTTCGAGCAGTCCGAACAGTCCTGTGCATAATGAGATGGCTTGTCTCACCCATCACTCTCTCTTTCCAGTTCGATGTGTGTTTATTTATGGGCATGAGGCGGGGACTCGAGGAAGTTACATTCCATATGTCGCTGTGTCACGGCTTAGCGCTACCACCCTTTGCCCACGCACAGCGCCTTGCGTCACCATGGCCTTCTTCTAGCTGCATCACCGGATGTATTGCAATCTTCTTCCGACTCTGTGTGGCGTTTGGAAGCTTCCACTCTCCCACTTTTCTCATCGCTGGCGCTGCAGCATGACATGCATGACCAGATTGACGAAAGCGTCTGCTGTTTGAGAGCGTTTCTCGACAGGCGCCTCCACCAGGTTCAACTCCTCCGACATCTGACAAGACTGCCATCCCTTGCTGATTTCTGCTCGCCTACTCGCTCCGACTCGCTTGTGTCACAGCGTCGCGCCCAATTGGACGGCTCAGTGCTGCGACATATCGATCGAGTCGCGAGATCTCAGGTCTACACAAACCACAGTCCCGGCAAGCTGGTCCTATGTCACGCTGGCCCTGGCACCTCAGATATTCCCACCCCAGCCTCCTCACCGTAGCACCTGGCCAGTCGGTACTTGATAAACAACATGTCTCACCCCTTGACTCCAAGACGCCGGTCGTGTGCATGTATATATCGTGGCACCTACCGTCTTATCAAGCTTATCGCCCTTGGCCATTCTCTGTCCGACACTTTTGGCTCGTCCAGCGTCACTTTTCAATTAGTTGCTGCTAACGCGCCGGAAGCATGTCTACCATAACGACCTTCACACCGCAACACTCTTCGCCACTGGCTCGTACAATCTCGCCCTTCAAAGATCCTCGACCCCCGCCATGTGCACCCGGAAACACGGCACAAATATGGGATGAGTACGAAAGACGCGCTGTAGAAAATGCAAAGAGACGGGATACCACACCTTCTTTAGCCCGCCGTCAGGCACAAGGATCGCGTCTTTCGAGCGGCACCGTATACGATATCATCAGGAGCTATGATCCGCACTCATCGCCAAGGACACCATCCATCAAAGGATGTCCGCAGTTCGACTTTGGCTTCCCCACGCGGCAGCACCCACAGCTCCCGGCCGAGGCCACCACAGTGGCCATCTGCAAGACATGCAAAGGCCCAATCAGGTCCACACTTGGAATCTGCGAAGCATGCAAGAAGACCATCGTCCTCTCCTCGCCAGCAGGCCAAGCCACGCCCCCACTCACCCCTACAACGCCCGCCTTCCCAGCACCAGACCTCCCGCGATCAGCCAAGCCCACGTCTCCCAGAACCACGTCTCCCGCGGCCGCCTCCCCAAAGCGCCGCACCCACCGCTCCTCTGCCTCAGCATCCGCCTTAATACCCCACACCTTTGATCCCCCCATCCGCCTCTCCTCCCTCCGCCCCCCACCCGCCCTGCAAACCACCCCCCGCTCCTCCCTCGACGCCGCCCTCTCGCGCCCCCGCAAAGCCAGCCTCCCGGACGCCGCAGACAGGCACCACCTCCCCCGCAAGCCCCTCCCCACCGCAGGACCCACCTCCCCCATCACGCCGCCCTCGACCTCGCATAGCCGGACCTCCTCCATCTCCCCCTGGGCGACCGCGCGCCCCTGCTCCCTCGCAAACATCACGACCCCGCCCAGCACCGCGGGCGCGTACTACTCTTCGTCTGCGCGGCACAGCAGCGTCAGCGGCGCGGCGCCGTCGGAGCTGGCGTCCCTGCCTAGCACGAGTCCGCCGAGCGTGTGTCGCGCGAGCTACAGCCTACAGAATACGATGAGTGCATGGGAGGAGAGCGATAGCGAGGATGAGGAGAAGAGGGGGCTGGTCAAGTACTGGCGGGGGAGGCGATGGCGGGGGAGCATTGGGGGTGGTGGGCGGCGGGGGAGTGAAGGTAGTGGAGCAGGGCTGGGGGAGGTCGAGGCAGACAGAGCGAATGCGGGGAGTGGGAAAGCCGGGGGGAAGGGCAGGAGAAGGGGGTTTGTGCGGGTGATTAGCTGTGGGTGTGATGAGTGAGGACAGAGAGAGCGGTGTGAGGTGCGGTGTGGTGTAGGGTGGGAGGAAGACAAAAAAAATCGGTTTCTGTACTAGGGTTTGGGTTTTGTACAGCATCGCATTGTGTCCAGCGGGATAACAGCGCACGGAGATGAGAAATGAGTATAAAACACCGTCTTCTCTCTGTCCTGACATCACCATCTTCCATTGATATGACCTCCAACGACAATGACCACAACTCCAAAGTGCCTCCATCTGCTCCATCACTTCAATGGCCGGATGTAGTCGGTGCTGCTGTCTCAGATTCGGCCATACTTTCCTCATCCACGCCCTCACTCTAGTCCTTCTCTGCTCCACGCACCCAGCACCACCCTAGCCTCAGTAGACGCAAAAGGCTTCACCACGCTCCTCATTCCTCCCTGCCACGCCGCGCTCGCCCTTCACCCCGCAAAGGACGTTGGCCACCCCTTGGAGACGGCGGGCGGAGGGCTAGGCGGCAGGCGGCAGGCGGCAGGTATCGAGCGCAACATCCTGGGTCAAACAGGACGATTGTGCTGCTAGTCTCGCTCCCGTAGAGAACGTCTGCAGGAGGTTCTACGCTTCAAGAGCAGGCGGAATGACTGTGTTCGGGCGTGGCCGCGCATCGCTTGCCGGCGCTCGTGGAGCACGTCTATCGCCCCGCGAAAGAACGGACGTTGCGCACTCCCTTGCTTCCGCCGTCAAATGTCATCCCTCATGCGCGCTGTCCCCCGTTTTTCTCGCGGTGCCTTCGCTTCTCCCCGCCTCGCACGTCTCGCTCGGCACCCAGCTCTAGGCAAGCCTGAAGTGGGAAGTCGCCTTTCGCCGATGCTCGTCGCGAAGACCCAACACTGCTCCATCCTGCCCTGCTCTATTCTACTGCTCACTCATCGGCAGGCGGGGAGGAAGGCGCGGAAGCACGTTGTGCGACACCAGCTTTCTCGCTTGGGGGAGCGGATGGGTGATGGGTTTCCTTCCTGTGTTACAATCTAGGTGCATGTAGCGCTTTCGGCGCGCGGCGTGCGTGTGGGAAAGGCAAGGTCATTGATAGGTTAGTTTACCTGCATATTCTCTGTAGAGGTGCAGGGTGGATATGCGTTTGAGATGTTGGGTGGAGGAAGAGGCCTGGATACTGCAGGTCCAATGGATGGCGGTGTGATGGACGCGGTTAACGGGTGCATTTGGCCTTGCAAGGCTGGCTGTCGACAGATGAATGCTAGTCACATGCAGTGGGAGGGCGGAGGAGCTGAGCGAAATACAGCTAAAGCAAAAGGTGGTGTCTCGCGTTGTGGGTTGCGGGTGACGGGTCCTATGGTGGTACAGCAATGGGCATCTCGCAGATTCGCGGTGTACTATCGTTATTGTTTTCTTTCCCTCTGTGGCATCAAGCTTGGTAGTGGCGCCGTTGTTGCCAATGCAGCGACCCGCCAGAAAGCTTAAGCCTGCGCGGTGATGTCACTTGTTTGTTGATTTTCAACGGCGACTTGGCAACGCCCTTGAAAGTACCAAGACTTCCCCAAAGAAACGCAGAGCCCGAGATGAGGCGGATGAGAGAACTTGGAGGCGGCTCATATTCCAATGTGACAAAACACAGCGGCGAGATCCACAAGTCACTGATTTCTGCGCGGTTAGCAACAGCGTCTGCCAGGCCGTCAATAACTTTATCGATCACTAACGGCAATATGACGGCAGCATCTCCTCTTGACGAATCGACGACACATTATTGCGCAGCTCGGGCAGTCAGTGACCCGAACAGCCTTCTCACCCCGCTGGATCCGTTGGCGACACCACGCCGCCATTGCTTCTCGTCAGGAAAATCTCAGCCGTCCCAGAACCGGACCGAAAACTAGGACCACGTACCAGGCACCAGGAACGAAGTTAAAACTAGGCCCAGAGGCAGCGCAATTACAGGTACGAAGGCCCCACCGCAGACAAAAGCGGAGTGCGGACGGGTGCGAGGGTGCCAAGGCATCACCCATGGAGGTGCTCGCTCTTCGCAACACTGGGCTGGTGGCGAAGAGCATAGATGAAGCGGGATAGTTGACTTTCGCGGCGGCGCGAGGAGGTCGACACAAAGGCAGGTTTTGTTTCCACGATGGAACCGCATCTCGGTCTGGCGGCGCAGTGCAGGCCGATGCAATGCGTTGGGTGCGTAAACCTCAACGCAGAGAGCGTCTGTCGTTCGAGGCGACCCAGACGAGCGACCTGCCAGCGCATAAACTAGAAGACACGCCGTTGGAGTGGAGTACAGTCTAGTGGATCGCTTGCACACACCAAGGTGGGTTCTACTGGTCAGGGAAATTGATGGGGATGGCCTGAGGTGCCGACGAGACAGCGAGGCCATGAAACCAGAATCGATAAACTGCTGAGCCTGATTCGGCTGCATCGAACTATCTCATCCATGAAGTTTGCCTCCACAAGCGGATAGTGCGGCAACGCAGAGACGCACGAGTCCTGATGGGGCAGGCGTGCGGCTAGCTGTGGGCTTCGTTTTGGGCAGGCTCGGCAGCTCCACAAGCGCGGTGCCCTGTTGGCGATCAGCGGCTCGCAGAAGCACGCGAAATGGGTGCGCTGTGCGGAAGTAGGGCGTCTCTATGCGTGTTTGTGTACAGTGGCTACCTTTTGGGTGCGGCCGTCGGGAGCGCGGCGGCGCTAGTCCCGTTCCTCGCGCGCAGTGAATGCAGAATTGAAGCGGGGTCAGGGGGCATCAGGGGCTGATTGGCTCGGTGCGAAGATCGATTTCGCGTCTCTCTCGGCGATGCTTGACTGCCTGCTCAAGCTTTACCATCGTGAAATTCCAGCGACTGACAACCGTCGGCGCACTGTCACCGCGTCTTGGAGCGCGCGGCCGTGGTATCCGCCCTCAACATGTCCGCCCTCGCCCGCCGTGCTGCTTGGCCAGCGTGCCGGCGCCGGAGTGCTCGTGCCCGCCATGGCACAGAGATACGGCCATGCGTCCCTGGTGGACCCGCTGCCGGCACAAGCTCCTGAAATAGACGGATTCCCTGTAGAGATCGTGGCGCGCCCGCGAGTCGCAACCTCGCGCCAGGCGCTGCTTTGCCGCCATCATTGGCCCACCGCAGCGGCACTACTGGCCTCCCGTGAACGCCGGTCTAGGGGAGCGCACCAAATGGCTCCAGTTGCTTTGTATACATGAGAGCGTCCCTCGCCTCTTGTTTTCCCCCTCACCTCCTCCAGCTGTTGGTTCCTTGCCTCAGCAACCACATTCGTTTAATCCCGTCTCTCGTTAATTCCGGAGGAGAGCTCCTCGCCGCGCTGTATACCATCCCTCGCGCAGGGTAATTGTGTATCACGCTCGTTCCTGCCGAACACCTAATATATTGACCTGTCCTTGGCCGCCCATCTTCGTCTTTGAGACAACACTTCTTCGTGACGTGAAGATCGGATCCATTTGACTCTCGTTGGATTTGCCTTGAACCAGGTAAGCAGCTTCCTCCACCTCTCGCACACTGCGACCACATCCCAAAGTAGCACCTGCCGCATGCACATGGTTGGGATAGCAACCGCCCAAATGTGCACGCGAAGCATATGCGGTGCAATTGTTCAGCTGCGGCTGCACCTCCGCCCTGCCTCGGTGGTCGTCTTGTTGTCCTGCCACCAGCACATGCATCACCAACCTCTTGTCGGCATCATCTTTATATTCCTGCCACCCCTTTCGTCCTACACATAAACCCCCTTGGAATCCTCTTGGATGCACTATCCTTCTCCTGCTTACGCATCCAAAGGTTACACCATGAGGGCCACTCTCCTGACCGTAGGCGCTTTCGCCAGCCTCGCGGCCGCCAATATCAATTTCCATTGGGTGAACCCAACCTGCGTATTCGCTCAGCACGATGACACGCAGTGCTTGACCGGCCAGCATTGCGCCCAAGGCGATGTGTAAGTCATTCTGCTAGCCTGTGGAACCACCACTAATATCACGTAGCTGCAAGTACAACGAGAACAACCTGCAGCAGGTATCACGATCTTTCCCCGGCCGTGCCCCTGTCAAGAGGCAGAACCAGAAGTACTCCACTGACGGCCAGTGCGGTCCGGCGCACAACAACCTCCTCTGCGACCCGGCCAGCACAGTATACGACGGCAAATGCTGCAGCTCGTACGGATGGTGTGGAAGTACCGCGGCGCACTGCGGCGACGGTTGCCTTTCTGGCGAATGCACTACCAACACCACTCCCGCCAACCCCGTGGATACCAAGTCCCCTAATGCCGCTGCTCCTCGTGATGATGGCCGCTGTGGAAAGGACTTCGGAGGCGCCACCTGTGACGCTAAGGGCGCATACGGAGGATGCTGCTCGTCTTATGGCTACTGCGGTTCAACTGATGGCCACTGCTTGGTAGCCAACGGCTGCCAGAATGGCTGCACCGACGGTGCCGCTACCTCTGTTGCTCCTGTCCAAACTGCTTCGGCTACCCGACCCCCATCCACCACTACTTCTGGCGAGCCTGTCCTTGGTAAGCCCTCGACCTCGTCCACTGCTCAGCCCACTGGCAAGGTCACCGTCGACGGCAGCTGTGGTGCCACCTTTGGCAACACCGTCTGCGGAAACTGGGCCCAGGGTTCCTGCTGCTCCATGTATGGCTACTGTGGTAACACCACCTCTCACTGCGGTGAGGGATGCCAGTCCGGCCCTTGCACGAACGGCCCAGTTGTTGCTGCTCCCAAGGCCAGCCCCGCCCCCGCGGCCGCAAAGCCCGGAACTCTCGTTAAGAAGGGACGCTCTGGTGTCCCGGCTATGCACGCCGGTCTCATGCCCAACGGCAAGGTCGTCTTCTTGGACAAGGTCGAGAACTACACCGAACTCAAGCTCGGTAACGGACAATACGCTTACTCCTCCGAGTACGACCCGAACACGCAGAAGCTTACTCCCCTTTCTTACAAGACTAATGCTTTCTGCTCTGGTGGTATCTTCTTGGCCGACGGACGCTTCGTATCTCTTGGTGGAAACGCTCCTCTTGACTTCATCGACCCCACCGTTGGCGACGGTTTCAAGGGTATTCGCTACCTCAAGCGCTCTGCTACCGATGCTTCTCTCGACGGACAGGGCTGGAGTGAGCCCGGCGCCCAGCTCAACACTGCTCGCTGGTATGCGTCTGTTCAGATCATGCCTGACAACAGCATCTTCGTCGCTTCCGGAAGTTTGAACGGTCTCGACCCCTCAAAGCCTGAGAACAACAACCCAACCTACGAGATCTTGAACGCCGATGGTACTCCCCGCGGCAAGAGCACCAACATGGAGATCCTGTCCAAGAACCAGCCCTACTACATGTACCCGTTCATGCACTTGCTCAACGACGGCAACCTTTTCGTCTTTGTCTCCAAGTCTGCTGAGATCTTCAACGTCGGTGGAGGCAACGTTGTTCGCACTCTTCCTGACCTGCCCGGCAGCTACCGTACCTACCCCAACACCGGTGGTTCCGTCATGCTTTCTCTTTCCAGCGCGAACAAGTGGAGCAACGACGTCGTCATCTGCGGTGGAGGTCCCTACCAGGACATCAGCGCCCCTGGCGAGGCCTCCTGCGGACGCATCAACCCCCAGGCCGCCAACCCTTCATGGGAGATGGAGGCCATGCCCGAGGGTCGCGGTATGGTTGAGGGTACTCTCCTCCCCGACGGCACTGTCATCTGGGTCAACGGTGCTCAGGAAGGCGCCCAAGGCTTCGGCGTTGCCCGCTCGCCTGCCCTCGAGGTCCTGATCTATGACCCCGCCCAGCCCGTCGGCAAGCGCTTCACGACCGGCCCCAAGTCGGACATCGCGCGTCTCTACCACAGCGTCGCGCTTCTCCTCCTCGACGGTACCCTTCTTATTTCGGGCTCCAACCCTGTCGAGCAGCCCATCCTCAAGGCCAGCGCACAGAACCCCTTCGTCACCGAGTTCCGCAACGAAATCTACACCCCCCCTTACCTGCAGGGCAACCCCACGCGCCCCACCGGCGTCGCGCTCAAGACTAAGAACCTCAAGGCCAACGGCGGCACACTCGAGATCAGCTTCTACGCCCCGCCCAACGCGAAGGAGGTCAAGGTGAGCCTGTACTATGGCGGTTTCGTCACGCACTCTGTGCACATGGGCCACCGCAACCTGTTCCTCGACGTGGCCAACTTCAAGCCCGGCCAGAAGAACCAGAAGATCAACGTCACGCTGCCGCCGAACCGGAACGTCGCGCCTGCGGGTCCGTACGTGGTGTATATTCTTGTGGATGGCGTGCCGTCGGTGGGCCAGTTTGTCCAGGTGTCGTAGGGCGGTTAGTTGGCTTGGCTCTAGAAACCTACCCCAGAGCATCGCATCCTATTACTTCGCCTTCTAGTATATTCTTTGTGCGATTTTGGTTGAGGCTAACCGAATTGCATGAGGGAAGGAAGTGTAATTTAGACCAATAGAGCTGATTTGGTCGACAAGGTCATTTATCTGCATGGCCCTTTGTTTTCCTTTGTATACGAGCATATGTGTACGTAGATACTGAGTGACGTCTCGCGATGTCTTGAATGGATTGGAAATCTTAGAGTAATGATGAATGCGGAAGGCTTTGCGTAATTCCTGTAGCGAGTGAGGAGATTTGCTGTGCTGCGGTATGTATGATGTCGCGCCGGTGTCTGGGTACCTGATCGCAGACCATCAGATTAGATGCGAATGTAGGTACACGCGATCCATGCACCATCAACCTATTCCTGGAGCAAGTACAACGACACGCAACCTTGGCGTTGCAAAGGTAAATGCCTGTCTGCGATGCTCGCGACATGCGCCCGTGTGCGTTTTGTTTGAAACACGCGGCAAATTGGCGGAACGCCGTGCGCACGGCCGGACCAGTGGCTGCCAGCGCGACTTCATATATCCTGCGTGTACGCGCTGCCTGCTGCAGGCCTGCGGCCGGACGGCAGCTGGGAATAGCACGGCGGTGCGCGCGTGCTGGGGAAGGAGGGGTGTGAGAGTGTCTATCTGAGGCGGGATTGAGTGAGGTTGGGGGTGTGCGTGGTTGTACAGTGTGATGGGACGGGGTCGGGGGAAGGAAGGGAGATGAGGATTGGGGGCGGGGATCGGAGGATTTGCGTCGGGGGTTTGGGGCGGGCCGCGGCTTGAGGTGTTCCCCAAGGTCTCCGGTACTTACATGCCCTCTTGGGAAAAAGCGCATGGGAAATCTCTCTCGAGCAGGGCGGTGTGTGCAGGCATGCGGCGGGCTCACACCTGGGAGGGAGGTGTGGTCTTGTTGGCCTCTTGCTTGATGCGGAATCTCAGGACGAAATCCTTACCCGCGCGGACTTGGCCGCTGTGCGCTTGGCTCGGTGTGTTGCACTGCGCCACCGAGACCAATTGCGGGTGCAGGATGACAGGAGGGTGATTTAACTTTGACGTTGCGGACTTTTGGCTTGTCCGGCAGGCGTGTGCGCATACTTATATATTGCAGAGGGTGCAAGTGCCGGTGGGTGCATCTCCAACAAGTCGGTCTTTTCGTCGCGTCGTTCATTCATTACTCACATTCATTCGTTTTATAGTGGAGTTGATTCTCTGCGCTGCCGTTCATTCATTTCGTGATTTGACGTTTGAGAAAAACTAAGAAGATGCTTCCTGCTTTGGCTGTCGCCCTGGGTGGCTCCGTCGGTCTCGCGGCAGGCCATCCGCACCCCCAGCGTCGCGAGGTCGCGGCTTTCCCCGCGGGAGCGTCGTGGGATATCATTCTGAACAAGGGGAGCACCAACCTGGACGATCTGGCCAGCACGGCAAGTGCCGAGGTCACTGCTATCGACATCGATCTCTTCGACAACGAGGCGTCGACCATCAGTGCCTTGAAGGACCAGAACAAGCAAGTCATCTGCTACTTCAGCGCTGGATCCCGTGAAGACTGGCGCGAGGATGCGAACAAGTTCAATGCGGATGACTATGGGCAGGGCCTGGAAGGCTGGGCCGGCGAGAACTGGGTCAATGTCAAGAGTGACAACGTGCGAGCAATCATGAAAACACGCATAGAGCTCGCAGCGCAGAAAGGCTGCACCGCCGTCGACCCTGACAATGTCGATGGATTCGTACGTCTCTTTTCCTTGGGTCGCACCTCCCCCTGATGGACCATGCCGCTGACATACCCCAGAACGACAACCAAGACGGCTTCGGGCTCGACCAGTCTGCGTATGCCGACTACGTCAAGTTCCTTGCGTCCACCGCCGCGGCCAACAACCTCGCTATCGGCCTCAAGAACGCCCTCGACCTCATCCCGGACGTCGTCGATGTGATCCAGTTCGCCGTCAACGAACAGTGCCACGAGTACGACGAGTGCGACAAGTACAAGCCCCTTACCGAAGCTAACAAGGCCGTCTTCAACATCGAGTACGGCGGCAACGCATGCAACAGCCCCGCCGGTGTCAACCTGTCTATCCTGATCAAGAACGAGGACCAGAGTCTGAATGCGCTGGGCGGCGCTTGCAGTCCGAGTGGTGGGTCTGAGCAGGCTTCCGCTACACCTGCTGCCTCGCAGTCTGCGGTCGCGGAGAACACGTCTGTGCCGACTCCTGCGCAGACGCCGACTCTATCTGCGGCACCGGCTGTGACCCCGACGGGGGGTTATGCGGTGAAGCCTTCGTCGACTGCCGCGGGTGCTGAAGCTACGCCCGAGCCTAGCGGTGAGGCCGGTGACGAGGATGAAGATGAAGATGACCAGGAGGAGGAGGAGGACGACGATGAAGATGACGATGAGGACTATGAGGATCAAGAAGATGATGAAGATGACGAGGAAGATGAGGATGCGCAGCCTGGGTGGCAGCGTCACCACAAACATGAGTAGAGATCTTCTAGGGATAGTCGGTTTGGCGTATTCAATCGGGTGGCCTTGCTTGATGTATTGCCACTTCGTTTTCGCTTCTACATGTATATGAAATTATAAGGTTCACAAACACTGTAGATCTATCAGCTCGTCAGCTCATAAAATGCGTTACAAAGTGAGCCCAATGCAGAACTGGGAGAAAACTGTGCCCTCCATATCTCGGGTCTGGGGAGCCGGCCTAATTACGGTTCATCAGCGTTGTCGTGTCAGTAGGAGATGGAGTGAAATTACAATGATGGTAAGCTATTCGATGGCATAGGACCGTCCGTCTCCAGGGCTCGCGGGGGCCACGGGAGCAGCCGGAACCGCAAATGGGCTACTTCCAAACTTCGAGCTCACCACTGAGCACATTCACGCAGTCAGCGCACAGACGAGCTGCAGTGCCGCATCCATAAGGCATACGCCCAAGAATTGGCCCGACCCGATTAGTACCGAGAACGGTGCCCAGGCTTGGGCTCGAATTTCAAGCGCGTCATCGTGAGAACGCCGCCAACGCGATTTCGGAAGCTAGATGACGATCCCAAGAATTGCCTGGGCCGCACGAAAATCAAGGCGCCGGCTGCGATAGCGTTCTCGCGAGCGAAAGCTTGACGTGTAGGGCCGAGACACCATGATGGACCTGGCGATTACGTTGACGCTCTACGAGGGCAATTTACCGGGCGGTTGTGCTAGTCTACCGGCGCGCCTTGTCTCATGTAAGCTTAATGCTCCATCCAAGCCGTGTGTAGAAATCTACACTTTACTACCAATACCGTCCCAATCCTACTCGCTCAGTGATTTCGATTGCACTACTGTACATGTTCTATGCATATATGACCCAACCCAACGAACATTGCCCACTCGCCACGCGATGCTCGTTCGATACTTGGGCCCGAGTATCGCGAGTCGTGGTCTCACAGCTTCCTAATCAGGCAGGAGTGCACACCGGGAGCAGGGGCCTAATGCTATCAAGCGACCGCCGCTGATTTGCCCTCGTCCGGGGTCGACAAGGGTCGCTTATGTTGCTTATGAGGACATGCAGAGAGCTACGATCAAAACCGACAAAGATATTGCAGAATCGTGCGTGCGTCCTGGTCTGCGGGACCAGGCTTCGTACAGGGGAGCTCGCGCCGAGCAAGAGCTATATAATGACGAATTCCTGCTCAACGGGTTCCCCACTGCTGGTGCACTTTGTCCAATTCGCCACCATGGTCCTTTCTCGTGCCTTCGCAGCGGCCTCGTTGGCTTCGGTCGTCGCGGCCACGCCATTGCAGCCCCAGGCCAGGCAATATGCGACAAGTGCTTGCGCTGAGGTAGCAGCTTCGGTTGCCGGTCAGCCTGCGACTCCAGTCCCGTCGGTGGATGCAAAGTTGGCGTACGACTGCATTACCAGTGTGCCTTTGCACAAGGATGAGGCCCTACACTTGATTGAGGGTGTCGTGCCGTACTTCAGGTGGCAATCCAGCACCGCGTGGCTCAAGGACCCTCCTGCAGAGTATGCGGAGAAAATTCAGCCTGCCACCGACGTCTGGGGTGGCTTGGAAAAGATCAAGTCCAAGGTTGAGAGCGAGGAATACGACAACGAGTTTGAGGTAACTAGCAAGCATAAATCTGCGGCAACCAAGGGCTGACAATATCAGTTCGGCTTCGATCTGTACACTTTGCTTCAACAAACCCATGACGGCCACTTCGTCTATGTGCCTGATGTTGTGGGCACGGTCTTCAACTGGGCGCGTCCCGTTCCGCTCGTCTCCGTGTCGGCCGACGGAAAAGAGCTACCAAAGCCCTACGTCTACGCTGATGTGCTGGCCGAGTCCTACGGCAACGCGACATTTACGCCTTCCGCAATTACCAAGATCAACGGCCAGAAAGCCACCAAGTATCTCGAGGACTGGTCACAGCGGGGCTCCCTACAGGATCGCGACGCTCTGTACAACAATGTCTTTTACGAGCTTGCCACAGTGTCTCTTGGTCCCACTGGCTCAGGTATCGGAACGTTCGCTGGAAGTGGGCGTGGGAAATGGGTTCGTTGGATCCCTACCATTTATCCATCGGAAACTGACCCTTGCTAGGTTTACCCCGGCCCAGAGACTAAGCTTGAATTCGAGAACGGCACCACCACGACTTACACCAACGTTGCACGAGTCCTTGTAAGCCTCAACGGCGTAACCGATGGTGAAAGCTTGTACCAGAAATATTTCAGCAGCCAAGCCACGTCTACTATCGCGGCAACGCCTTCCAACTCCAGTGTAGCCACCACGACCGCATCTGCCACGCCCTCAGCAACCACAACTTCCATTCCCGCGCCAGGCTACCCTCCACCCGTCTACAAAGAACAGCATAACCTGATCGGTGGATACTTCCTGGAAGATGACTACTCCGACATCGCCGTGCTCTCAGTTCCTTCGTTCGTGTCTATAGAATCCGCAGAAGTCGACTTCCAACAGGTTACTGAGAAATTCATCGTAGCGGCTAAGGCAGCTGGGAAGACCAAGCTCGTAATCGATCTCTCTGCCAACGGCGGTGGTACGATTCTTCAAGGTTACGACCTATACAAACAGCTCTTCCCTAAGGGCATTGGCCACGCCGCTTTCGATCGTTACCGCGCGCACGAAAGTACAAAGCTACTGGCAGAGTACAGTTCTCGCCTTGCTGACGTCCTGCCTCGCGAACTCGTCGATCCAGATGTTAACGAGACCAAATACGCATTAGAGTCCGACGTCATCGCGTCCCCCTCCAACTATCTCTCTGACCTCAACGCGTCCGACCTGAACTTCCCCAGCTGGGAAGCAAAGTTCGGCCCGTTCGAACACCACGGCGACAAATTCTCCAACCTCTTCCACTGGAACCTTTCCGACGTGCTCACGCCGTACAACAGCGGGGGCATCTGGGTCCACGGCTACGGTGAGCTCGCAAACTACACGTCCGTGCCGCAGCCCTTCGCCAACGAGGATATCGTTGTAGTAACCGACGGCTACTGCGCATCCACCTGCACCATTTTCTCAGAGCTGATGCGCCAGCGCCAAGGCATCAAGTACATCTCGCTTGGGGGCCGCGCAATCAAGGGAATCACACAGGCGGTCGGCGGCATCAAGGGCACCAACAACTACCCCTGGACGTACATTCAGTACCTCGCGGAGCTCACCATCACGAACCTGACGGCCAGCGCGGAGGAAGCAACCAAGCTCAACGCCACCGAGCTCGGCGACTACTGGGACAATGTCGTCTTCGAGCGCCAGGCGCCTGGCACCAGCGTCAATGTAAATTTCCGCGACGGCATCCGCGACACTGACGAAACCGAGACGCCGCTGCAGTTCGTGTACGAGCCGGCCGACTGCCGCATCTTGTACACCAAGGCGATGACGGTGGACGTGACGGCGATCTGGAAGGCGGTTGCGGATTCGGCGTTTGGGGGTGAGAGTCACTGCGTTGCGGGGAGCCTTGGGGGATACAGGACCGGTGGTCGCAGGGCGAAGAGGGAGTTGACGGTGCAGGATAAGGCGATGAGCAAGCGGATGCATGCGTGGAGGAGGGAGCTGCGGGCTGAGCAGTACCCGTTGGATGTGTATACTGATTTGAAGGGCATGGATCTGACCAGGAGGGGCATCATGTGGCCGTGAAGAAGGTCTTACTTGATCATGCCCCGGCCGGTAAAAACGTAGGCCTTTCAGGACTTTGTCCTTTTAGTTAATTCGAAAAATGTGTCAGGCCTTCAAAACACCGAGTGATTATACTGAAGATCATGCTTTGACATGATCGGAACGCTGCGATTGATGCTACTCTTGATCGAATTATTTTTGGTCTAGCTCTCATAGGATGTCTACGCCTAAGCAAAGAGCTTACTATCCAGTCAATTACGAGCGGGTTGGGGGCCAAATCTAGAAGTATGTGGACTTCCGTTCCCAGGCAAGGCCTCGATAACTATTCAATTATTGGCGGTGGGTGCAGAGTCATGGGACAGGTTCGGTAAGAGATACACGTCGCCACTAGGATTAGTAGAAAACAAATGCACCTTGGCAGAAACGCGTGTCTGGGTGTGATTTTTGCTGCTGGGGCCGGATTAACTGTTGCTCGTCCTACGCTTCTTAACTAGGATTCTAGCTTGAATTCTAGGCCCTGCATTGGCTTCAGGACATCATGAAATGAAATCGCAGCCTATGTTCAAAGGCGACTCGTGGCTTCACTGCACGATTACCATCTGATTCGGGAGTGCAGAAGACGTGGTTGAAGAGGCCAAAGGCAAGGGTGAGGACGATGGAGGCTTTGTGGACCATTTTGATAGCTGGGAGATTGGAGTTGAATAATTGGAGAGTTTGCACAGCGAATGAGGCGAGAGGGAAGCAAGAAGAGTAATAGCTCTGGTGAGTGCCATTCCAACGTGTGCGCATCGCTTCCTTTATAGCACTGCCAGTTTTCTAACCTATACTAATTAGAAAAGAGATGGGATGCAAGCACACTGCAAGTATGAAGGTCTCGAGCGATACTATCCCGTTTCAAACGTCGAATCTCTTCGCACAATTGACCGCAAAACAGAGAATTCTATTCTCAGCAGCAGGAAGGTGTATGCCGTAGCCCCCGCTCAAACGCAGGACGAAGCACGGCCGTTTTTCGCGGCATAATTTGATCGGTCTCTTCCGACGCAAAATAAAGCCTGGCCACCAAACATTACTGCCCACTCAATCACCTACAATTTCTCTTCCCGGGCGATATATACGAGCTTCATCGTGTTTCATGCCCCGATTGCGAACTGTTGTCCATGCATGATGGGCAAAACGGACCGATGTCAACGCTATAGCTGCTTGTGTAAGCTGACTACACTAATTCTATGTCTGGCGACTTTCGACTTATTCTTGAAGAACCTCCGCTTTAATTGTGGAGTCTCTCATGTGAAGGCTTTGTCGTGTGAGCACATGATGACGGAAGTCTTGATGTGGCGATCATACCGTGGGCACTCGATCTTTAGGGGCTCGGCGAGATTGTTCAAGGCCCTGTAGATGTACCGACTCTCAAAGATCAACGCAGTTTCCCCGGCACCCTCTATTGCCATAGATCGTAGCTAGGCCGCCGAGCATAGCCCCGTTGACGATGTCAGCTAGAAGAGGCGCGCACGTGACCAATCTCAGAGCTGAAGCTGAAACTCCTGACGAGCGCTGTATCAACGGACAGATCTCTGTCATCACGACATGGACCTTGGGTACGTCGCATAGGGTCTGGCAGAGCCTTGGCTGCCCGATTCCTCCCCTTCGACGTACTCTCTCAAATAATAGTCTTGCTTAGTATGGTGTGGTTCAGCTCGCCAATGGCCCCACAACCTGTGTATGGAAACATAAAGGCTGTTGAATTCACGGCATCATCATCCCCTAGGAATCTTGTGTGTGCACACGAAGTCGCGCAACAAAGTGTGTGGAAGTCTCGAGCGAACAAGAATACCCTCTACTTCAACAACCTGAGCATCTCGACCGTAGTGACCTAGTGACCTCATATGACTGCCGTGTGCTCGTAACGAGAGCGAATGGCTTCATTGACAGTCACATATGCAAGCAGCTTCTCGAGAACGGATGAGTTTCCAACAGTCCCTCCCCCTTTCCTTCTCCAGCTAATTAACTCAACAGAGGAGTTGATCTGCATGACAGAGGTGATTGCAATTTCGCGAACGAAGCGCCAAAACCCATAAAGCGACACAAAAAATATGTTCTTCCAGTAGACTTTGTCAGGTCCATGACTCTAGTCGAAGTTCCTCACATGGGATCTGTTGACGAAGCCGTGCAGGACTGTGCGCGGGTCGTACACACCGATACACAAGCCATGCAGACTCAACACCCTTACATTACTGTCCCGCCTGTCATCAACGGGACTGTAAACGCAATGAAAGCAGCCGTGAGTACCTCCACTGTTGAGAGAGTGCTCAACTCCACAGCTCCACAACGTCCTTCGCATCGATCCTTGGAGCGAGGATGCAGTCAAGGCAACGTGGGCGCCCCCGCCATACGATGGCGTGCAGCGCAAACTCAACGTCTACTCTGCGTCCAAGACTGAAGGCGAGCAAGCTGCATGGGAGTGCATGAAGTATGAGAAATCAGGAGCTGACCGCAATAGCGTGCTCCCGACATAAATATCGGCCAAATAGTGTCTATCGAGCATCAGGGCTATCATTTCGTAGATCGAAGCACTTTGGGAAGGTCCCAAGAACGAGGGCTCGGAGAGCTTAGAGCATGAGAGGGATCGAGTTGCCCGGCACCCTCATTAGAGCGACGCTGATCCACATCTGTTTCTCGTTGCATTACTTGTAGGACTAGGTTCGTAGCACTCGACAAAGGAATGCCCCCAACCGCGTAGACCACACATGTAGTAGCAACTAGCCCTCCAGACACATACCTTGTCTAGAACAGTCGCGGCGTATCTGAGGGAAAGGGAGCAGGGTGGTCTAATTGCAACAGAGACTCCGCGAAGCAGACTTCTATTGTATCGGTTCTTGCATGCGGCTCCAATCATACATGTCCGTTATCGCGCATAGAGAAATATTAGCGAGGCTGGGGCGAGCCACACTAGGTACCGTTTGTTTGCGATGACAACAACATCTCTTCCCCCACGCGCGCCTAGCAACCCGCCGATCTAAGCGCACGGATGTGGGGATACTCTGAAAGACACTGGATAAGAGCTATAACACGCGGCGGCCATCGTCTGAACAATTTCCAGACGGTAGATAGTCGAGTCCGTTGAATTGAGGGGCAAAGCCTGTCGAGTCCGCCGGGCAACCACGCAAATGGCCACAACCATAACAACGCAGCGCGCCGCAGCTTCTATCTCGCCGCCCACATCAATACACCTGTGCTCACACCACATCTCCACCTCAGCCATGGCCGGCCCCTCTGCGCCCGTGGACCAGGCTCCTGCGGCCGCCGATACGCTCACGTGCAAGGCATGCCGCCGCACGCTCGCCACCATCACCGCAGACGGCGAGCTGCGGCCCCACGGCGCGCTGGACGAGGGCTGCGCGCTGTGCAAGGACATGGTGAAGCACTGCAATGAGTACGAGGAGGTGAAGGGGTACTTCAAGGAGCTGGAGCATCGACGCGACGACTACCGCCCACGGCAGCTGGCGCTCGAGGTCGTGCACGAGGCGCAGATGAATCTGGGCAACTTCATCCAGGCTGTGGCTGCGTGGGGCGACTCTGGAGATGGTCATGATGATGAGGATGAGGCGTGCGGAGGATCAGCCGGGGAGCAGCATAACAGAGTGCAAGAGCAAGAGCAGACCGCAACCCCGCCCGCGGATGCGCAACCGCACCGCAAGCGCATTCTATCGCCGGCGTCCTCACCTCCGCGCAAGCACGCAAAACGTCCACGTCTATCGGAGCGGCAGCGGCGCGTGAGCTTCGATCCATCGGTGGTATTCAGAGACGCTGAGGCGGCGTCGAAGCGCGTGGACGCCGAGTTCAGCCGGAACAGCGAGGGGTATTCGCGGGGACGGTATACGGCGCCCGAGGGGACGGAGTGGCTGGACACGTCGGGAAACAGTTTGCGGGAGACGCAGTTCTTTGGCGTGCAAAAGCGGGGGCGGAAATGGGTGCCGACGAAGGAGGGGATGGAGATGGATGAGGAGTGGGAGATGGGCAGTGGAGAGGGACATGCAGAGGAAGAGGGAAGCGGGGGAATCGCTGCGACTGGAGATGTCGATGAGAAGCAAGAACATCCACAGGACGTGCAGATGAAATGTGTTGGAAAGGAAACGTGAGGCTATGAATCCACGAGTCAAACAGCACAGCTGACGGAAGCAGAGAAACTACACCGTCAAGAAACATTCCTCTCCCCTATCGGACGTCGGTTGGGTTATCAGATCCCAGTAGTGATCCCCCCGGGCCTGACACCAAGCCATCATCAGAAGGAGCTGCCGACATCCAGATTGTCGAGCGCCCTTCCATCTTCGGTGACGGAAAGCCCAGTGCTCCACTGGACGAGGATTGAACCCTTGGACCGACGGAAGCAAACAGCAAATCATCGGAGACTGTATCAAAGTTTGCATCCACCACCCTGCTCTGACTCTGTAAAGAAACCCAGGCCAACACAAGCAACAGCCTTGGGGTTTAACACCCGTCTTCCCGCAGCCATGCATCGCGAGTTGCAAGAGGAACGGCAGGCTTGGATAGCGAGCTGCATTCACAGGGCCACAAAGCCACTTGGCGGCTAGAGCCCCTCCGTGCGAATCTTTCGACTGCATTCGGAGCTGGGAGCATTTGTATGTCTTTTTGGCTGGGCTTTAATTTTTTCGTTGTGGAATCTGGCGTTGCGATACCCCCTAGATAGTTGTTTCTATCGATTCCCCAGCAATGCCTGTCAAGCTGCGAACCTTTACGATCACGTCTCTGTTCTGTCTGCGACTTCACCACCCATGGCACATGACGACTAATCGCGCCAGCGACTCGTCCTAGCGCCTCCACAAGCTTTATCGACGTCAGCCCGATCTCAGTCTAATGCCAACTGTTCCTAGGAACAGTTGGACACTTTTCTCTACAAACCCTGGCACGTAAGCCCTAGCCGGGATCACACCGTTGCGAGCGGAGGACCCTGACACATGTTACATCAGCCTCCAACGACATACTTATAGACGACTTTCAGAATTGTAAGAATCAGGAGAACTTCGTTTCTTCTTCTTCTTTTTTTTTTTTTTTTATTCTGATTTGTCGGTCTCGCCATGCCTTTCCTCGCAAAGGACACCGTGCCAATTCCTACAAAGGATATCCTCTCCTGGGCGTGTGAAGGCCCAGAGTACGATCAAGACGCACCTGTGAGCATCAGATCCATTTTTGTTCCTCTCGTGGAGAGAAGGCGCTGATGAGTGTGTGGTGATATCAGCTCTACATCGACGCCGCAAACCCATCCACCACCCTCTCCGCCCGCCAAACAAAGTCCCTCGTCCGCCATCTCATCGCGGGGTTTCGCGCCGCCGGCCTCCACAAAGGCGACACGGTCTTGATCCACTCCTTCAACAGCATTTACTATCCTGTCATTGTCCTGGGTATTATCGGCGCAGGATGCATATATACGGGGACGAATCCGTCGTACACGCCTGCAGAGCTGGAACACGCGATCCGCGCTTCGGAGGCGAAGTTCATCCTGAGTGAGCCGGAGTTGCTGCCCGCGCTGAGGGTGGCGGCGAGGCAGCTCCGTCTCCCGGATGGGAGGATTCACATCTTGGATTCGACGTCCAAGGCCGACCAGACGAGCCCTACACCCGCGGAGTACTCACCATGGCGGTCTCTCCTCTCCCACGGCGCCGCGGACTGGGCCACCTTCGACGACGAGCAAACCAGCAAGACAACCACCGCCATGCTCTGCTTCTCGAGCGGGACCACGGGCCTGCCCAAAGCCGCGCAAATATCCCACTACAACCTGGTAGCCCAGCACACCCTCGCCTTCGAGCACAACCCCCGCCCGTACAGCATAAAGCGCCTCGTCTTCCTCCCCATGTTCCACGTCTCCACCGCGCCCATGTGCCACACGTCCCCCCTCCGCGCCGGCCACGCGCAGGTCATCATGCGCCGCTGGGACGTGGATGCCGTACTATCCCACGTCCCGGCCTTCGGCATCACAGACCTAGTCCTCGTGCCGCCCATGATCACGGCGCTGGTATCGCACGCGCTGCCGGCGCGAGAGAAGCGCCAACGCCTCAAAGGCCTAAGATGGGCCATCGCGGGCGCCGCGCCCCTCGACGCCGCCATGCAGGCGCGCTGCCAGACGCTCTTGCCTCGCGGCATCCTCACGCAGATCTGGGCCATGACGGAGACGACGTGCCTGGCGTCCGTGTTTCCCTACGGCGAGCCCGACGCCACGGGCTCCGTCGGCCGCTTCCTGCCCAACCTCGACGTCAAGCTGCTCGACGGCGCAGGCGCAGACATCACCGCGTACGGCGTGCGCGGCGAGCTGGCGGTCCGCGGGCCCACTGTGTTCAGGGGTTACGTGGGCGTGCCGCGCGCCCGGGACTTTGACGCAGAGGGGTACTTCCGCACGGGGGACATCGTTTGGGGTGACGCCGCGACGGGGAAGTGGTATGTCGTGGACCGGGTGAAGGAGCTGATCAAGGTGCGCGGGTTCCAAGTTGCGCCGGCGGAACTCGAGGGTGTGCTCCTTTCGCACCCGGGCATCCTCGATGCGGCGGTTGTCGGGGTACCGAGTCCCGAGACGGGGAGCGAGTTGCCGCGGGCGTATGTGGTGAGAAGAGTGGGGTGGGAGGATGTGAGCGAGGGGGATGTGGCGGAGTGGGTGCAGGAGAGACTGGCGAAGTACAAGAGGTTAGAGGGGGGTGTGAGGTTTGTCAGGGCGGGGGAGATTCCTAAGACTGCGAGCGGGAAAATTAAGAAGCAGGAGCTCAGGGAGATGGCGGGGAGGGAGATAGGGGCGAAGCTGTGATGGAGATGCATCTTAGTGTGCCACGCCCTGTATGGAACGATTACAATACAAGCTTTCCTCTCTGTGCCCCACTCCGTCCCATCCGCCCTCATGACCTATTATCCCCTGCTTTGTTAGAAAGTTCGACCAACCTCCTCTACATCTCTTCCCTTGCTACCTCTACTAGTAGACAGCCTACCACCCCACCCCACCCCTCTCTGCCTTCCCCAACCACTTCTCCCAGGAGACCTCGCGTATGCGCCAGATCAGTGCTACCGAGTCCATCGCCATGTGCAACGAGCAGTAAGTCGTGGTGAAACTAATGCCACGCGTCCTGCATAGCCCAGATAGTATTACAACATATGTCAGAAGTAGCCAGCGCCCCGCCCCCACTCCGCGCCCCGCCCCCTCCGCTCCATCTCCCCCACCCACCATCCCCTTTTCTCAGGCACAGGTGGCATTAGACTCAAAGCAGGTTGATGTTAGGAAGGCTTGTGTGTGCGCTAGATGGACGGCGCCGGCTTGTTCACTATTGTTCGCTTTGAGCAGTACAGGCCCATGTATGGAACGGTTGTATTACAAGCTTTTCTTGAACACAGCGTGGCAGAAGAGAACCGCCCTACCGTAAAGTTACGAATACAGTATACAAGCCTCCATCTACAGTCTCGTGTCAATCTCACAAGAACGTCCGACAGTCCCGTACCGCGCCGCACGGAAGCTACCCAATGACACCTCGCAATGGATATAAGCCTGCCTGCCAAACAAATTGCTCCGGAACAATGCTAATGCTAGAATAGAAATGAAGTAGTTCAAAGCACTCCGAGAGGAAGAGGGGGGCTGAACATGAGTGTGGGAGAATGTTCCAAAGCTGGATCTGCGACGGGGCAGGAAGGTCCTCAAAATACAGCTTCCTCCTGCGCCTTGGGGCTTTCCGACTCGACTGCAGCATGTTCGGTCTTTTCGGCCTCCGTAGCGGTAGGCATATCGCTCACGGGTTCTTCTGCGCCCGCGGCAGTGTCTTCAGTAGGGACAGGGGCCGTTCCAATGTCCGTGCCCTTTTCAGCAATTGGCTCTGTAGCAGCAGGACCAGTAGTCGCAGTCTCCGGTTCCTCGGTTTTCTCCTCGTGCCTCTCCTCGTGGTTGCCGTTAGTGACAACATCCTTAGCCTTGGCCGCCACCTCCTCAACCTTCTTCTTGGCCTTGGTGGCCAGTCCTTCAGGTGCCTTGGGCTTGGTGGTAGCTTTGGCAGTAGTCCTCTGACGAGGTGGCGATTCGGGCTTGTCGTGGGTCTTGCTGGCGCTGCTCGCCGTTGGGCGCATCATGCGAGCCAGGAAGCCATCGCTTGCGCCCGCTGCGGTGGACGCACGAGATGCAGGTCGCGCAGTGCTCGGGGCTAGTGATGCACGGGGTGCCGGTTTCTTTGCAGCAGGTGCAGCGGCTTTTGGCGCTGGTCTCGGTACGGTGGAGGGCTTGCGCGCGGGCTTCTGTTCAGCAGCTTCTTCTCCATGTTTCGCAGCGGAGGAAGCAGTAGGGGCAGTCAAATGAGACGGCAGCCGGACTGGTCGGGTTGGTGACCGAGGCTTGGGTTTCACGAATCCGCCTGTAGTTGCTGTGCCAGTTTTGGAGGGAGCAGACGGAGCTGCCTTTGTGGATATCTTCTTGATTTCGGCTGCTGCCGGTTTGGCTTTGGCTGCTGCGGTGGCAGTGGTGCCGGCGGTGGCAGTGGAGGGTTTCGCAGGAGCACGGGCCGTGAACTTGGGCGCGACGGGTTTCGTAGGCTCCCTGGGGGCAGCGGGTTTGAGCTGAGCTTTGGCGGGCGCTGGAGACTTTGCAGCAGCTGGAGATTTGGCCGGCGGCGCTGGGGACTTGGCGGCAGTCGCAGCAGGCGTAGGCTTCGAGGCCGTCGGCGTCTTGGGAAGAGGCGACTTGGGCAGAGGGCTACGTGCGGCGCTGGTACCGCGGGCCGATCGGGCGGGCGACTTTGCGGTCGAGATGGCCGCAGGCTTCCTCGTCGAGGCTCTGCCATTTGTCCTGGGCGTCTCCTTTGCTTCGGCCGTGGGCTCTGTGATCTTGGGTGTTTGCGGAGCAGCCTCGCTGCTGGTGGGGTGGGACAGGACCTCCGCTGGGGCAGGGAGAGCTCCGCCTCCCGCCACGGCGGCCTCGTCGGTGGGGTCGGCTGGCTTGAGCGCGGCTTCCTCCTGGGCGCCCGTCACGACCTTGTCCGGAGTCTCTGGCTGGGTCTCTGCTGGCTTCTCATGGGCGGCGGGCGCAACTTGGGCGTCTCCGGGGCGCACGTTGGGCGCTTCCTCGGTCGGCTGCTCTGCCGCGGCGACAGGCTCCGGGAAGTCGGACCCCTTCATGATGCTACCTAGGTTTGGCATCTTGCCTGCAGGCTCGCGAAGCGGCGCTGGTGCTCTGGAGGATTCCTAGCAGAACAACACCTTAGTCCACGTCGCACAGCAAAGCGGCGGCTCGCCCTCAGTCCACTCACCCTGGTCTCGACGGCCTGCTCGGGCACGGCCTCGTCAACGGCAATGCTCTTCTTGCGCTCCTCCTTCTCCTCGCTGATGGCCTGCTTGAGGTCCGCGACGTCGCTCGACTCGCCGCTGACGCTGAAGCTCTCGCGGCGCTGGGCGTGGGGGGTATTCGTGCTGACCCCTTTCGTGGTGCCCAGCTCTTTGGCGGCGCCGGCAGCGTGCGGCTCGACAGACACAAAGGACGCGCGCACTTTGGACGTAGGGCGGTTGGCGTCGCTGGTTGCGCTCCCGGCGGGAGAACGGCCGCGGGGCTCAGGAGACGACGAGGCAGCGTTCTGGCTCTCGAACATGGCCCGCAGGTTCCGGACGCCTGCGTTGTTACCGCTCATGGCTGCGACGGACGGGCAATCGTCAGTGACTGTGTTCGCAGCGTGGTGATGCTCGCGTTGCGGTGGAGTGTGCAAACTGATTGGGGGAGATGCTGCGAGACAATCCCAGGTAACGTGTGCTTGGGAACAGGGGTCGGTCGGCGGGATTAGCTGGTAAACAAAAATTGCCCCAGGTCTCAGGAACAACAATGCCCAGCGTTTCACGGCTAATTGGCTGCTATGCGACTTACAACGGTGGGTTGTTACAGCGAAAGGGCTCGCGAATTTTGGGACGCGTTGACACGGTCCGAGAGGAAATGAAGTGTCTCCTGGACGACGCACAAGCGACCGCGACCTAAACACAGCCTAAGCGCTAGAAGAGGGAGCGCGATGTCACGCTTACCGACAGGCCCCCATGCCGCCCCTTGAGCCCCCATCTTGCGGGCATTGCACGCTTTTTCTTGATCCCTGAATTACTAGCAGCTGTGCTGGGCGCTCAAAACGCAGCCTCAGGTCCATGCAAGCCGTCGTGTTGACGGGACGATTCTTTTTCGCCGACCAATGAGAGCGCGTCGTACTCCCATTTTGCCCAATAATACGGGGAGAGCCGCCAATCACAATGCGGCGTTGGGTGCATTTTCCCACAGCTCTACCGTCTCAACCTCAATCTCCACCCCGTGTACAACTTGTCAAGGCTGCTCAACATCACATGTGCTGCATCACATCCTTGGTGCATTCTAGAGACATCCAATGGATTAATATAGTCATCTGAAGAATCTAACCTGACAACTTTGGCCCAAGCCACACGGAATCGCTAAATATGTACATGCAGCAAACCCAATCGAAAAAGTTATTATGCCCAGTATCCAAGCAGAGCCATCAGCCCAGCACCAAGCACCATGAGTGTAAAAGCCCAGAGCATCCTCGAGATCGGCCCCTTCTGCATGTACGGCGAGAACATGAACTCGTGCGCCATGAGCTCAACGAGCCCGGTGTAGATCAGGATACCAGCACTGATGGAGTCAAAGACTCCGTTGGTCAAAAGGGTCGTGGTCGACTCGGGCGGATAAGACGTGCGGACACCTAGACCAACAGCAATGGCAATAGGAGTGGACAGGCCATAGGCAATACCCATGATGTATGGCGTCCACCTCTTGCTCTTGGGCCAGGGGACCATGGCCAGTCGAGAACCCAAACCAAGGCCTTCGAACATTTGGTGGAAGACCAGGACAATGTACAGGGTGATGAACTCGTCGCCAGAAACCGCAAGCGTCAGGCCGATGAAGATGGAATGGAAGATGACGCCGAACTCAAGAATGAAGATGGCAGTGATCTGAGCCGCGTACGTCTCAGGGATGATGCCGCGGGCTTCGAAGTCGGAGCCAAGCTCAGAGTTATCCGTGTGGTCTCGCGTGTGGCCAAGATGGTCTTCACCAATCTGATGGCCATGACTTTGGTCGCCCTCGCTCCCCACAGTCTTACTGCGGTCCTCCAGGCTGACCGAATCGTGGGGAGCGGATCCATGCGTATGGCCATCATGCGAGTGCTCTCCTCCAAAGTTACCGAAACGCATAGTCATCAGCTCCAGGAAGAACATGAGGAAGATGGTCATGAGCGCAATGCCCTCTGGCCATGGATACACGGTGATGACACCAGTAAGGCATGGGTTCCCGAGTGCCTCATTTGCTGGTGCTAAGAGGTGTATGAAGGCGGTAGCAATGATGACACCAGAACCGAAGTACTTTGCAACAAAGAAGAGCGACTCGGGTATACCTAGCTGGCGGTTTCGCTTAGCAAATACGGGGAAAACGGCACCTGATATGTGTAAGCGGATCGTTGCTGTGTCCACGCGCTTCGTGCAATACATACCGAACATAGAGCCGACCAGAATGACAAAGATGGACGATATCCGGATGCCCATGCGCCCATCATATGCGTTGGAACTGATGCAGTGGCCCGGTGAAGGTTCCTCCTCGGCGCCTTCCTCAGCCTGACGCAGCACGAGACGTGCCACCTCCATGGGCAACGACATAGTTGCGTATCGTGGTAGGTATGAGTATAACGTGGCTGAGGTTATGCGGTGCACGGTGTGTTACCGAGCCAAAGGTCGCAGAGGGAGACAAACAGTAGATGACGGCCAGGACTAGGCAGCGCCGAGCAGTCTTGTTACCAGGCTGGTGGTCTTATCCTGCAGCGAGGAACGCTTGGAGGACGGGTCTTTTAATTGGAACCAAGAAGGAGTACTGTGATGGACGGCTGCAGGCCTTCAGTGCGCACCTTATTGGATAGTTGGGGTTTGTAGGGAAGTCGGCATCGTATCATGACAGAGTTTGTAGGGCGCGCCCATAATTGCAGTGAGTACCATGATGGGCGGGCCGCTAACAAAACGGAACACCGGACTTGATAAGCACATGAACGCCGTCACTATTGGTGCAGCGCGTCCAGAATCGCGGGTGACAGGCACAATGGAACCCTTTTCTTTTCGAAGAAGCATTTGTATGGCCTCTGTGGCGTACAGTAGTGGTGCATAGTTCTGGTGTTGCAGTGCGCGACGTTGATGCAGCGCAAGCGAAAACGAGGCTGACACCATGTCAGCCGCATCAGGTCCAGCGCGCTGTGGACTCGGCTGCTCGCACAGCTGAAGGATTAAGAACTCGACGTCTGTTCAGTCGTACCGGACAGTTTCTACACTGCGACTGGTCTTCTCGCTAACACGGTATGTGACTGCGACATAATTCTTCCATCATTCGACGTGGCTCGCACACTGTACGCTTCTTGGATCTTTGCTATCGCGCTCGCGAAACTGGCGTCATGTCGCAATAGTCCTAGAGTGAACCGGGCAGGTCAACGGGGCCGGCGAACATGCTGCTAGGCGGCGCAGTATTGGCTGCGTAGACGCGGTCTCCACCTGGGTGGATACTGACGACGTGAACTGTTCGTATGTACATATTCTCAAGCTGGTCAGCGTTAGAGTAACTCGCGTATCGCAGTGGCGACCGTACTCACTGGCTGACGTGCTCGCACATGGTGGATGGACGGACAGTACATAATCAGCACACGTGGGAACATCAATACACCGCTCCGGGGCGCCTCGCGTCGGATGATGCGGGTTAGGGGAACTGGTACATAACCTGCTTCCAACGATCCAGATCCAGCCGGCAGGCTGCAGCACAGGCATCGGCGATCGGCGCCGCCATGATGGGATTCCGCAGAATCCCATGTAGACACATCGACCAAGTGCGCGCCGCCATTCTGCCGCCATGAGACCATTGCGTCCCCAAAGCTTCGCAAAGGGAACCCGTCGAGGCAGAGCTGGCGACGACGGGCTCTCACGAGCTCAAGGCCCTTTTCTAGCGTGCCGTGAGCAATCAATGGTTTGACACACGCGATGCTGCATTCTCCAGTATGCGGGGTTTCGATCCAGCGCCAGCCAATCATGAAAGCACGCATCGGGCGGAGCTATGGCCAGTGACGTATCGATCCCCCTCCCGCTCCAGTGCTTCCATGGAGCTCTGGCTGAACAGCTGACTAGTGCTACGTCCTCAAATAGCTGCCTGCTCGGTCTCCCGCCTTTGAATACAAGACTCGCACCAGCTTCTCTTCCATCACACACTGCAGTCTACACGCCTGCACCACCGCCGTCATGATTGTAGACGCTTTCAAGACCACAAAGGGCCCTCTCATCCCTCTTCCCACCTCCCTCATCTCCTCCCTGACTGCGTCGGCCACCGCCACCGCATCGCACACCTCCCTTCCTACCGTCTTCCCGGACCCCATTGAGAAGCAGTTCGTCGGCGACGATGGCAAGAAGACACTCTGGGTCATCTTTGTGGCTATGACCATTGCCTCGGCAGCCTTCGCGGCCATGTCGTGGAGGGTCCCCGTCGTAAGTTTGCCTCACACTTGGCTCGTCCCAGGCTCACATGTCTACAGCAACGCCGCTTGTACCATGTCATCACGACCATCATCCTCATCATTGCTTCCATCTCGTACTTTGCTATGGCGACTGGCCAAGGTGTGTCTGTCCACACCACCATTGTCCGTCACCAGAACGACCACGTTCCGGACACTTTCACCGAGGTGCAGCGACAGGTCTTCTGGGCCCGCTACGTCGACTGGGCTCTGACCACACCCCTTCTTTTGCTCGACCTCAGTCTTCTTGCTGGTCTCAACGGCGCTCACATCACCATGGCCATTGTTGCGGATGTTATCATGATCCTTACCGGTCTTTTCGCCGCCTTCGGCAGCGAGGGCACTCCCCAGAAGTGGGGATGGTACACCATTGCCTGCATTGCCTACCTTGTCGTCATCTGGCACTTGGCTGTCAATGGACGCGCTCAGGCCAACGCGAAGAGCCAGAAGCTCGGATCTTTCTTCTTGGCCATTGCCGGCTACACTCTCATTCTCTGGACCGCCTACCCCATGTGAGTTCTGCGCCTAAACCGTCTTTAGCAAATGCTAACATGCACAGTGTCTGGGGTATCGCCGACGGCTCGCGCAAGCTCTCTGTTGACGCCGAGATCATTGCCTACGCTGTCCTTGACGTCCTCGCCAAGCCCGTCTTCGGTATCTGGCTTCTCGTCACTCACGCCAACATGCCCGAGACCAACATTGACCTTAGTGGCTTCTGGTCCAACGGTCTTGGTGGCGAGGGTGCCGTCCGTCTCGAGGACGACGGTGCTTAAGTGCTTGCTTCATGTCTCAAAATAGCTCAGATTGCGAACTATGACGGAGCGATGGTATGGGCCGCAAAACTGGTTTTGCTTCTGATATCGCTTCGAGTAGCGGAGATGGAAAAGCGCGGATATGCCGCGGAGAGCATTACGATCACGGGTGCACGGCTGGCGTTTCGGCGATATCGTTGCGATGCGTAATTCTTTATATGGGGTCTTACTGACTGGAGAAACCGGTCAAGTATTCTCTACTTTCGTAATTATATCCTGCAGTTCCGATCTCTTCATATCCTTATGTTCCTCTTCTGTGGCAACGGGCGACACGCGGTTGCGACGCGTGCTAGCGCCACCGAGCTACGTCACGAGCAGATCTCACAGAAACAGCGACATGTTTCACAGATCGCAGCGCACAGCGCCCTAGTCAATCATCACGATTCGAGGCCGGGGACGGCCTGTACAACAATGATGTGGCATGTAAAGCACCTGACGATGATCTGGGCAATGCCTGAGGTTTGGCGGCTGGGTGCAGGGATGTCTGTTGCTGGGTGACCCCGCATTCATGCCCATGCGTACCTATGTTTGGCAAGCTCGAAGCGGCCGCCCTTTCATCACGCTACATTGAAACGCACCGACACCGCCTCACAAGCTGCACCTTCGCAACACCACTCCCACACTTTTCTACCTCCTTCCCAGCTTCACATCACACCAAGACGTACAGCCACCCACCATGACCGACGCAGCTATCGACGAGACGCCCATCTCGCCCATCCGCAGCTTGGAGCGCCGCGACAGCTTGGAGAAGCATCTCCAGCACCGCCCGGATCCCCAGGATCTGAAGAACCGCCACATCCTACTCGACACAAACACCGCTCCGTACGTCTAGACCTCGCTTCCCACCCCCTCCATCTCGCCATCTCTCCACAAACAACGAACAAAGCTGACACGCCACCCCATCCAGCGCCCTGCAAGCCAAGGCACTCGAGCTTGAGCGCCAGCGCGCCACCGATAACCTCAAGAAGGGCCTCGAGCACCGCCCCGAGCGCGAGGCCCTCGTCGAGCGCAACATCCTGCCCGACTCCAACGCTGCGCCCGCGCTGCAGGGCCACCAGCGGGAGCTCGAGAAGAACATGCGCGCGGATAGCTTGGAGAAGGGGCTGCAGCATCGGCCGTCGCCCGAGGAGCTCGTGAAGAAGGGGATTCTGGAGGCGGATGAGAATCCGTTGAAGGAGGAGTGAGTGAGAGGGAGGAAGGAAGGGATGGCGGTGGGGTGGGAGCGGGCTGTTCAGCGGGTTCGTAGTGATAGATACGATGTCGAGGCCATGATGATGAGTGGGCACTCCGCGGTATGAAGGATATGAGATGACGGTCTTTTAGGCGTCGAGCGACATGATGGGATTTGCGAGCGACTGGACTGGACCGGGCTCCATTGTGCGCAGGACTGTGACAGTGTGCTTCTGGTCCTGCTAAGCGGCAGGCCAGTCTATGGATCTGGGTTTCGCATCCGGTTTACAATTGACATGTATTCTTCACTAAACCTTGCCTGCAATGAAGTGAGATGTTTGACCATTTTAGTTCGCAGGAGAAGAAAAGGTGCGTTGACGTCCCAAAGGCAGGAGCCTGGAAAGTACGTGCAGGTGTGCGCTGACGCTTGCTGCACAGAGACGATAGTCACGGTTTCAGTTCAGCCTTTCAATCTCGAGGGTTTACTCAAGCGCTGGACTATCTTCTCACATCATGTACAAGAGCACCAAGAATATACGGATGTCGACGGAGTGCTTTCATTCAAAGCAAAGTACGTAGCGACCGAAGCGTCGAGGATATAAACCTCGATCCAATCGTCTACTTCACAGCAACAGGCAGAGGCTGTCCACCTAAGCCGCAACCTCGGATGGGAGTACGTAGCGACCGATGTGTCCAGGTTCTAAATCTTCATCTTGACGTCCATAGAGCACCAGGCTGAGTTTGCCCGCCTAAGCCGCAACCTCCCTGCGCTCCTCGCGCACAGCCTCCTTATTGTCGAGATCAATCGTACCAGCGGCAGCCTGCGCCTCGCGATCCTCCTCGATGCGCTTCACAAGCTCCGTTACACCGAACAAGTCGTCCATCTTCTCAAGTGACAGTCCCTTGGTCTCGGGGATTAGGAACCACACGAAGAAGAACATGGAGAAGCAGAAGCACGAGTAAATGAGGAAAGCGCTATTGCAGTGTCAGTAACATGCCTCTCGAGCAACACAGACGAAGAGTCAACTTACCCATATCCGTTGGCGCCCACCGTAGCCAGCATGTTTGGCGTAGCCCTCGCAACGACAAAGTTGAACAGCCACTGCGTTGCAGCTGCGATGGCCACATTGAGCGACCGCAACCGCGCCGCCGGAATCTCAGACACGTAGATCCAGCACACGGGTCCCCAGCCCCACTGGAAGAACCCAGCAAACAGGAAGATGCACACCAATGCGAAGTAGCCAGCGGGCGGCACGGCTTGGCCCGCAATAGGTGGATCGATGCGCACGTACAGGCCAATGTACAACATAGCGCAGCCCTGGGCAATGGACGTCCACAGTAGTGATCTTCGGCGGCCGAGCGAGTCAGCTGCGAAGAGGAGGAAAGCAGCACACGTGGACATCTTGACGACTCCGTAGATACCGGTCGCAAAGAGATTCGTGGACGTTCCAACGAGACCGAGATTCTTGAAGATTTGCGGGGCGTAGTAGTTGATGGCGTTCGTACCGGTCATCTGCTGGCAAATCATCAGACCGATGGAGATGAATGCGCGCTTCCTGTTGCCAGGGATGGTGAACATTTCGCGGAGCAAATCTTTAAGGGTTGCGCCTCCGACGAGCAGGCGCTCGTGCTCCAGTTGATCGCTGATGTCCTTCAACTCGGCCCTGACGTAAGGGTGTTCGGCCGGTAGGTGTCGCATGCGTGCGAGCACTTTTGTAGCATCTTCCCAGCGGTCGGCTTTCGCAAGCCATCGAGGCGATTCCTTGTTCAAAAGCATGCAGCCGACTAAGACGACGGCAGGCAGGGCCTGCATGGCCAGCGGCACCATGTAGGTGGATTGTCCCTTGAGGTGTAGAATGGAACCGTAGTTGACCCAAAAGGCAAGCATGGTTCCGCATGCGATGAAGAGCTGGTAGATACCCGTGAGACCGCCACGGATGGCACGTGGTGCGTTCTCTGCGATATAGAGTGGGACAACCATGGAGGCTCCGCCGACACCGACGCCAGCTACGCAGCTGCAGATTTTATGAGCGAAGCTCGCACGGGGGATTCAGGGGAAATGTTACGTACCGACCAACATACATGGACGCGATACTTCCGAAACTGCAAGTCTGGATCACGCAGCCAACAATGGTAAGAAGACCGTTGAAGATCAGAGCCGTCTTTCGTCCCCATTTGTCGGCGATCCAAGACGAGAGGAAACAACCAAAGAAACAACCCGCTTGAAGGGTCGATGCGATATTCGCAGACAGATCAGCATTCTGTTTCTTGAACTTCGGGTCGGCAGAAAGCCCGTATTTTCTGTCCGAGCCAGCAATGTTAGCCTCATCCGGTCTTATCCGCCAATGTTGGAGACGGGTGTACATACGCCATGAAGGCAGGCAACGTCAGCACACCGCCGATAGTACCAATGTCGAAGCCGAACAGCATGCCACCAAAGCATGCCGAGCAGGCCATCATGAAGGTGCGCCATCCGTAGATTTGCGGGGGATCTTCCTTCATGGCATCGTTCTTGATGACCTTGTAGAGGAAGCGCGCGCCGGCGCCGGCATCGGCCGTGATGGGGTTGGAAGCCATCTTGTAGATTGTCCAAAGCTGTGCTGCCTTTCTTAAACCAGATGAGAAAGAAGACGAAGCAACACGTCTCAGTGTCAATTAGTCCCTCAACGAAGCGGACCGGGTGAAGCGGAAAGGCACTGGAAGAAAGCAGCGACTCGGCCTCAGACGACAGACACTTTGATTAAGCACGTCCAACCCTGTATATACACCTCAACACCCTGGCCCAAGCGCGGATCTTGGAAGGACGGCCGCGCGCCCGTCCCAAGTCATGAACACCACCTCTCCAGAACGCCCAGCCCCTAGCCCGCACCCAAGATCTCCGTGATTCCTCCACTTAAATCTCTCCACATCGCGAGGCCCGCCTCCAGATCTTCCCCAGCTTTCATGTCCGCCGCCCGCTCCCTGAATTGGCCTGCGGCGCAACGCGGATTGCCGCGTATAACTGGTGGAAGATTGGAGCAGCACTCGCCGGCATGGCATTGCCAAGCCAAGCGGGCGGGATTCCCACACGCGCCCACTGGACGTTGCGCCAGCCAGCCGCTCGTTTGGTTGAGATGAGCAGGGCCGCACGTGAGATTCCGTGGTTGATGAAAGCTGGGGTAGGGCCGCGCTTTACCGCCGTGGGAACGCTCCGCGTGCGCTACGCCGGGCCCCATTCATTTACCCGTCGAATGAGGGCCACCCGCTCGGGGCAGTGGAGGGCCCCACGGCGCCGGCGATGTTGGCTCGATATGGTCTTCTCCCGCTTCGGTGCGGAACTCTTGTATGGTGCGATGGAGACCTGGAATCGTTGGGATCTCATCGGATCACCCTTCAGGCTGTTCTTCGGGATGTGGACTCCACTGTGGAGTCTACACGCCCTTTCAGCCGCAGGTATTGTACAGTGTAGGCGAGGAGTAGCCGCATAATAGGCGCGGGTAGAACGATTGTGGGTCGCATACATCCAGGCGACTTCGCGTGGATACGACAATGCCTGCGCGGTAGACGACACCTAGAAAAGGCGCAGACAATGGCCAGACCTTGAGTCCTGACGCCACCACTACACCATTCGATCCTACACAGGCGCTGCAGTTGGATCTCGCCTGAGTGCGACACCCCAAAGAAACGGATCGGTGACCCAAGCGCTCTGTCGGCCTTTGCATTGCGGCTTTTGCTTCGGTCCTCGGGACAGCACCAAGCCCTCGGCGGCCTCTCTTGCGAGTAACGACGCGACAAACAAACGCCACTTCGTGTCGTAGAAGCTTGTCGCAACGTGCTTCAGGCGGTTACCTCCACCCTCCCGAGGAACAATGTCCGCGAAAGTTGCAAACGCAAACCGCTCCTTTCCTCTCCACCCCTTCCATTCCAACCCTCTACAGTCCCGCGACGATGTTGTTGCGGCGGTCGCGTCGCTGCTTGAGCCCCTCCATGGTGGGGCCTCTCCAAAACATTCCATGGTAAAAGTCGGCGCGACGGGAACAAGATTCGATGAGACGGCTGCACAGGTAGAGGGCTATGCGCGACCGCTGTGGGCACTTGCGCCGTTGCTCGCCGGCGGCAGCACGTATGCTGGCACAGACAAGTTTGTTGCAGGTCTTGTCGCGGGGACAGACCCTGAGAGCGAGGAGTTTTGGGGTTACATGGAAGACCAGGACCAGCGCATGGTTGAGGCGTGTCCCATTGGGTACACGCTTGCCATTGCGCACAAGGACTTCTGGGACCCGCTCACCGATGCGCAGAAGAAGAACGTGGAGACGTGGCTCGGTAGTATGAATGACAAAGACATGCCCAACACCAACTGGCTGTGGTTTCGTGTGTTTGCAAATCTGGGCCTTGCCGCGAACGGCGCGAAGTGGGATACGGAGAGGATGGAGAAGGACATCAAGCAGCTGAATACGTTTTACCGCGGCGATGGCTGGAGCAACGACGGACCCGAAGGATATCGCCAGATGGACTACTACTCCGGCAGCTTCGCGATCCAATACCTACAACTCCTCTACGCCAAACTAGCCGCAGATACGGACCCCACGCAGGCAGAAGAATACAAGTCTCGCGCGCGGCAGTATGCCCTCGACTTCGTGCATTACTTTGACCCGGAGGGCCGTGCCATCACCTTCGGCCGCTCTCTCACCTACCGCTGGGCCATGGTTGCCTTCTGGGGCTCCGTCGTCTTCGCCGACGTCGAGCTCCCCGCGCCCCTCTCCTGGGGCGTCGTCAAGGGAATCTGGCTGCGCAACCTCCGCTGGTGGACTACCCAACAAGACATCTTCCAGCCAAACGGCCTCCTCTCCATCGGCTACTCCTACCCAAACACCTACCTCGCCGAGAACTACAACTCCCCCGGCTCCCCCTACTGGTGCATGCTCGCCTTCGCGCCCCTCGCCCAGCCTGTGTCCCACCCCTTCTGGCAGGCAAAAGAAGAACCGCACCCCTTTGGCAACGATAGAATCGCCCGCCCCCTGCCGCACCCCCGCCACATTGTCGTCCGCAGCGGCGGCCACTCGTTCCTCCTCTCCTCGGGCCAGTCTTGCCACTACCCGCTCAAAAACACGCAAGCCAAGTACGGCAAGTTCGCCTACTCCTCCGCCTTCGCCTACTCGGTGTCCACCGGGTCCTACACCCTCGAGCAGTTCGTCCCGGAGTCATCCCTCGCGCTGTCCGACGACGGCGGCGAGCTCTGGAAGATGCGCCGCGCGCTGCACGGCGACAGCGAAATCGAGACGCACGACGGCGGCCCCGTGCTCGTCTCGTCCATGAAGCCCTGGCCCGACGTCGACGTCCTCACGTACCTGGTCCCGCCCGCGCAGGACACGCCCAACTGGCACATCCGCGCGCACCGCGTCCGCACCGCCCGCCCGCTGCTCACCGCCGAGGGCGCATTCGCCGTATACGGCTCCCGCGCGGCAGACGGCAGGAATCTCATCAACCTCGACGGCAGCATCGCGCTGGACAAGGCGATCCCGGAGGGCTGCACGGCGGACGGCACGTCCTCGCTCGCGGTTTCGCCGCGCTCGGGGGCCGTCGGGATCGCGGAGCTGGTCCGGGGAGAGCGCGCGGGTAGCATTCTACTGGCCGATGCGAATAGCAATCTTGAGCATGCGCGGACGGTGCTGCCGACGGTGCAGGGCGCGCTAGAGGCTGGGACGACGACGTGGTTCGTCAGCGCGGTGTTTGCGGTGCCGGCGAGCGTGGAGGGGTGGGAGCAGAGTTGGGAGGAGGGGTGGGGGAAGAGACCGGTGGTGCCGACGTGGTTGAGGAGTAAGATTGAGGGGCGGTGGGATTAGATGGGCTGGGGAGAGGAGGGGAGGGGTGCGGAATGATGATGACCATGACGATGATAAGACGACTTGGAAAAAAGTAATGAAATGCAATGACAGACTGTTTGAGATACGAAGACTACTGCAGCGAGATGGGGAGTGGGTGATTATGGTGCAAAGCTCGTTCGTCATAGAACCCTCCTTTTTTCGCCTTTCTATAGGACACGCCCAACAGAGTTGGCAAATTGGTGTTGGGAATAGCAATGAAGTCTCAGGCCTGGCTGCGCTGAGCTGCGACGACGCAGATGGTCCGCAGATACCAAGTCAAACGATGAACACATAACACCAGGACGTCTATAGGTATGGTAGCAGGGAACGTGTTCTTCGCTGGTGTGAAAGTGAATCGACCCTATCAGACTACGAGGCCATCACAGGCAAGAGAATTGCACGTAGATGTATGAGCCTAGGATCATCCTCGGATTGCATGTAAATGCTGGAACAAAAGCGTCTCTTGCCGTCGACTGGCACAGAACTGAACTCGTCCGGGCGACCGCCCGGTAGCGCACAGCATGTCGACATTGGACCATACGAGAACATCCCGCACGATTTTCCTTTCTGTGGCCGCTACGATAGAAGGAGTACGATTCCGAAGGATACACCTGGCGCGCAAGTCGATGATATGCCGTCGAAAGCTGAAGATTACCGAGGCTATGAATGAAGTCGAACACCTTCACAGGCTTCGACATGAACACATTGCATCCAAGGACAAACGTTGGCACTTCTCCTATACCCGGTCGCCGAAATGATCTGAAAGACTTTTTGAGCGGCATAGAAAGGGTTCAAGTTCCACACAATACGATGGAATACAGCGATTTCATGGCTTTCGCGAGCGTGGTCCAGTTATTCAACTGTCTCGCTGCGGCGCTGGCCTACGTGCACGAAAAGACTACAAAGCATTTGGCCATCAAGCCTCGAAATGTTCTGGTCAAACGCAGTTGCGAGCGTACTTTTGGATGCCAAGTGTATCTTGCAGATTTCGGCATGTCCCGCTCTTTTTCGCCCTTGGACCACGATCAGACAGAATCTACAGTTGCAAGGACTGCGAGATGCTGCGCTCCGAAGGAATTAGCTAATAAGCCCCATGGCAGAGCAGCGGATGTACTTTCGCAGGATGTGTCTTTCTCGAAATGCAAACAGGCGTCTGTTGGAAACCTCTGGGAGACCTGGATGATGTGCTGATGTCGGATGTACCAGACCTGTCATTTCACGGTAATCTCGGGTCGGTCTTCGAACGGATCGAGAACCTCTCTAGAGCACAACCTGCGTTTATTATGCTGATTAAAGACAGTTTGCAATGAGAAGTTTTCGCCAGGCATCTTTTTTTATCTGTTTTGGCTAGGCGTGTAGCTTAGGCATGGCGGAAGTGTCACCCCAACGGCGACAGCAAGTTTGATGTTATGGCAAAACGAGCGGCGACGTTTCCTCCTACAAGTATTGTTACAAATTGCCCCTTTTGGACGGGCGCGGCTGCAGTACCAAAGCCAGTCAGCCAAAGTGTCTGCGCTGGCACATCGATCCTATGCGTGGAGGGAGTGATGAAACATCACTACAAACTTCGTAAACAACTTGCCAGGCCAATTACGAAGTCGGTAATATCGAATTTGCAAGAGTGACATTTCGTTTGCCTGGTCTGTTTCACTCAAGTGACATTTTATACTATGTTGAAGATTATCGATAGTACGCAAACAAATCACCACCAGCAGCGGTCTGCAGTCGCATGTTCTATACCAGAGCTTGCCGTAAGCCAACCAGGAACTTAACAATACGAATCTCGCTTCTCACCTTGGTAGCTGTAGTTTAAGCGTTGCAACCCTCTACTGTCAGTCTCGCAAGCAATTCGTAGCCACTCAGAGCATACACAAGTACTGCTACAAGCATGCCATCCAAGTAATACGCCAGCGCCATATTTCGTTCCCATGCGACCAACATGTACCTTTGGACCGCAACACAGCCCTCCATCTCTCCCTCACGAACCCCCACCGTGCTTCTCCCTCACCTCACTCTGCCCCATCATAACCCACCCCTTAAATGGATCCTCGACCTCTGGATCCCGCCTCAGCCGCTCAATCTGGTCCTCGCCTGCAGGCACCCTCAACCCCCTCTTCACGCCCTCCCTCGCCTCGATCCTCTCCGCCCACGCCTTCACCGCCGGAAACGCATCCAGCTCCACGCCCGCCCACGGCGCCCACGGCACCCACGCGAACGCAGCAATGTCCGCGATGGAGTACCTGCCTTGCCCGCGGCCCGCGAGATACGCACGCCGCTGCAGGCGTTCATCCAGCACCGCGTACAAGCGGCGCGTCTCATTCTGGTAGCGCTCGGCAGCATACGCGATTCTCTCCGGGGCGTACCGCACAAAGTGGTTTGCCTGGCCCTGCATAGGCCCGAGGCCCGCGTTCTGGAAGAACAGCCACTGCAGCATTTCGCTCCGCTCGACGAGGTACAGCATCACGGCGCCGCTCTCGAAGACGGCGAAATCGCCGCGGCTGTGGTCGATGATGGCGGAGGAACGCTGGTGTCTTCTGTTCGTCGGCAGATAAGTCGATGGGGGTCGCTGTGTACGGGATTCCTAACTCCTCGAGCAGAATGCTGATTTTCTGGCCGTTGGGGGTGGCGGCGGTCAGGAGCTCGATGCCCGTGATGGTAGGCATATCGGGTAGTGAGCTGCTGGCATCGATTGCATGCGTGGAAGTGGACAATCTGGCAATCTGCGATTCCGTATGCACATCATACACAAGATAGAGATTGTTGGCCTCGCCTTCCACGCTTGTGTCTGGCAATTAGATTGTTGCACCGATAAAGTGAAGCTCGAATTGATGTCCTTATCGGTACCCCCTTATACCCTCCAGTGGCGCGTGTAAGGTGCAGTGATTGGCACTACGAGCGCGCGATGACGTTCACGATGAATGTGTTAGCAGTCTTGCTGTCCCGCCCACGAACGCGCTAGACCGCGCGCAGCACGACCGGATCGGAGCGGACATCAACATCATGCATGAATCAGCGACCGAACCTGGACAATATCGAATGTAACTTTGAGCTTTGAATTCGCTAGCTACAGCACAACAGTGGTTGGGGGTATCATACAAATAAAATACAGCCGCTTCAGCCAGAGAAAACGTGCGGCAGGCCGGCCGTTATTGCGACTGCGTTATAATCCAACCGCAGGACCAGGCCCGTCAAGCATCTCCAACACACAGTCTGCGAGCGGGACTAGGTTCAACACATTAAGGAAATGGCGTGCGGGCGATACTATGTACTGGGCGCGGCGCGCCGCCAATGGGGGTATTTGACAAAGGAAAGATTCGTAGGACGTCGAGATCACACTGGACGTATGGTGCCGGTTGCGCCGAGGGAAGGATACAGCCGTGATGTGGAAGTTGGATGGAACGCCGAAACAAGGAAACCAAAACGCCGGGATAGTGTGCTTAATTGTAGGACAAGGAAATTGAAAAGTATGGTGGTTTTGATGTTATAGGGGCGACGCAAGAGGTGATATGAAGCTCTGTAATCCAGATATTGCGGACTTCATTCCGTCGATGTCGATGCCGCTGTCTCGATCTGGATTGGATGGTGGAGAGCCGTCCATGGGGTTCAATTCTCGGTGAGGAGGACTCCACGGGCTTAAGAGGCCATGGGACTCTTCGTCTTGGTCTGCTTCAGGCTGCTCTTCTGGCTCTAACACGCGACCTCCTAGCTGGACGTCGCTGACGCGTACTTGGTACGCGAGTGCTTTTTGCCCGTCTTTGATGAGCTCTTCTGTCCAGTTCAGACAGCGCTTCAAGCTCTGGTTCATTTTCGCGCTATCAGCGAGAAGCTCTCGGTGTTTCGAAAGATCCAGTCGTAGTCGTTTCTCATCGCGTAGCCGGTGGGCTTCATCACGTTCCGCTAATGCGCCCTCGCTCATGGCGCTTTCGTCAAAGGATGAGTCACTATGGTCCTCAGATTCGACTTCGTCAGGCTCGTCGTCGGACATGTCCGATAGATCTCCCAACTCAGACACACCAACTGCGGAGAATTCTTCCAAGCTGGATATGGTATCGGCGGTAAATCGTCCAGCCCTGCTCATGCGTCGGAAGCGTCGTAGCTCAGCCTTCTGCTTCCGCATCTCCCTCTCGAGCGATCGGTTAATGGCGAGCAACGAGTTGTTGCTAATCTCGAGGTCGAGCACTTTGCGCTCGCGTCGTGCATTCGCTGCTAATTCGTTCATGTGTTCCAACATGCTCTTACCCCCCGGGCCTAGTTTAGTTGGACTGTCACCGTTTGGGGATGGCAAAGCCGACATGGCGGTCATCGTCTCTGTCGGTACAGCTGCTACACTTTCCGGAAGCGAGCCAGTGCTCACGACTCGTTTCTCATTATGGAGCGGACTAGGCGTGATATGAGGCTGGTCATGGGCCGAGTTTTTCTTCAGTGACTGCACGGAGTCAATGGAACTGAGGCTTGCGCTCTTTGCATGGCTGAAGCGGACAGCCGAAGTGACACTGGATCGTCTCGTCGAGTTATCAGCTCCCACGTCGGAGCCGTGGAATCCTGAAATGATGGAAAGGGCCGAATTTCTGGTTTGGAGGTTAGGTCTGATGACTTGAGACGCACCCTTTCTGTACGAAAGATGTATGTTTTCCTTGGCAGGAGATGGTGGACGCAGGGCGTGCTGACTGTCTGCAGGATGGAGACTGGCCCATGGTTCGGGCGATGCGGAGATTGGCGGAGGTGTCAGTGCTGGCGGGCTGTCCCTGTGGTCCGGTAGCGAATTTGCGTGGAAGAATTTGCTCTCTGCTTGCATTCTTCCCACCGCAGACAACGGCGGAGAAGGTGCCGTAGGAGAGGGTGCGCTTGCATCCTGGTCGCCATTGGCGTAGAAGAAGACGGGGCTCTTCTTCTGGGGTGGCTGTTGAGGTTCTGGCGTGGTGCGAGCGTCGTTGGCATGGAAGAACATGGACGAGCCGGATGGGCCACGCGCTCTGCCTGGTTCTGGGGCGTTACTATAGATGTTTGACAGAGGCAGCCTTGGCGTGGATGTGACTTGGTGATTGCTTGTTCCTACGGTGCTTCTTGGTCGTCTTTGGGCGCCTCCGAAGCCGTTGGGTCCGTACCCGGCCTGGCCGTAGCCAGGCCCAGGCTCTTTCTGCGGGTAGTCTACGGTGGAAGCTGGCCGGGAAGCGATGGGCGTGGTCGAGGGCGTGCCGCTCGGGGTCGAGTTGGCGCTGCCGCCGACGCGTGATTTCCTCGACGACGAGCGTGGCGTGACATTGCTGCTGATGAAGGCCTTTACCGGCGTGACATCCTCGTAGACTGCCGTGTGCACGCGGGGCGTGGTCCCTGCAGCGCTGCGGGCTGTGCGGGCGGCGGGCGTGCTGGCGACCGCGGGCGCGAGTCGAGGGGCAACGGGTGTCTTGGAGGTGCGGGTGGTCGCGAGGGTTGGCTTCAGCGGCCGGGCGGGATTGTTGCTGGTGCGGTCTATGGGCATCGTCCGCGGTGGGGGTGGTCGTTCAGCGGGTGAGGCAGCGGGTTCGAGGGGGTGGCATGGCCGTCGGGGGCGGCAATGGGCGGTTGCTGGGCGGGCGGGCGTGCTTGTTGACGTCTAGTGTTGGCGGCGACGGCGGGCGGCGTTGAGACGGCCACGACAAGCGGGCGCGAGGGGCGTTGGAGGGCTGCGCACACGGCTACTTGGGCGTCCAGAGAGTGGCAGCGGAGGCAGCGGCCATGGCGAGGCGGTGACGGCGGTGAGGGGTTTTCGGGGCAGGCTCCTTGTTGTTGTGGCCCTGCGATGCGCGCTCGGCCAGAGGTCGTCGAGCGGCTCGAGCCTACCGAAACCGGGCCTGCATTAGCCGCATGCATCGCTAGCGCGTCCGGCGCGTCATTCACCAAATGAGCGATTCATCTCTCGTGACTCCACATGTACTATGGACAGCGCGATTGTGCCTGCAGCCCTCGATGGCCATGCGTGCACCGCGTCCGAGACGGGTCCCTCCCGGCAGACCGCCTCGGCCTCGCCCGGCTCCCGCGTAGCACCCCCAGACCCGATGCCTCTGCCTCCCTCGCCCGTCGCGCCCGTCGAGGCCCCCAACGACTCGCCCACGCGCCCGCAGCCCTCGCGCACGCCCTCCGACGAGCATGACACGCTCAAGTACCATCTGCTGGGCCCGTCGCTCACCAAAGCCGGCCAGGACAGCGTAGACCAGCAAAAGGTGTCTGAGATCATCTACAATGCCTCCAAGGGCAGCAAGTTCTTCAACCACGAGGAGGTCAGGGACCGCGTCTTGACGGACAAGATCAATCGCATCCTGGCAAAGAAGCGCCAGCTAGACAAAGTAAACCTGAGCGCGGAGCTGCGGCGCGCCGACGACTACCTCGCAGAGCTGGAACTAGGCAGAGACCTCACCCAGGTCGTCATCCACATCGACTGCGACGCTTTCTATGCTGCAGTGGAGGAGCTTGACAGGCCCGAGCTCAGACACGTGCCCATGGCCGTCGGCAAGGGCGTCCTCACCACCTGCAATTACCACGCGCGCAAGTTTGGCTGTCGCTCCGGCATGGCTGGCTTCGTCGCCATGAAGCTGTGTCCCCAGCTCATATGCGTGCCCCTGAACTTCGCCAAATATTCGGCCAAGGCGGAAGAAGTGCGCGCAGTCCTTGCCCTATATGATCCACGCTTCGAAAGTGCCAGTTGTGACGAAGCATATCTGAACATCACCCAATATTGTGAAGATCACCACATGGAGCCAGAAGAGGTCGTCAGCCAACTCCGAGCCGAAGTGCACGTGAAGACGAAGATCACCGTGTCTGCGGGCATTGCCGCAAACGCCAAACTAGCCAAGATCTGCAGCAATAAGAACAAACCCAACGGACAATTTAACCTCGCCAGAGATAGACAGACCATCATGGAATTCATGAGGTCGTTACCTACTCGCAAAGTCAACGGCATCGGCCGAGTGTTTGAGCGCGAGCTTGACGCAATTGGCATCAAGACATGTGGTGACATCTACGCTCAGCGCGCGTACTTGTCGCCACTCTTTGGCCAGAAAGCCTTCCAGTTCCTCATGCAGTCCTACCTGGGGCTCGGCAGAACTCGGATCCAACCGGCCGAGGATTACGAACGGAAGAGCGTGGGCACCGAGACCACCTTCAGAGAACTCGGCTCGCCAGACAGCCTACGGCAGAAGCTTCGAGCCATTGCCGAAGAGCTCGAAGGTGACCTAAAACGCACAGAATTCAAAGGACGCACGCTCTGCATCAAGATCAAGTTGCACACGTACGAAGTCTACACGAGGCAGATGACGCCCCCGTTTGCGATCCAGCGTGCAGACGATCTGTACAAGTACGGTCTCCCGATGCTGGAGAGGCTCATCAAGGAGATGCCGAACCTGAAATTGCGCCTCATGGGACTGCGGTGTACCCATCTTATCAGCACAAAAAAGCCAGGTATTGACTTCTTCGGCCGACAGCGTGCCATGGCTACAGCGAAACCAGAGGTGAGAAATGAAACCAACGAAAAGGATGGTGAGTGGGAGACATGGCCGGAGGAGGAATTTGAAGAAGCCGCTCGGCAAGAGCGTGATGATGAAATGAATGAACTAGAGAAACTCTCTCAAGAGTACAATGAACGACAGAGACCAGGGAATGATACGAAGATACACGAACCACAAGCAGTACATGAAGGAGTGCAGGAAGAGTCATGGACTTGTCCAATTTGCATGCTCCCACAAGCCTCTGAAGATGCGGCGTTCAACACCCACATTGACTTCTGCCTCTCACGGCAGACAATCAAGGAAGCTGTCAAAGAGACGGCGCCCACACCCGCTTCGTCAAACCCGCAGTTGATTCCTTCGAAACACCCGCCAGCCAAAACAAAAGGGAAGCGAGGCCGTCCGAAGAACGATCAGAGTGGACTAGGTGAAAAGACGCGAGAGAAGCGTCGGGCTTTCTTCACAATGCCTACGGGGCCGACATCGTAACAGGTAGAGAGTAGGCTACATGTACACACTACTTCACAAACGATATCCGCATTCTTCCTTGCCATTCGCCTGCCTTCGTTCGGTTCCGGCCACGTTACCTGCTGGGGTTACAACGCGAGAGGAGGAGCTTGAAGCCAGAGATCTTGTTCGGTTTTAAGTTGCTTTGTCTTTGGTCACTGCGTTCAAGCGCCAACTAATGTTGTATCACGCATCGTAAGAAGAAAAGAACACGGGGCAAGAAATCACCTCTGCCACCACACAGCATCGACAGATGCAGTGCAGTGAAGTCGTATTCTATTTTGGAATAGCAACACTGTTGACGCAGCGTTCCCTGCTGTTGTTCATGGACGCCAGAGGCAGAGCAGAGAGGTACATCGATGGCAACGGCGTCTGCATCATCGGCATGGAGCATATCGCCATGCTCCCGCTGATCGTCTTCGACGTCGTCATGGTCGTGTGCCTCATCCTGCTCTTCATCATGCACTTGCACAACCTGTACTCCTACCAGCACAACACGAACCACGAAGAAGAATGAAAAGATCGATCTCAAGGAATTACCTTGAAGCATCCGTGGTGTTGGTAGTAAACGAAGATGCATGCGTCCCATGCTACATGATAGCAACAAAGCAACGGCTCGGCGCCCAGACTGGAGACTCAGACTGGCGCGGCGACTGATGATTGCAAAAAAGACAACCTCGCATGTAACCTTTGTCGTTGGTCCTGACGAAGGCATTTCAAACTAATCTACGACAGCTGGAAAACGAATAGGGTTCCAAAATATTTAGGCACCCTATGAATCACAGAAACCGCTACCAATGATCTTAAACAACCTCGCGGGAAGCAGTGATGGTAACCAAAAAGCAGCGCCTTCCCATGCTGCCTTTACGTTTGCACTGTACGAGTTTCACTTGGTCTGTAGCTTCGCCAGTTCAAATATCTCCATGCATTTGTGATACTTACGCCACAGCCATGCAAGGCACTGAGCGACAAATGGCCCCAGCGCTTCTACATCTACAATCTGTGCTGGTATCGTGACGTGCTCTGATTGCGCCATGTCGCGGTCTCCGGTTGTTTTACTGCTGCGCCAGGATTTGCGGAGTCTCCCGATGAGCTCAAGAACCCTGCATTTCCTTTTGAGCTTCAGTTTGTACTGGCGCCAGGTGGTTGCATAAATCACCCGTCGGCATGACGACATCGTATTCATAGTCCTCGGGCACGTAGTTCTGCGATCCAAATGTTTTCTGATTCCACTGAATGACAGTCAAGTCATATGTCTGAATGCACTCTCTTTGTTGCTTGACCATTGCAGTACAATGCGCATAGTGCTGGTGAAACGCATCCGCGACGTCTTGGCCCAGCATCGCGACCTGCACCAACCACCCTACGTGTTGTTTGCCCGCCTTTTCGGAATATCCGAGCGGGAACGCGGCAGTCGTGAGGAACGGTTCCCGCGTTGCAGAGGGTTAAAGCTTAACCGGACGCTGTGTCGCTGGAGAACGTTTCTCGCACACTGCACACACGCATCACGGAAAGCCTTGCAGACGACCGATTTGACGAGGAACACCACGGTAGAAATTACAAGCATTCTGCCATTGGAAGAATCCCTGGCCCCAACCTGCTCATCTCATCTTTGAAGCACCTTGTCAAACGTTCCACAATTCCACGAGCGGATCAACCAACGCCAAGAGCAAACACACCATGGGCAACAACGACAACAACTCCTTGCGCACGCAACAGCTCACACTTACTGTAATCATCCTCTTCGGCATCCTATTTGTCCTGATACTCCTCCTCATCGCAATATCGCTACAAACATGGGCGCTGTGGAAGCTTGCGCGGAGCGTTGTGGAATCGAATACCGAGAGTGATGGGGTCCGACGAAGAAGCAGTGCGTGGACGGGAACTCTAGGCGAAAGGACGCTAGTCGGGCACGAGGAAGGAAAGGAAAGACTAGCCTAGTGGAAAGAGGCAGGAAATCTTTTTTAGTAGAAGAAGACTGACGAGAAGGTTACATGCGCGTGGGGTGGTAGCGGCGACCAAGAAGTGGCGTCGCGGCACGAGAGTTCGAGATTGTGCGACTCTCTGAAAGATTGACGATATAAGATGTGCGAGTTCGACATACTTCCGAATGAACGGCCTTCCACCAAAGAAGAACTACTTTGATGAGACGTCGAGGATTGCGAGAAGACTGATACGCTTTCGTCGATTGAAGTGCACTCAGGCGCTGACATGACGGATTCTACGCTTGCTCACGCTCGAAGTAACATACATAATGTTATCTCCTCATCCACTGGGACTTCTCCTCCAGTCCTTCGCACCAAACGACACAGTCTTCTCTGGGACCGAGGCCGTGGAACAACAGCAGAAAACTTATAGTTGCGAAGAACTGACAGGCCGTCATGACGTTGGTTTTTCCACGCTCACCCATCGGAAGCTAAGTAGTCCCGACATCGAGATCATCGTCCAATGCCTCACCGTGGCCCTAAAGACGATAGTCATGGCTGGACGACCGAGAGCAGCGCCGAATGTCCCGAGGAATCTTGAGTAGACTTGGGGCTGGAAGAGTTCGATGGCTGAGGAGCCTTGAAGAGTCCTGCCAGATCATCGTAGGCATGTACAGTGTTATATCAATTTCACATTCTTGCGCGTGCCCCCATCTATACACATGCTTGTGCCGTGTTCCCGCTGTCGCGCTCGGAGAGTAGGTGAACGAAGTAGTCGCGCACCTAGCCGAGTTGGAATTCTCAGACCACAGCTTTGACTAGGTCAGAATTCCTGAGACCATCTTACGGATCACCTTCAAGCACAACGGTAGTCGCTCTTGTGTGTTGTCGAAGCCGAACAAGCTGGGAAGTAGTATATGCTTTGAAAATCTTGGCTGTCAATCATGATGAGCGTCAGCTTGACCACTACCTCGTAAAGCAGATTCACTCCCTTCACGGTGCTCGATCTTCAATAGTCTGTTCCTCCACATCCACGTTGACAAAGGTATATTTGCCAGGCATACAGCTTCATCCCCCATACCCCCCCGAAGGCTCTTCATAGCCTTCCTCTTCATCTGATCACTGTCAGTACTGAGCCTACCGTGCCACTGAAAGCCGACACACTCCAGTAGTCTTTGCATAGCTGTTCCACCACTATCTCTGCTGCATCTGACGTGATATACACGCACTGGATCTTGTTTTTAGGCTCATCTAAATGTTTGCTGGATTTCTTGTATATAACGATAAACACGGATGTGCTTTGGGGCATCGTGTCAGCCTTATAGTCAGCCTTCAACGGTACCTCCACTGGATGCGGGTCCGGCGTTATTCCCGTTTTGTGAGGAGGATGCAGTCGGGTTTGCCATGCCGATGCGAGCGCGTTTAGCTGCTGCATCGAGAGTTCCGACAGCCGAACCCACGTCTCGCTTGTTCATGTTAGCTGGCATTAATGTTCACTTTGCTCGCAGCGTGGGTTATATGCATACAGTTCCCGAGGCGCGTTGATAGTGTTCTGTTCGTGGATGCTGGGGTGCTTCCTAGACCACATGTGGATAGCGTAACTTCCACTCTTGTTTCATGTTTCTTCGCTAAAGACCTGCCAGCCGTTCCTCCCCAGCATGGCGTTCTCCTCCTGACCACGCCACTGGAACCACCGGCAGTAAACTTCTTTTGACATGATCCGTTGCGGACCGCCATACCTGAGTCCGGCCAGAGCCGAGGACGGAGCGGATAATTTTACAACCCCTCAAAATCGAGTAGTGACAATACCCTTACGAAGATCCTGCACAATGGAGACAAGAATGTCCACGCCTAAGGTCCTTCAGGTTCAAGATTGAGGTCGAGATCACACATTAATGAACCCGACTAAGCTCCCGAAGCTTCGGACTTCTTCAGATCCAAAAAGCTTGTCCAGTCCTCAAATCTTGGCGAGATGAAGAAGCACGTACCTGTCCGCAGAAATTAATGCCGGGGCCGTTTCGACCAAACCTGAACGCGCCTAGCAAGCGCGTCCACGCACTCTGAAAGCGGACTCTGTGGCAGCTCATCTCGCTTTCACAGAGTCCGCTTTCAGAGAGCCTATGCGGCATTTCATCTGCCGTCGAGAGACATACTGCTCAAGTGAACCTGGTTTTCGGTAAGCACAGGGCTGGCGAAGGACCAGAATGAAACAATGGTAGGTGAAATGTGGAGACCTCGATATCGTATTACTACAGGGGATCCCGCCGCCACTGACTCAGGCCCCTAGTGCGTCTACGATGGCGAGGTCATAACGGCGCTCTTCAAAAGCACGCAGTCATCCATCATCTTTCGCGCCTCATCACAGTCGCGATCTTTTGAACAGTCTTTTCTAGTCATTCTTTTTGTGCTTTTACGCACCGCCTCTCGTTTATCAACTTACCCAAGTCTTTCTTTCAATGGCTCGCTATTCCTTTGCATTCACAGCTTTGGCGGCCACTGGTGCTGCTGCTGCTGCTGCCCAAGGCACTGCTTATGCCCAGTGTGGTGGACAAGGTTGGACTGGCGCCACCACATGTGTGTCTGGCTACCACTGCCAATTCCAGAATGACTGGTACTCTCAGTGCATTCCCGGTGCTGCCTCCGCTGCAGTAAGTTCGGCCGCGGCGAAGACTACACTCGTAACTCTCGTCCGTACCTCTGCCGGTAAGTTCACCTGAATCATTCTGAGATGGACTGTTAACGATTGCGTAGCTGCTAAGACATCGTCGGCGGCTAAGACTTCTGTGGCCAAGACCACGGCTGTTGTGGCCAAGACCACGGCTGTTGTGGCTGCAGCCTCTAGCACGGTGTCTACTGCGAAAGCTGCTGCAGCCACCTCTTCTTCCGGCAAGACACAGTACGCCGGTGTGAACATTGCAGGTTTCGACTTTGGCTGCTACACGGATGGATCGTGCGGTGGATCCTACAGCGACCCCGGTGCGAACGGCATTGCCCAGATGAAGCATTTTGCCACCGACGACAAGCTCAATGTTTTCCGTCTGCCCATCGGATGGCAACACCTCCTCAACAACGTCCTCGGAGGGTCAATCGACGCCACTGTAGGCGCTGCCTACGACAAACTGGTCCAGGGTTGCTTGGCCACTGGCGCACTCTGTGTCATCGACCTCCACAACTATGCTCGCTGGAACGGAGCCATCGTCGGCCAAGGCGGTCCCACCGATGCTCAGTTCGCTGATGTGTGGTCCAAGTTGGCCACCAAGTACGCTTCTCAAAAGAACATTGCCTTCGGCCTCATGAACGAGCCCCACGACCTGACCATGAGCACGTGGGCCACCTCGGTCCAGGCCGCCGTCACCGCCATCCGCAAGGCCGGCGCAACGTCGCAGATGATCCTCCTCCCCGGAACCGACTACACCTCGGCCGGCACCTTCGTCGCCAACAGCGGCCCCGCTTTGCTCAAGGTCACCGACTCAGACGGCACCACCAGCAAGCTGATCTTCGACGTCCACCGCTACCTCGACAGCGACAATAGCGGCACCAACGCCGAGTGCGTCACCGACCACGTTGCCGACACCTTCGTCCCGCTCGCCACCTGGCTGCGCACCAACAAGCGCCAGGCCATCCTCTCTGAGGTCGGCGGCGGCAACACGGCTTCCTGCCAGACCGACGTCTGCGCGGCAATTGCTTCGCTCAACCAGAACAGCGACGTTTACCTTGGATACATTGGATGGTCTGCGGGTGCCTTCGACACCTCGTACGTCCTGAGCTTGACGCCTAATGGGTCCGCGGACCAGGCTTTGCTCACCAAGTGCTTCAGCCGCGCGTAGCGGGTTGAGTGACATGCGATGGTGTAGCTCGCTGTGGCACACTGGATGTGTGCATATAGTCTTCTTTTCTTCCCCTTCGCTTCTTGTATCTAATTCTTCCAATTGAGTCATCGAGCTTTCGAACAGATAATGGGAGACTGCGTGAATTTGTCGTGATGAAAGGAGCCGAGTGTTATGTTAAGATCTATACCTAATAAATTATTAGGAGTTACTGCTATGTTTTCTAGACAGTGCAGCATTGTGTTTGGTCAGTATGTGGATCGTACGTCGTGTACTATCCGCCAGTCTGCAGTGTACGAGTCCCAATCTGCGCTACTGTCATCATACTTCATCGTCTTTCACGGCGGATGCGAACAACATGACTCGCACTACCAGCTCAGTGGATCGATATAGAAATGAGAAAATGAATTCATCCACTCATGTCCTGTGACACAATCATTAGGGGTATGCTGCGCTATGTAATCGCTCGGTGTAATCCAATATCCATGCTACATGCCATTTTGATCCAATAGGGAGGGACCCATCATTCTGTTCGCAATGCAGAAACCCGCTGCTCCAAGTACAGACGGGGTAAGATACCAACAAGAAAAAGAAGGAAAGTCCTGGCTCGTGTCCAAAATACGACAAAATCGTGATGTGTGTACGGCCGTGATACTAGACAAACAGCCCGTGGGGTAATTCAACAATCCGAATGAAACATTTAACCATCTCCCCAATTCTCATAACACTCAGATCTTTCCGAAGAGCGGCGATGAGAGTATCGGCGGCAACTAACCGGCGATAGGCTCAGGCGCGTCCAGGTCAACTTCCTCGTTTTCGATGTCGCTGTCCGCGCCAAAGCCAGAGTCGCGCCACTTGCGCTCCTTGGCGACCTTGCCTGCGCGGGTCTTCTTGCCGACCTTCACGCGCTCGCTGATCTTTGTCACCTTGCCATTGGTGACCTTGTTGAGGCTGGTGTCCTTCTTCTTGATGACTACACCCTTGACCTGCATATCGCGGACGGCATCGAGCGTGTCCGCATTTCGCTTCTTGAGCGCAGCAGCGAGCTCCTCGTTTTGAAGCTGGGCGAGACGCTGGGTCTCGAGTAGCGCGTCAATGGTCTGGCGCGAGTCGAGCTCCTGCGCGGCAAAGGTCTCCTTGAGCGCCTCGATCTGCTGCTCCTTCTCGAAGATGGTCTCGACGCGGGTGTCGGCGAGCACGTGCAGGTCCTGGACCTCGCGTTCCTTCTCATGGATGATGGCTTCGTGGTCCAGGACTTGCTGAGCGGCGGCCGCCTCTAGATCGCGCACCCGAGCTTCCAGGGTTTGGATCTTCTCCTGCATCGTCGCTTGGCCCCGGATCCACTTCTCCTGTAGCCGGTTAAAGTGCAGTTGTTCGGTGGAGAAGCTGTCGATGGAGTATCGATGATCGTCCTCAAGCTGGGCATAGTTGCTCTGGAGCTCTGCAAATTCCAGGTTGCGTTGGGCCAACTCTTGCTCCTTCTGAGCCAGCTCCTCGCGGAGGTTGCGCTCGGTATCTGCAGCGACGGCTGCAATGCGTTCATTCTCGGCCTGGAGGGCATTTATCTCGTTCGTCAGGTCGGTGATGTTGGCCTGTAGCGCGGCGATTGTGCTGTCGGAGGTATTCTGCAGAGCCGCGAACTTCTGCTTGAGATCGTTGAGCTGTATGTCAAGGTCCGCGACAAGCTCGTCGCGGGTTTGTTCGGTGTCGGCGAGCTCCTGTGTCAGCCGAGTGATCTCTGCATCCCGAGACGCGATGTCCGCCAGCAACTGCGTGATCTGCAGGTCCCGCTCGGCCAGGCTCTGTTCAACTTCTTGGCGCGCTGACGTTTCAAAGGCAAGTGAGTTGTTCAGGGCGTCTTCACGCTCCCGAGCGTCCTCCTCCAAATTCTTGACTGCTTCCTCTCGCTCCATCTGGACCTGGAAAAGTTTAGATCGAAGACCTTGAGACTCCTGACCCTCTGCGTGGAGGCGCGCCTTAAGATCGACAATCTCGGCGTTAGCCTGGTCGAGATCAGCCTCAGTCTGCTCCCGCTGGGTGCGCTCCGCCTCGAGATTCGCGCGAGTCTCGGAGAGCTCGACTGTCAGCTGCTCTAACTTCTCCTCGAGGTTTTCGACCTGGTTTTGCTGAGCGTACGTACGACTCTGCTCTTCCTGGAGCAAAGCCTTGGTGTCGTCGTGCTCCTCATTCGTAGTAGCGAGGAGGTTGCGGAGCTGCTCGAGGTCTTCCATCAGGTCGGACACTTGCTTTTCGATGCTCTTGACGTGCTCTTCGAGCTCCTCGATGTACTCCGTCTTCTGCTCGGCCTGACCTTGTGCTTGTAGGAAGCGCTCGTTTTCATCCTGGTACTGCGTCTGCAGACCAAGAACCTCGGCGGCATGGTTCTCCTTCAGCTCGGCGATGGTCTCCTGGTAGGTCGCCTCAGTACGGGTGGCAGTCTCGGTGACGGTCTCGAGGTCGCCCCGGTACTTCTCAAGCGAATCGCGAAGGCGAGTGAGCGCGGTCTCCTTGTCCTCGATCTCGTCCTCTAAGCCGAGGATCTTGGCATCCTTGTCTTTTAGCTCGGCATCCTGCTGGTTGGTGAGCGCGTCCAAAGTGGTGACACGCTCCTCCAGGTTCGCGATATCGGCGCGCAAGTCCTCGTTACCCCGCTGCAAGCCGGCGATTTTATCATCCAAGGAGTCGTTTCGGGCTTCAGAGCGCTCCAGGAGCCCTAGAGAGTTTTCGAACTGGGCCCGCATTAGGCGAGCTTCTTTGAAATGGGTCTCGGCCACAGTGGTCTTCTCCCGGAGCTCAGTTAGGACATCTTCGAACATTGTAGGCAACTTCCGCAGGAATTCGCCGTTATGTAAGCCCAAAGAGCAACCCGGTACCAAGTTCTCCATCTCCTCACGGATGTCTTCGAGGACACGGCGCATAGAGTTTAGAATGGCGTCCGTTGACGCGCCTGGGGGAAGGATATTCAGGTTCTGCAGCTCAATGGAGACGACGCGTAGAGCGCCCTGAGAGGTGGCAACCTGTTCTATCAGGCGATCGATCTCTGACTCGTAGCGCTTTACGGCCTTCTCCGAGATCTTGTCCGGGAGCGAAGACAGATCAGTCTGCGATATGTCGGCCAGAGTATCCTGGCTCGTGTGGGTGATATTCTTCAAGCTTTCAACTGTAACCTGGCTGGAAAGCGCGATCACACGGTCTGCGTATGGGCCATTGGGTAGGGTCTCGGAGTCATCCATGTCGGGGCCGTCGGGGTCATTGGGATCGATCGCTAGGAATGGCTCGTCGTCGTCATCGAAAGCGCCGTCCATTGCGTCGAATGCACTCGCCTCGCGTGAGTCGCCGCGGTACACTGAAGACGCCCGGAGCTCCTCAATTTCTTCGCGGGCGCGGGTGAGCTGGTCACGCAGGTCATCCGTCTCGCCGTCTGTCAGATTGATTTCGCCTAAGCGACGGGCCTCGATCTGGTACTCTAGGTCCTTGATCTGTTCGTTCTTCTCCTTGAGCTGGTTGCTCAGCTCGATGTAGGCCTTTCGCAACCGCTGGTCCTCCTTCTGGTGGTACTCGAGATCGTTGTACTCTTCGGCGAGGTGGTTGCGCTTGAGCCGACGGCGGGTGCGGCTGTCAATGGTGGCCTTGAAGGGCGCAAACTGAATTTGGCTGCCGTGGGCTTCGTCGACCGACTCGACGTGGAACTGGGCGGGCATCGACATGCGGGCACGGCGGGCGGCATTGGTGGGTCGGCCGCGGGGTGCCCCAATGCGGCGAAGATGTGGTGTGAGACCGGGCAGGGGCTGGGTCGAGGCCGACGGGGTCAGCTGCATGTCGTCTTCATCTTCGTCCTCGTCCTCGTCGGCGAAGGCGACCACCGGCTCTGAGTTACGGCGGGTGTGGCGGGTGATGGTCTTGCGGATGGTGACGGTGGGCGTCTGTGACTGCCCACGGGTCACTGACTCCTCGAGCTCGCGGGCAAGCTGGTCGTGATCGTCGGATGCAACCCGCACGCGTTTCGGCGCGGGTGACGATTGCTCCATGGGCGACGCTGCACGCTTGCTGCTTTGGGAGGCATCGGCGGATGGGGTGCTCTTGCGACCCTTCCGGCGGCGGGGAGCGTCGCCGGGTCCCTCTGGGTGGTGGTCTGACGCGAGGCCGCTGGGGCGGGCCATTGCGACGGCTGTGTGTCTGCGTAGATCGCGACCAAGTGCGATGTGCTGTGTGCTGCAGGGGCCCAAAAAAACCTAAGCCAGCTGTGATGGGGCGCGGTGTCGAAGTGTTTGTCAAGCAAGGTGGGTGACGAGTTTTTCGCAGCGGGCCGAGCAAGGGTGGGTTATTTTGTACAGCTGGCGAGGGGTTGAGGCAGCAGTGTGGGCGGGCGGACGTGCAATTGCTGGTGGCTGGGAGCCCGTTCGTTTTATGTAGCGCTATGCCTACGTCAACGTCAACCGGCAGCACGCACAAGCCAATCAAGGAGCACACGGCCCATGACGTTCACGCGTCGCCCCTACTCCACGCGTTTTTGGTTTCCGCGCTGCGTCTCCGCACCCTGCGCCCATCGTCATGGCGTTGCTGATCTTCCATAACCAACCTGCAACATCCTCAGAGGCTGAAAAGGCTCGCCTGGGCTCTCAACGTCACCGTGAAATTGTGCGGCCCATAGCGTCAACGCGTGGAGCTTGGGCCACCACTCATCTCGCCCCCGAGGGTCTCATGGCCTGTTTCCCATGCTCGACCGGGAAAAACTCCGACAGGCATTGATTCCAATCTTACAAAGGGGGCCGCTTCTTCGCAAACAGTACCACGCTGTTTCTCCAATTGTCTTGGTTGCGAGAAGGATTTTTTTTCGTGTGGATGGTGGCTACCACGTCAGTGTTTCACACCGCTACATCGTGCACAGACGAGAGGACGATATTCTCCTACTTCTTCAGTAAAAAGTCGCTCTGTATAACCAGCCCTTTGGTCGCGCTAGCCACTCCATAGAGGCCGCCAAACGGCCATGTCCTCCAGAAATTCCGACTCGTCCATTCGCCCCATGTCTCTTGTTTTCGAACGCTTCGGGGGCCGGCGACACCCTGAAGATCGACCTTTACTTTATCGTATATGCTGGGCAATGACCCGGCGTGATACTTTCGCCTCAGACCTGTGTACTTTTCTGCATCGTATATCCGCCAGAACTCGTCTTCGGTGTAATAAGCATGAGCGTACAGGCATTTGATTCCACCAAGCTCGGCTACTTTGGCCTCGAATTCACGGTTGAGCGCAACGAACCTTCGAGGGTCCCTGGGTCCCATGCCCCATATGCCGACGTCCAGCACTGTCTTGTCAGGGTCCACATTGGCCATGGAGAAGCTGCACTCGTCTCGTGGTGGGGGCTTCACAGGGCATAGCCATAGTGGCCAGAACCCTGTCTTTTCACCGGTCCACTTGATGAAGGATGCTGCGCTTTCGTATGGAACACCCAGATCCTGGATGATCGCCTGCGAGGATATGCCAGAACGGTGCAATGCATGGATCATGGTTCTGCTGTACATGTAAGGGTCAAGCAGCCGCCGGGTTAAGTCCAGAAATGGCACGCAGAAGTACTTGAAAGCGATCCCGCCGCCCCAAAAGACACCGCGATCGTATCGAAAGAAGTACGACTTGATCGGTATGCTCTGTTTGTATGACTTTCCGCCTCTCTCTATGCATTTGAGGATCTGTTCAGCGTCTAGGTAAAACCAGGGATCCGAAGGTTTGTCAAACGATCGAACTCGGTCTGCAACCAGTAAGTATGAAAACAAGATCCATTGCCCAAACTTACTTTCAATGGGCTCAGCCTGCAGCCGCCCAATCATAATCACACCGCTGGTCATCGAGTACAGTATTCCATCGATATAGTCGACGCGAGAGTCTTGCTCGGCCTCTTGGAGCACGTCAACAGCCTCTTTGACGCTCGTAACCGCCTTATACTCCAGCTCGACGTACGGCTGTGCATCAATAAGCTCCATCTCAAGCAGCGTAACGACCCCCAAAGTTCCACAACTGCCGGCACATGCGAAAAACAGGTCACGGTGCGGGTCCTCGCGGTCGCTCGTTGCCCACACAATCTCTCCGTTACCCAACACCACCTCAATCCCTCGCATAGACCTGTCGAATAGGCCAAACCGGAACGAGCTCGATTCTCCTGATGTTCCCGCAAATCCACCTCCTACAGTAATGTTGGGAAGCTCCATTACAACCTTCGGCACCAGACCCTCGCGCAAAGTGGCGTCTACCAACGCGTCCATCGGCACGTTCGGCTCCACCAGCACCTTTTTCTCTTGCGTGTTGAATCCTATGACATGATTGAGCCTGCTCGTATCTATTATGCTGTCTCTTTGCCGCGCCGATTCCCTCGTTGAGAGCGTGCTGCCGTGGTAAATTCGAAACGCCGTCGAAGAGCGCTGAAAGGCTTGAACCCGCTCTGAGATCCGCGCTACTTCCTCTTTGTGTGCGTCCATTGCAACTAGCCGCCCGAAGAAAGGCAATAGAAAAGCTCCAACGAAAGTAGGTAAGAATTCTATGCAACGATGCGATAGAAGGGGAGAGGTAGCTATTACTGCGACGCCATTATAGTGGATGACGGCGGCTGATGTAGGAGTAGACGTTGCGCCCCGCGCCTGCCGTCTGATCCCGCAGAGCCTCACAGATGCATCTTTCTTTCTGTTTTGGGACGTTTCCGGAAGCCACGGAACAGGCTCCACATGCTAAGACATCAGCTCGAGATCCGTAGGCTCGCTTAGCCGAGTACTCGTCGACTGTTCTACATCCCAACGCTCGGCCCCGGGAACCTACAACCCTACACTCGCGATGCCTACTACGTCAAGAGAATAGAACCCGCTGCGACGGGAATAATAAGTGACGGGTATGGACAACCACGACTTCGCCGTCGAGCGCATTCGCTCCCGCATTGTACACTTTTACAATACCAAAACCGCATTCCGCGTTTATCACGGCAGCACAAACTCCACGCGCCATGCGAACTTCGACCGCGCCTCTATCCTTGACGTTAGCGCTCTTAACAATGTTCTCTCTATCGATCCAGCCACCAAAACTGCCGTCGTCGAACCCAATGTCCCCATGGATGCCCTCGTCCGCGAGACGATGAAAGTAGGCCTCCTTCCGCCTGTCGTCATGGAATTCCCTGGAATAACCGTCGGTGGAGGCTTCGTCGGTACCGCGGGTGAAAGCAGCAGTTTCAAGTACGGGTTCTTCGACCGGACCGTACTGAGCGCCGAAGTTGTCCTCGCAAATGGGGATGTAGCCCACGCATCATCGACAGACAATCAAGAGCTATTTGAGGGCCTTCGAGGCAGTTTCGGCACGCTGGGCGTGTTAACATCCGTCAAATTGCAACTCATCGACATGAAATCCCACGTCGAGGTCACGTACCACCCCACAACCTCCATCTCCTCCGCAATGTCCCAGCTCCGAGCCGAAACCGCATCCGCAACCGCCGACTACATCGACGGCATCCTCTTCTCCCCCACCTCCGGCGCCATCATAACCGGCCGCCTCACCTCCACCCCATCCCCAACCCTCCCTACCCGCACCTTCTCCCGCCCCTGGGATCCCTGGTTTTACTTGCATGCGTGGCGCCTCGCGTCCAGCCCTAGCCCGACCACCGAATGCGTCCCCATCCAGGACTACCTCTTCCGCTACGACCGCGGTGCCTTTTGGATGGGCAGCTACGGCTTCGCGCACTTCCGCGTGCCCTTTACCTGGTTGACGCGCCTGCTCCTCGACTACTTCATGCACACCCGCGTCATGTACCACGCGCTGCACGCGAGCGGGCACACCGACCGCTACATCATCCACGACATTGCGTTCCCGGCGCCAAATGCGGCAGAGTTCGCGGAGTACGTTGACAAGACGTATGGGATTTATCCGTTGTGGCTGTGCCCTGTGCGTAAAGACGGGCGGTCGTCAATGGGGCATCCGCGCTCTTTCTCCGGCGAAGTGCCAGGGAAGACTCTCGGCGCGGTGTACGAAGGCGCGTACATCAATGTCGGCGTGTGGGGCCCGTATCCCTCCGATGAAGCCGAGTACGTGCGTGCAAATCGCGAGATTGAAGCGAAAGCGCGGTCCCTTGGCGGGTTGAAGTGGCTGTACTCGCGCGTGTTCTATACAGAAGATGAATGGTGGAGCATCTATGACAAAGAGCGGTATGAGGTGCTGCGCGCAAAGTTCAACGCGGAGAGTCTGCCGAGCGTGTGGGAAAAGGTCAGGGATAGAGGGCCGAGGCGGGAGTTTGGGACCGGGTGGAAGGCGTGGGTTAAGAGGGTACTTTGGAAGAGTGAGGTGGCGAGGGGGTTGTATGGGGTGTGGAAGGCGATGGGGGGCGGAGACTATGTATTGAGTAAGAAGGGAAAGACAGCATAGCGCGGCTGAAATAAGAGAAGGTGGATGATATCGCTATGCTACATACTCTCTTTTCCTGTTATTCGGAGGAACTCTTTACGGACTTCTTCCCACGCCCATACATCTCTCTTTTGCACCCGCATATCGCGAAGGACCTGCAGCACCGCCTCGCAACCGCTCTCCCCCTTCTCGTCAATAGTGTACACCCCGCTGCCCGCACGCCCATCCGTCCCAACCGCCACCTCGACACCCTTCTCCTCTCCCGCAGCAGCCCCAGCGAATCTCCCACTCGTACACAGCCACAAATTCCGCTCCCCGCTCTCCTCCACGGGGATATACAGCCACTTCCCCACCGTCCTCTCCAACACCCACCCCAGCCCTTTTACCACAACCCCAAAGTCCCGCCCGATGTTGCTACTCACGAAGCCGGGATACGTATGCACGAATCCTACCTACAAGATGAGGCGCAAAGTCAGTAAAATGACCTGAATTCGAAATAACCGAGGAAAAGGAGGTAGTGTTTCTTACCTCTGGCGCGCGCCTGCCCATCTCCTCAAGCAACAACGTCACCGCGCTGGCGGCCTGTCCACGCGCTTTGAGCGGGCTCTTAACGGTGCGCATTTGCAGCTCTGGTGCCGTGAGCGGGCCCTCCTTGGTCCCCGTGAAGATGGACACCACGCGCTTTGTCCCAGGCGCCGCGCGCAGGAGGGGGAGCAAGTTTACGGTAAAGCGTATGCGGGAGTGGAGGATGAGCGAGGCGATGAGATGCATGCCCTCAGACGTCTCCTGACCGACGGACATGGTGCCCTGGCTCAGACACAAGATGTTGATGTGGGACTCTCTGGCGGCGATTTGGGCGCAGACGGCGTCGACGTTTTTGATGAGGGAGACATCGGAGGGGATGAAGGTGTACGTGCCATTTGGATTGAGGGTGTGCGGGTCGGCGAGGATGCGATCTGCGGCTTGTTGAGAGCGCCCGATGAAGTAGATATTGGGGACTTTGCAGCGCCGCGCGAGGGCGAGGAGGGTGTAGAGGCCGATGCCTGAGGTGCCGCCTACGAAGACAGCGGTGAGGTGGGTGGGAAGGGATGCGTTGGAGGCGTGGATTGTGGTGAGGTCAACCATTGCGCGTTTAAGGCGTTATGGTATAGGTGCTTTTGGTGTAGAGTTGCAAGCCCTCCTTGGACTGGTTTTTTTTTTAGAGGAGCCATGGCGGTATATATGCGATAACAAGCTTGCACAGACGTTGATCGAGAGCTCAGGTGATTTTTTTTGGCGCGCGAATATACCTGCATTCAGTATGGTCTTCAGCGAGCGGTGTGCCTCTTTGCTATCGTGCTGCCCATATGAAGCTGTTGCGATTCGTGTTCGACCAATCACAGTGTGGCCGCTTCGCATATACGGTGTTGAGTTCCCCCGCCACTAGGCCACGCTTCGGACCTGGACTCATGATGTCATTGTCGCACCCCCTGGATCTGGCCGTTAGGTAGAGGGCTGGGAATGCTTCCTCGGGGCTGCGATGACAGTTTGGAAGGCATGGCTGGAGCAAATCGTCCAGTCCGGTCGTAGGTGCGTGGCGCTTCCCTCTGCGCATGCTTCACCTTCGCAACCGCTTAATCTATCATAACACTATCAGGGCGCCGACTCCAGCTATTCATTTATCTGAACATGTACCGCCGTCTCGGTCTCAGCATGCCGGCTCCAGCAACCCAGCCATCTGGTATATGTAGCTACACGGGACCCGCCGCCCTGCTTCACGACATGGCGGATGCTCCCAGCCATCCGCCGGGAGCGCTTTGTGTCATCAACAACCTTTCATGACTTTGTACCTGTCTCTAGGTACAATAGCGTGTGGTCGCCACTTCAACAATGCATCCGGGTAGTATCATTGTTGTACATCAGGAATTGCTCCATTGAGGCCTCCTATAGTTCGAAAGTGATCTGCCAGGGCATGACACAAATCATTCATCACAGGGCAGGCACCTTAGATGTGGGCAGTACTGCAGCACCAATTGACAATCTCGGATGTCTCGGTACCCCTCGGTCTCACCACCATGACTTGCCATACTTCCAAATCTCGGGGCTGGAGATCACATTAACGTGATTGACTATGGCGACACCCTGGGGCTGCCCTCATAGCCGCTACTGCCACCCTTCACGGGGCAACAAGGTCAATTTGCGCTTGCAACCGGACGATCTGGTTTAGCTTCTCTTGCGAAATCCATCCTCTCCGTTCGCCATGATTCGCTTATTGGTCACACAGCATCGATCTGGATGAATACCATTGCGCTGGTATTATGGTACCTATACCGTCGATGTTATTGTCCAAGATGCGTTCATTTTCGGAAACTCAAATCAATTGCCGATCTGTGGGTGGACATTGACGAATCCTGACAAACTTCATTACCGAAGATGAATTCTATAAGACTCAAACAGAGCCTGTAGGATTGATTGACCTTCTTCTCTAGCTCTCCGTATATCAGACGTTTTTCAGTCTCGTTCGCATTGAGCTCGTCCAGGCCCGATCTATACGCTCAACATGGCAGCTTTTGCATCCCTCGGAGCTCTGCGGCTAGCAGGCTTTGCTACGGCAAACACATACTCCAATTTCAGCATACCGATCGAGATTTCTTCGCGACAAGGGGTTTTCCCAAACGTCCCCGCCGAAAGGAAACCTTGAGGTGACCAATTTTGCACAACAATTCAGCCAGCAAGGACGCAACTACTTTGCGAAGATTCTTGAAGGATATGCGACCGTGCAGGGGCAGTACGAGATCTCTGCGAAATACTGCCAACCGGATGATGGGAATGCCTCGACCATTCAAATATTGTCACACGGCATTGCTTAAACGTGTGCGGACTCCTTGATTCTCCTCCCGTCGTCCTGGACTACAGAACTGACACCAAGCCAGCTACTGGGATCTTGCTTACAACAACTACAACTACAGCTATGTGAAGGTTGCGAACGCGGCTGGGTACAGCACTCTGGCTATCTACCGCTTGGTTATCGGCAATTCATCGCACGGCGAACCGATAAATAAAATTCAAGCTCAGCTTAAAGTTGAGGCTCTGAACGCGGTTACCACCCTGCTGCGGGCCGGAAAAATCCCAGAAATTAAGAAGCGCTACGGCAAGATCATTCACGTCGGCCATTCATTTGGGTCGATCCAGTCTTACTGTATGAAACCCTGGGGTACAATGGGGTTGTTTACTGCTGCGGTTACTGTCTGTAGTAACATGCTGAAGCCAGGAATACCTTTTGTTGCACAACTACCTTGATTTTTGACCACTCCGCTGACTTTTTACCGCACAATTTTAGGGTTGTCTGCGTTGTACCGGAACAACACCGATGGTCTAGTTTTGACTCCGGCAACGGCTCTTTCCTCCCCTCCCAGACTGTCCCAGCTTGGAACTTGCACAGCGCACGGCTGAATCAACCTCTTTTCTTTGCAGACGCACCAAACAGCAAGCTCAGGGCGGTGTTTTCCGGCTGGTTCAAGAACAGTAGCCTCATACAGGCTCACCAGACGTTGCTCAAGGGTGTTGGCATCGCTGCCTCTACCGACGACCTCTGGAATGACATCGCAACAATCGAGGTCGGGAACATCATAAATGGGTCGAATGTTACAGTTGAACGGTTGAAGTATCCCACTGCGATCTAACTGCCAATCAACTCGTTTTCCTCCGCTATGGTGCATACGACATCGGCCTCGGCGTGATCACCGAGCAGACCGAGCAGCCCGTAACCATTGGCAAACTCCTCACGACCGGTGGGGCTCCCGCGGAGGACTCTTTCGGTGGTCCTGTCATCATTTTCACAGGAGAATTCGATGAAGCTTTCTGCGGATTAGATTGCTACGCCACTGGAGGCGTTGCCGCAAATCTCCCAGTGCAAGCTCAAAGGCGTTCCCCAACGCACAGACGTTCGAGGCATAAATCCAGTCTAACACTGGGCACAGAATCAACGTACACTACAACTCTACTGCTGGGAATGAGTATGTGCAGAGGTGGCTGGCCGCGAATGGGCCGGGCGCTTAAGTTAGAGACTAGGGAAACAGCCGGGAACTCGCATTCAAACTTGCGTGCCATCAGTACATTTGGTTCAACACGTACCAATTTCACTTCACTGCAGAAGCTCATCCGAGAACATCGCCCTGCCATACGGTAGCCATATCGTGATCTGCTTATTACATGATTGTGTGACACCTGGTGCAGACCCGCAGGGTAACTTATCCATGACACCCTCACCCAAAGACTCGGAGTTTACACAACATTAGATCCGTGACTACACAACGTCGGAGCGCGCGAATGGGTAATCAGGTATGCATGAGATCGCCTCTCGGAACGCGCGCTGCGCGACTGCAGATGTTCATCCTATGATCAACCTCGAAGTGGACGCGTGCGACCAAGAAAATTCCCCGTTCTATAGCTCGAAAGCGGATTGTCATGCATTACTAAGGCGATGTGATGGATCCAAGCGAGACCGGCCTTGCATGTACGAAGGCGAGGCTGCAGGGTTTGCTGGGCGACGGCCGTTAGACGGGTGAGTAATGGCTGACGCGCACATGAGCCGCGGAAACGAGCTGGGGTAGACGTTGCAAGCGAGACGCTACCCGCAACGTCTCGGGCCGCACCTCGAGCTTTCCCATACCAGGAAGATTATCAAAGACCGCTTTTAGGATGGCATGCATTTCGTTTTGCTGTATCCACCGGCTCGAAATTGGGGAGGCAGCTGCACCGTAGCCTAGCGGGCCTGCGTACGAGATACGCGGGAGCGGCGTGAAGCCTCGCTGTATACGCGGCCAATTGAAACAAGGCTTGGAGAGAAGGTAAGCGGTGAACGGGTTAGTCATTGTGGTATATGCCGTGGCGCCTGCAGATACTACCATGGTGTGTTATGCTAGGCAAACGAACAACCCACACCTTGGACGCGGCGATGGAAGACGAAAGGGTAGGTAAGCCGAATTGACGGGAACTGACCTCGATAGAAACGCGGAAGTGATTACCAAATACATGGAAAAGGATACTATAGGAGCAAAGACATGATGGTTCGAGAGAGTATAAGAAGGGACCAATGCCCTCTCCAGTATGGCCACCGCATCCTCTCCAGCTTCTCGAGCATCTCAAAGAGCGACTGAGCACCAAGCAAGCCTCCAAGATGAAATTCGCATCCAGCATCTTTCTTGCAGCCCTCGGGCTTTTCAACGCTGTCCGCGGTGACGGTACTTCTCTTGCACTCGCATCCCCAGTGACCTCTTCTAACACCACCCAGCTGTCCCATGGGAGCGTATCTCCAAGAACGACTCCGTCAGTCCTCCCATCACATTTGTCACAGCTCCTAATCTAACCAACGCAGATGCTTCTCATCCTTGACCTCCAGGTCGGCCTCTACCAGGTCGCCCGCGACTGGGACCCCACCCTCTACCGCGAAAACATCCTCGCGCACGCCGAGCTTGGCAAGCTCTTCGACCTCCCCGTCGTAATGACCACGTCTGCCCAGCAAGGTCCCAACGGCCCTCTTCCCAAGGAGATCCTGGAGATGTACCCCGATGCGCCGCTTATCAAGCGCCAGGGCGAGGTTGAGTGCGTCCTTAATCTCCCTTCATTTAACATGATCTTGAACTAACAAGCACAAAGCGCCTGGGACAACGCCGAATTCCGCGAGGCCATCAAAGCCACGGGCAAAAAGCAGATTATCCTCGCCGGCATCACGACCGACGTGTGCACCGCGTTCCTGTCGCTCTCGCTCCGCGCAGAGGGCTACTCCGTCTTCGCCAACATCGAGGCCTCGGGCACGTACTCCCAGCTCGTGCGCGACACGGCCAACAGCCGCATGCAACAGGCGGGTGTGCAGCTTGTCAGCATGTTTGCCATCGTTTGCGATCTGATGCGCGATTGGAGGAACGTGCCGGGTGCGAAGGAGGTGCTGCCGTACTTGGACAAGTACTTGCCCGTTTATGGGTACATTGCTAGGGGCCATGCGGCGGCGATTGAGAACGGGACGGTTATTCCCGGGGAGGCGAGCTTGGTTTAGAGGAGATAGGAAACGTAGGGTGACGGGGGAATAAGAAAGAGGCACGGTAGTTGGGTGTGATTGGATCGAGTAAGGGTCTTGAAGAACAATCGAGGGGGAGTATTGGGACCTTGGATCTTCAGTACGGCCGTCGCCGATGGCGTTCATTACTAGACTATAGGGAATAATGAGATGACCTTCGAACGAGCGTCCCTTGGACCCCAAGCCTTCACCTTGACCAAGAAAGAGTGATAAGAATAAAACCAAGCACCGTGCTCCAAATCATCGGCAAATGTGCCCCTTTCTAGTGTGTTATGATCTCATCCATGAGGGTACTCGCATACACGATCTATAGCCCGACGAAGTTGACCTTGGACGCGAAGGCAGCAAGGGCGTTTGCCTGAGCGGTCAGGATACCAGCGACACTGGAGATGCTGGTGATGCCGACGTTCGCCAGACCAGTGGCAAGAGCCTGGATAGGTGCGGCGCTGGCGACGACGGAGCCGACTAGGGCCAGGATTGCGGAGGTGAGGATTGACTTTTCAGCGTCGGAAAATGCGACAGCCTCTGCGGTGGTGTGAGTCAAAGGTATACTGTGAACATAGGACTGATCCACATACGGGTTTGAACGGTGATAACTGTGGTATTGAGAGTTTGTTGGAGCTTGGTGAGGGCGTCCACTTGTGCTTGGATACTGTATTGAATTAGAAGAGGATCAAATCGGAGGTGTTGAGAATATGACTACTTACGCAACGGCTAAGTTTGATTGCTGGGCGGCGATGTTCTGCTGGTTGATTGAGGTCGCGATAGAGCAGACCTTGTTCTCAAGGTCGTAGGCCAATTGCCAGAGAGTAGCAGACGCACCACCCACAGACTTCACAAGGTCGAATGTCGTGGGGATGTTGGGCGTGGGGTTTACGGAGATGTCGCCGGTGAGTTTAGCGTTAGCAACGGCTATAACATGTCAGTGGATCATCGGAGGTTATCGGTCGGTGTTCATCGGTTTGGGCAGCTTACTAGTTAGGTCGGTGTGAGCACCGATGCTTTGTGCTGCTTTGGAAAGTGAATCAGCGATGGAGTTGTAGCCATTGCCAGCCAAGACGTCAGGAACACCCTGGAGGGGTAGGACGGGTATTTGGGGAAGCTTCAAGATGGAAAGGCTAGGCAGTGATCCCACGGCTTGCGCGGCCGCCGTCGAGAGAAAAAGTGAGGGAATGATGTAGTGCATTGTGAAGACTTTAGCAAGGCTGATGGATGAGTGGTGGATCGGTGGATCTAGGGTGGCTTTTGAGACTCACACTGATAGCACTGTATATATAGCTAGCTTTTGCTCAATGCGGTTTCGTTTTCCTCACCCGTTGTAGATTTCCACCAGCCAGTCTCCCGGTAGTCAATGATGATCGGCCCTGGAATGAATCACTTCGTGCGCCCAGATGATCTCTTGGGGTTTTCTGCTGTTGCACGGATATAAGACATTGTTGGAATGTTTTGGTGAGCATAGGGGAATCGTTGCAATATTTTGTTGCCGCGTTAGCCGCGTCGCATGTCTTTCTGCCGTGGAATGCACAAGAAAGGGGTACGAATTGATGCCAAAGCAAAGTGGGGATGCGCTACCGTTGTTGGTCACAGAACGTGGAGGGTGAATGGCGAAATTGGTCAGCAATCAATTCGATTGCTGTGAATATCGACCGGCGGTTATTGGGTGAGATTGTACAGTGCCACTTTCAATGTTCTTTGCCGTCGCAGGCGTCGTGAATAAGAAGACGTTGCCTGAGTGTGGAGAGGAGAGGAGACGCGCAGTGGGACGGCTTTCGATAGGTGCAGCTGAAAAAGAGCCGCCTGCGCCGGCCTTCTTTCCGACACCTTACGTGCATCTTCAAAACATAAAGGCAATAGAGAATCGGACACGTACAATCCACAGTCATCAGCGGAACATTGTTTCAGCAATGATGATAGGTTACCAACTAGAACAAATGCAGCGTCCTCACGTCTCGGCATACCGACCACACTGTTGGCCCGGCCCGCAACGTCTTCACACCCCAACCCTGGGGTTGGATACGAACAAGTGCGGCGTGGAGAATTTCTCTTTCCTCTCCCAACAGGGTTCAATGGCGATCTGGTTATCATGTGGTCCACCAACCCCGCGAATCTCCGAAAATGCTTTACAATTTTTCCGACCTCATTCATTCCACGGACCTTACGGTTTTCTTGATTCGACGTGAATGGTCCCGGCAGGTTGGAACCAATTATTTGGCTTATATTCCACGGACAATGAACCGAATACCTGAATAATGGCTGGCATACTTGCGTTGCTCTGGCGACTCTATCAAGCGGATATTTCAAAGTAAGTTCAATAGCCAGCAGAGCACCCACAAAACCATTGTATTACATAGTCGTTGTCTTGCGACAGGAGGAACAGGCTTCAATTGGCGCTCAGCCCCAGTGGTATATGGCTTCTTTAACCTGCCTTGCCTCTAGCTAGTATATTGAAAGCATAGCAAATCACTGCAACTATGGTGACCACGAGCAAGTTGGGCAGCCTGCAATAGAACTACCTGTGAATGGCGAAACGAGAGTGTGATTTGTTGCCGAAAGCGTACTTGTAATGTCTCGCGAACAGCGGTTTTAGTAACAGTACCTTGTCACTACTTCACATATGGAGTGCCCTTCATTGGCGATGGCTCTGCAATCACATTTTTTCACCGACAAACGCCTCTTGATCGAAACATTTTCCACTACCTGCCACCCTCTAACAACTCACAATACAAATCCCAAAACAGACGAACATGTCTTACCGCATCGACGAATCTGTTATTTCTAACTTCCTCACCAACCACACCCATGCCCTTCGGCTGTCGGCCCTTCCACTGGATCCCTTGTCACGGCAGTGTCCTGTTTGTCGCGATATCTACCATGCACAAGACCCTGCCTATGTACATCCTCTACTGCCAGCAGACACGCCCGAGTACCCTGTCCAAGTTCACAATCGTGGACCATGCAGCCATATATTAGGCAGGCGCTGCATAGAGAGACACGTCCGCGCTGGCCAACCTTGGAGCCATTCATGCCCTCTGTGTAGAGAAGTGTGGTTCCCGGCACCAAACTCGGCAAGGACTGAGATTGTAAGCACGCTAGACAACGTTCTAGGTGCTCTCGAGCGCTTAGAGATGCGCGATGAAGCTTCAAGCCACGAAATTGAGAACGTTGAGCAAGCTCTTGAGAATATCAGGGAACTGCTCTACTCTCAGCGATGGATATAGTTCTTAGTACGTGGTCTTGGGTTTTCAATGCTTCGTGTGATGGTATTCAGAAATTTTCCAGTAGTATTGATTCTTTCAGAATGAAATTATAGCTACCCTAATACAGTTGATCCAGCACTCAGGCGTAATAATGTACATTAAAACCATATACTCACCCTTGAAAGGGAAAAGCCTTTTTTTTTCCACGAGAAATACCAGTTTGGCTTCCACCAAAGCATTGAGACCACTGCGATCTTTTAAGTTTCCAAACTGTGGCTCACACACAACTCATCCATGAATTACCCCTAAACCCCAGCATTTCGGGAAAACTCTACGGGCAACCCCTTGCCGTCGTTTTTAGGAGCCCCAATTTTGTTTCGTTGTCATGCGCTTTCCTGCGACGAGGTGACTGTGCCATGATTCTCGTTCAAAGAAGGCTGTCGCAAGATCTGCTGCAAAAAAGTCGTTCGCAGAGGCAGAGATCCATCATCCCTTAACGCTTTGTGTGACAAACCTTGGGCACGAAGCACCAGCTATAGTGACAGTAATGCCCTACCGTCAACGCCACGAGATTACGTAGACTGTTACGTCGACTATGCTCGACATGTGTCCCAAGTCAACATGTAGAAACCCTGAAGCTTGAGAAAAAACAGATAGTATGCGTGCACAGTAGCAAGGATGATCCAATCGCTCATCTCTCCCTAGGAAGACTCGTTGGCAGTTGATACGACAGAAGCCAGTATCGTGGAATAGCCTTGAGACCGTCTAACAAACAAGCCCCATCTTTGTCTTTGAAGTCTCTAAATTCGATGGCGCAGTATGGTTGAGAAGTGTGAGCAAGGAAATATTAAGGTGTATTTGTGATGCGATCGTACTCATTCAGAGACAACAATAAGACCCTTATTTCTAGCGGTCTTGAAAAGAGCCAGAAGGGCAAGATCTTGCTGTAACGCTTCGTTCCGAGCAACTGCCTCTTGTGTCAATGCATGCTGTGGAATTGTGCTAGCGCGTATGTGGTCCGGGAATAGTCCAAGTAGATTGCGACATCGTCTGATGTGTGCGCGCGAATTCGAGGATATAATTCTTGGCCTGCTTCAAGAAAACGCTTAGTCGATCCGAAATCCGCATTGACATTCCCGCTTGTATGAGAGAAGTTCGCAAGACAAAGACAGCTCATCTTCTCGAATGTCTGGCAGAGGTCGTTGTCTGGATCGGAGACGATTGTATTGTTAACAATCGCCACTATCTCCAGACAGGAAGAGAGGATTACCCATAACACGAAATATTGTTCTTGCTAAAGTGCAGAAGTCTTTGCACAGTCGGCTTCGCTTTGGAGTTTATTGCCTTGCATACTCTAAGGAATTTAGGTTGCAATAAGACTCATGCGACGTAAGTCGCTTGATGTTCTTGTTGAACAGTCTATCACTGGACTGCTGGAATTGTTGAGAGGTGTGGTAGCGGATGAGTCGACACTCTCCACAAGTTGCTCGTAGACCATGATCCGGATTTCGTTTGGCAGATCGAGAAACCAAATCGGCTTTTCAGGTGCACTAAGCGGATACATGATGGTGGAATAGGATAGAGAAGGCGTTGCATATGGACCTGGTATGAGAGTGGTGTTGTACTTATGGAATCGCTCTCAGAAGGAAGAGACAAAAAAGAAACTAAGAGGAAAGTAACTTATATTGAAAACAAGAATCCTGTTTCTCCTAAGAAGCAAGTAGCCATGGTTGTGGACAGCTTAGCGCCACAGTACGTTAAAGTGGGCCATATTTATAGTACAACATAACTCAAAAACCCGACGAATCGGTACCGCAAAGGAATGGGCGCGCCGCGTGCCTTAGTTACAGCACTTCTTCCAACGTCGAAGTACAATGTGTATAACCTCAGAGTAGACAATATTTAGACCCGCTATTTGTACTCAGGCCTTTGGCCTTGTACCGTATCACTTGCGCATACTCAGAGCCGATGTTGTGTGAAAGATCAGATCTGAAGCCAATTCAAAGACAAGACAGACTATAACAAAATATATGGCCAAGGTGTGCGCGGTATTCATACACTTTCGGACAGCAGGAGAGGCGACCTCGGAAGGCGGTACTTCTACCAAGGAAGCATCTGCCACTGCGTCGTGGTGAACAGTCTGTGGTTGTCCTTGGCTCTGCGATGCATTTCTAGCCATACTGAAACAGCTTGTCTGAGTTTCTGTTGCCTCTAGCTCGGCAACGCTTTCGTTCTCCACCTCCTTAATTTGATCGAATGCAGTCTGGCTTCTCTGCCCTTGCACGCGCAGAATCTGTAGGTCCAGATCCTCACGGCTGGCATCGCTTACTGTTCCTGTAGAGCCACCATCTGAGCCATCTAGACCGTCGTAATCAAGTGGCTGTGGTTTGGCAGATGTTTTATGCGATGACGTGCTTGTTTGAGGTGGCCATAAATTGCCGATAGACCGTGTCGGCATGTTCTTCTCCTCCGGGCTCTGACTCTCAGATACTTTGCTCCGCTTCCCAATTTCAAGGTCCGAGGGCAACGTAAACCAATATGTGGAGCATGTGGGACAGGCTATTGGCCCATGAGTTTGGTGCGAGCTCTCAAAGCCAGCGAGACACGCAGAGCAGATACGGTGGCTGCACGTCGGCAAGTGTACTCGCAGATTTGTGCTGTGATGACATCGTGTACATGGCTTGTCGAGGAGGTAAGTCCGCTTAGACTGCACTGTTCTGATTTTTGAGAATATGAAATCTTCTAGTGTGATACTTTGATTAGGCATTGAGACAGAGACTGTGGGCCGGTAGGATGTGGGTGCGTACATTTACTTATCTAGAGGAGTATTTTTTCTATATATAATCAGTGCGACAGCTCTCCAATCAGCGGCGCTGCCAACTGACTGTGGCTGTCACACTGTCGTCTTTGAAGCTGCGTTGTTTAGCTCTATATTCAATGTAGGCTAGTTACCTGGTGACCGCGTTTGTAGCTAGATCAAAATAACAACTTTGTCACTCCCACAGTTGCCGGTCTACAAATATTGGACTTTTTCAGTCAATTTGTATCATCAAATGTTAATACTTATATTAACAAGTCTTGAGCCACAAGCTACTCATGTCGCCTTCGTCGGCGGGGTGGCGCAATATCCTCATCGTTGCTAGCTCAGGCCCGGCCGTCCCCACAACCCCTTCGACTGACAAAAAGAACATCTTCTCGTATCTCTGCATCTGTTTCTGTCACTGTAAACGCAACAAATGTGAATTCAATGCGCGGAGCTTCCGGCTGGCTGCTCACTGAGAGAACGACGCTAGATTCACTGCTGGTATTAGATTCATCCCCAGTAGTTGAAGGCTGGAACTCAGCATCCCTTCGTTCTCATCAAGTTCCGCGATCTGCTCGCCCAGCAATCGCCTCACCATCTCGCCGCTCTCATTCTGCAGCGCGTTCAGCAATGAATCCGCGGCTTCATCACTAGTAATTGACACCTCGATGACAACCTGTCCACTTCGTCCTTGTGTAGAAGGCGTTTCGGGGGTCAGTCGCTTCTCGAACCATATCTCTCGGCACATAGGGCAGGTATAAGAGCGCTGGATGTACCTTTCGAAGCAGTCTGCTCCGAAGATATGTTTGCAGGCAGGGAGGTCGACTTGTAGCATCCCTTCCTGCGACTTGGACGTTTTTTCGCGGCAGATTGGGCAGCCTCCGTCCAAAGAACCAGCATCTATGGGCAGATACCGGACGTTGAACTTAATGAAGTGGACGAGTGTGCGGAAAGATGCAGTACAGCGAGCTGAATCTGCTTCTGCTTCTGCGGCATCTAGCACAGTAATAGGATCCCCTAGACTTTCTGCCTCGAATCGAATCCCTTTTTCGCGGTGTTGGGTTTCCTCCATGGTTCCTGGTTTTGTTCGTCAAAATGTGAAGTGCTGATTGGGATTTCTTTTATTTGGGTAGTGGATTGGATAAGTTGGTATTTGAGAAAGAGACCAGAAAACCAAATTTGTGTCTTGATGACACTTTGCATATGGCGAGCCATCACATGCTTGCACTTGGAAGATCAAGCTGATCGCGACAGCGCTTTGGTAGATGATCGCACCCGCCTAGGAGGGCTAAGTCGCTATCTACTACTCGCCTCGAATCATTGACTGAAGGTGTTATCGTAATGAGCATCACCCCTCGAGGGCCCATCATCATATATTCGCCACTTGATCAAAATTCCAATTATCTATGATAACCTCAAATTGTGTCTCGGAACTACCTTTGTCGTGAGAATTGATGTAATTGACATTGAACGAGAATTCTGGAGATGGTGAAGGGACCTAAGTATACACTTCAATTCGATCTTGCAGATGTGATCGACCACGGCGCTTACATGCAGCTACCAACCCTATACATATCAAGAATGCACTTCGAAGTTTCCCACCGGCCTAAGTCTGTCTCATTACAGATATCGCGGTCTCATATACGAAAGGACATTGACCCGTGTCGCCAAGGTTTGGTCTTCTGTGCAAGATGCCTCCCACCAACGTTCTCACTTAGCTGTCCACATCGACCATGACTCCTCATCAAGATCTGCGGACATGAACCACCGAGCTATCCATCTCGTGAGCTTACCAGATCCACCCAGCCCGTCAGCCATCTACGACGGTACCGCCGCAATGTCCTCTACACCCACACCGCCCTTCCCAAACTCCACCAAACAGTCCCTTGCCAGCCCCTCCAGTCTCCCCTGCTGCGCCCCCAATATCTCCCCCCTCCGCTTGAACGCCTCCATGTACACCCCCAACCTCTCACTCACACCTCCTTCCGCCTTCCCATGAGCAAAATCCTCGATAGTGTCCCTAATCCCATACTCCGCCTCCTCATACACCCTTGACAACTCGTTGAACGCCATCGTGTCCCTGTCTCTAACCTCACTCCCCTGGAACAAACGCTGCAGCAAGCCCGCGACGAAGTACCTCAGCATTGTGACAGCGATGGTGTAGTCCCGACGCAGGAGGAACACCTCATCGCCCATATGGGTTGCTGCGCGGAGTGTGGCGAGGACGTCCGCGGTCCCGGCTGGGTGTGCGGAGGCGCAGGTCGAGACGAAGAATTGGAGGTATATTTCGAAGCGCTGGATTGCGGCCGCGAAGAGCGAGGCGCGGTGGGTGCAAGATGCCAGGAGAGAGGTCAGGTGGGCGGTGAGGTGGGCGTGATTCAGGTAGTCGAGGGACTCTCTGGTTGTGGTGTCAATTTTGGTGATACATGGGGCAAAACTGCGTTTGGAAGATTGTAACGTACCTTTCTACGACCCAAGTGTTGATCGGGCCTCTCGGCACGTTTTTGGAGCTACCGGGTACGGGAACTATGTAAGCTGCTTGAGCAGGCATTCTATTCTCTGTCAGTGGCTGCGCGGCTCGATGTAGATTGATTCATCACTCACGCCTCGCTTGCTCCGACATCAACAGGCGGATCGACGCCGCGGCCTGGATCTACTATCTCGGGGGCTTCGGTATCGCTGTAGTTGACCTTGCAAGTATTTCGCAGCGTGCCCTCGTACGGCGTTCCACCTGAAGAGCTGCTCGACTCTCGACTCTTGTGCTTCACCATTGTAGAGAAGGTGTTCTTGCGCAATAGGTGCGAAGGTGCCGATAAAGTGTATCGAGTTGTGTTATGTTGAATTGATACGGCGCACTGGATTGATTTGGAGTGTATCGAATTTAGAAGGAACACGGGCGCCGAGGGCGGGGTTGCCTAGTAAGAATGGAGTGAAAGCAGCAACGTCACGTGCCGATCAGTCCCGTTAGGGTCGCGCTCGAAACTTGAAAGACTGGAGAATTGCATATCGATTTTGATACCGACGGCGTGTTGATTGTCTGCCTGTGTTTCTAGGCGGTGCTCTGACAGAGCGATTATAGTGAGACGAGTATGGAGCACATCTGGATAAAGCTACACCATTGAGAATGATAAAGATAGACCTATTACAAGCCCGAGTTGTAAGATCAGAGATGAAAATATGGTCACTTCATAAAAAGGCGAACACAATCCACGGTACTAAACACAGGTCGAAGCGAACAAGCAAATTAAGATTTTGCCGAGGCAAGCGCAAGATCAAGACATGTATACTCGATTGGAAATTTGCTTGTGATACAAGTAGCTGCCGGAGTTTCAGTGGAGAAATGAAGAGGTTGCTGCTATGCACAAAGGAGAAATAGGAGGGACATGGAATCGGGTCAAGAAAAGCTGACAAGCAATCCAAAACACTGCAATCCATTGCAGCTCATCCCTCACCGCCTCGAATTCACCAGCGTCTGCCTCAGAGCCCGAAATTCCTCCCTCAGCAGCGCCATCTCTTGCCTCAGCCTCTGATACTCCTGTCGCAACTTGGGCTCGTCCGTTCCAGATGTCCTACTCCCCCTAATCGCCCGCTGCTCCCTCTCCCTCTCCCTCTTCCGCGTTGCCAGTCTAGCGATGTCACCTCGCGCCTGCCTTCGCTGCTTCCCCTCGAACTTCTGTTCGAACCTCGTCTCCTGAGCGTGAAGCCCCGCTTCAAAGCTGAAATCTCTCTTCTCATGCTGACCTGGAGGTGCTGGGAGCGGGCTTCTTTCGGCAAGGCTGCTCTTTCGTCTATCTGGCTTACAATCATCGTCATCTTTCTCCCACGGAAAGTTGCGGTCGGCGAAAGAGACTTTGCGAGATGGAGGTAAGGAGTAGTCTTGCGCCACCACAGAGCGCAACGGTCGAGAGAAATTGGGGCTCACTGGAGAAGAGGTCTTGGTATTCATCGCTGAGCGAGAGGGCTGGACCTGGGAAATAGCACTTGGGTACCTGTACCCAACAGGATTACACCTTCCAGTTGGCTTCTGTGTCGTAGGCGGCGTCATCCATTTCTCCGAGCCAGTCGATGAAGAGTATACCGACGAGGAGGGTGATGGTGAGCGTGAAGGTGAAACTCGTAAGGCATCTGAGAAGAATACATCAAATACGTCGCGAGCATCCCTTCTTCGAAGGGCTTCCTGCACCGCGATGCTAGTAGGGTTCGTCGTTGCCGCTGGAATGGAACGGCGAGGAATGGAAGCATCGGATGGATCCTTGAAAGTCTCCGTCGCTATGCGCGGACGGAGGAAAGATCTTCCTCTTACCGGCTCAAGATCTGCCTCGAATTGTATCGGCAAGCCGGTCAAAATTCCCGATCTCCGGCGACCCAAACAAGACACTTCTGGTCCCGGCGAAAGGAGATCCCGCCCACCATCAAAACGAATAGGACTTCTGGCGTCCGATCTTTCTGGTGAAGGTGCTTTCCTCTTGACAGTACCTGAATCCTCCTCTCGTTCTTCGCTAGGTGCGTTTTCATAGTGCGTGAAGCTAGAGTTCAGTACGGAGCGCTCTACCTCTTTCTCTCCCTCTTCCAGATAGGTCGTTCGACAGGGAAGGATTGAAGGTACGCTCATGTCGCCGAGCCAATCAAGTGCGACAATGGGCGCATTCATGTCGATTTTGTACACCATCAACCCGATGACATTGTACACAAATACAGTTCCTGTATCGCAACCAATCGCGATGAATGTTTCCCTGCCTTCGCAACTCCCATCTACCTCTTCTCGAGTCGAATCGCCACCAAGAAGTACATCTTTGTCGCTTCGGCCCCTCGACACTACCGGTCGACGGGAAGCGACAGCCAAACATGTAGCCGGACCATCGACATGCTAAGTCCTGAGCACACGTCCGCGACCTTTAAAGTCAACTAGTCGACAGCGCCCATCATGGCCCACACTAATTGCGCGTGCCTTGTAGCCAGGGATGAATTCCGCCGCAGTGACTCCACCCATCGCTGGCTTATGGAGCTTCTTGATGCACCCTAATCGAGTCGGCTGAAGAAGGAACGCTTGCGTCTGGTTGAGATACACACCCTGATACGAATGGCGGCGCGTGGGAAGGACCAGCCTGTACAGTGAAAGAGTGCCGTCTTGGAATCCCAGAAAAAAGGAAGTGTAAGACGGGTTCCTCCCTTCGTACCGCTGGAACGTAGCGAAAACAGCAGATGATCTCGCATCCGCTGGCTGGAAGCTCACGGATGCGCTTCCCCCAAACCTCAAATCCTGCAGGTATATCTTTGGTGGCGCTGAGCTCGCCGAAAGCAAAATGTTTCCATCCGACGAGATAGACAAAATTGTCGGCGGGGAAGGATGAATCTGCGGCGGCGGCAGCAGCTCCCCCGTCGGGATGCAATACGCCTGTATCGATGTGCTCAGCGTAGTAGTGAAGTAGAGCGTGCGCGAATCCGGCGAGAACACCAACAATCTCGGCTCGCCCTCGTAACTCTTTAACGCATACTTCCTATCGCCTCTGCGCGCTGGGTCGTGGAGAATGACGAGCTGACTGTCCGCGACAGCGAGCAGGCTGCTATTGTCTTTTGCAGCTCGAGCATTTACAATTCCGTCGGAGGTGCATTCGAAGAGGGTGCGCTTTCGGAATGCGCCGCTGTGCGCGTAAATGGCTCTCGGTGTGGCGATGAATAAGCTGAAAGAGGCGGGCAGCTGGTCTGCGTGAGTCATGATGTACACTGTGGGTTAGTGATGCAAGCTGTAGGATTGGACGGTGTTGGATGGGTCCAGCTGGGAAACCCATTTGGGTCGTCAGATGAAACGCGGCAAGTGGCAGGAAGTTCCCGCGGAGCTGAGCAGGAGCGCACAGTGAAAGAATGGGCGAATCGTGCTCCCGAAAGGAAGTTCAGAGACCGTAGCAAAAGATATAGCAATGCGGGGTCTATAAAACTGGAGGTGTTCAGCTGTGCGATCAGGCTGACGGGGGAAATGGAGAGTATCGTGATAGAGCTGGAGCGCATAATGACTCGCAGGATGAGGAAAGCACTTTCTACCAAACAAAGAAGGAACGTGAACGGAAGGAAAGAACAAAGTAAAGAACGATTCGGGCAACCGAGAGACTCTATGTAGAAGAAGGAAGCAGTCATGTTCGCGTTACCGTCATAAGACATAAGCCATAAAGTTTTCTCTCCCTCACCAGCAATTCCTATCCTCAAAACCCAGCCCATCACACCCCCTGCTCTTCTCGCATCCCCCTCTCCACCCGTTCCAACCTTGAAGTCTGCTCAAGATATCGTGAGCATAGTAGTTGCTCTTTCCTCTGTCAGTTGACAGTGTATCGTCATCAATATGCCCCGTATTATACACGTGAGCAGCAGCATACGGATTCCCCTTGATAAGCTGGGTATTGACCCAGGTCAGTTCCGAAGGGGCAGGGGTTGAGGCGTCGCAGTTAAAGTAAGACAGGAAGCCCGGGACCTGGGGCGTACCGTAGACTCCATCTTCAATCATGCTTTTGATGCCAGATTTGGGAGAGGAAGGGGAGAAGGGGTGGGAGCCGCGGTGTTGCATAAGCCCGCAGGCGGTGGACTCGGTGCAGTGGATAGTGACGTTGCCGCTCGACTGGATGTTGTTAGTTTGTCGGTTATGAGAATGGGGATTGGAGATGTAGTACTTCCTGCATGATAAGAGCCAGGATCAAGCGTGCGTCGACTTTGCTATCGGAAGCAACTTCCTTGATGGCGGCCTGGAGGTCATCATTATAAGTGGAGGCTCTGTTCGCTTTTTCGATGACGGGCTCGTTGATTTCCCAGAGTTGATCGAAAGTCAGCCATTCGTCTTGCCCAGGGAAGTCCTCGGCCTTTGGTCCGACGCAGCTATAGACACTCGTGGGGTCATTGGGTGTCACGAGTCTGTTCTTCGTTGATAGTGTGTTCACTTCACTTCGGTTGTCCTTGGTATACTTAGTATACCACGCATCCTGGAGATTCTCGTGAAGCTGAGTCGAGGAAGTCCCGTAGCCCTGATGCTTTGTATACGGCCAAGCTATCGCGAAAGGCAAGAGAAAAGGGATATACTGAGAAGACCGCATGATGCACAGAACTAAGACTTGAGATGAAATAAACCAATTTGACACATCCAACACCTGAGGATGTGCCGTCCTCTTAAACCCTCAAAAAGCCAGGTGTATGTCTCACGCATAATGACCCATCACATCACATCCTCACGCTACGCCCGGCAAGAAGCGAATACGCACGCTGCACCGCTACACTCAGCCCCGATCACTTCCATATTGGCCTGACTTACCCCAACGCGTATTGCAGCTGAGCACTACATCTCTAAGCCATCTCTTTACACGGCAACGTAGCGCCGCCGAGAGGATTGGTGGAAGCCATCACATCCATCAATAAAAGCCGGTGGAGACGGCACGTTCTCCGCGAGCAGACCGACGTCTGTGGTGAAGACTCAGGGAGAGCCGAGAACGCAGGCGCGTGATGCGAAGGGAAAAGGACAAGTGTCGGACGACGTAGCTGCAGACACTTTGTGCAGCTGCAGGCCAGCTGCAGGAACTCAGCCGCGGGGGTTCGGTTGCTACGCCGTACCCATATGCTGTGCGGCTTCGGTATATTGGTGATGGTTCTAAATGTGAAACAGCAGATCGGCGCGCTGCCGCAGGCGACGGCGTGTTGGCAGAAGTCAGCGGAGGCGTTGCCGCATGTGAGGCCGTGGAGGAGACGTGGTACTTGGAGTGGTGGATACGAAGGTGCTAGCCTTGGTTGGCGTAGCCTCCTCTGGACTGAACTCCGGACCTGCATCTCGAGACCGAGCCTGCTCGAGAATGTTCAAATAATAAACTCAAGAGACTAGAATTGCAGAACAGGAGTCAGCAACAGCGCCGTCCATGTCTCATTTATCTTGAACTACATTTCAGTTCTAAGTTGCACAAATGCCAACTCTGGGGACCCGCGCTACGGACGTATCCCTCTCGCAATGGAGATGGCGCAAAACTCCTCGCCGCATTTGCTTTTTTCACGTGCCTACATTGTATTTCGGCCCCACGTCTACCTGATGGTAACTTCAAGCCGCTCGTACATTCAAGGCCCACTCAATACTTACGTCATCTTGCGGACTCTTTCTCTGTACCATCACAAGGCTATGACCTAGCATCGGCGACACGTTCCCCGGTGGCTGCGCGTTCGACATCCCTCACACTCATTGCTTCAATCAATCTCGCGCTCGAACACCCACGCAACGGCCCCAAACTAGCTCGTGATTGGTCACTCTCCCGCTACCTTCATGCTCGAAGGATGATTCACTCATCTGAGTCAGCTCTGTGGTCGTGAGAAGGAAGGGCTCAATAGGCTACAATCATACCATGACGTGTAAGGGAGATACGCCCCAGCATGAACACGTTACGATTGTCTCGCACGTCTTGAACACTATGTCCGCTACCCTACACGACTGTCCTTTCGCTGCTCGCGCTGAGCAGCGCAGTCTCATCTGCACTTTCCAACCTTTCCAACCCACAGGGAGGATATATCTAGTAGCTCGAGATGAGTCTATCGAATCCTCTCCCCTTTGCGAAACCACACCCGGCGTCTTCGAACGGTGAGGCTACTTTACTCCCCATCGACCCCTTATTCCAGCTTTTCCGACATCCACCTCTGGTTCCGGTACTTTTCCCCACGTAGACCATCCCCCAACGCGACTCTCGTAGCCTAGCTCAACGACGACTCCGGCGCATCCAGCATGATTGGACTCTTCCAGAACAACGGACCCTGCTATTTCACTATCAACACCACCCTGGTCCAGAACTCGTCCTCCTCCAACACCAACGCGCGCATGTTGTACATCGACCAGCCAGCCAGCGGGCACCGGCTTCTCCTATGGGTTCGCCAAGGCGGTGCCGCAGGTCAACTCGACGAAGCTGGCGGGGCAGTACGCGTATGCGCTCCTGTAGGCGCTGCTGCAACACGAGCAATTCCAGTAGCTGGCCGGGAGGAAGCTCGGTGTCGCGAGCGCGAGTTGTGGCGGGCACTAGGTTCGGACTCGTGAGATACATCCAGGAGCGCAATGCGGACGGCGCAGAAGTTGAGATTGCGCTCGCGGATTTGGCCGTGAACGATGGCATCTTCGACTATAGGTTCCAAGGGTGGCCCTCGCAAAGCGTCTGAATGCTAATGACATTATGGTCAGACTAGCTTCCTGTGTGTAGTAGTTCTGGTGCGGGACCGTGGATGTGAATATGGTATTAAAATTTTCGTCTCTTCATGTACAAAGTCTACTTGAGTCTCGCGAATTGTTTGCCCCACTTCGCGGCAATCTCCTCCTCACTGAACCTGCGCGTCTTGCTCCGCAACAGCTCTGCTCTTTCCTCTATGCTGAGGTTCATCTGATCGCCCATGGGCACCAAACATCTGGCGAGGTGTTCATAGTTCTTCGCCAGCAGGCTAAATGTGATCATGAGGTAGTCGATGTTGTAGAAGACGAGGGCATGTTCAGAAGAATACGTAGACTTCTGCGCAAGGAAAGCAATAGGGTGGTCACGCCAGTGGCGCATTGGGTTCAGGTGGTGCGAAGTATGGTAGCCGTCGTTGAAGCAGTACCGGTTGCTGGCGACGTCAATGACAGTGATGCTGGACCTGAAATCCGAATCGGGCTCCGTCTCGTCGACAAACGCATGTTGGCCCCAGTTGCCAATCATCAGACCTAATCTCATGATTGCCAGCGGTACGAGGTAGACAAAAACGGTGGCGCGGGCATTCACATAGGTGAACAAGGTGTAGTAGAAAGCATAGCTGGCAATCTCGCAGGCACCTGCCTTGAGTGCGAGCTCGGTCTTGCGAGTGCGGAGAAAGTATCGCGGCAGGTCGAACCAGATGAGGAAGTAAAATCTACCAAGATAATGCAAGAAGTGCCAAACATCATCCCGCTGGTAGCGTATCGTTGAGGAGAGGTCATTTGGGCCGTTGCCTTCGACGTGGTGGTGCTTCACGTGGTGAAAGTAGTATGAGTTCCACGTATGGCCCATGAGCGGGTCCATAATATATGGGAAAGCGAGATCAACTGCTGAGTATGCCTTGTTCAATATGCCACGCATATGTATGTGCTGGTGCATCATCAAAGTGTACGACCCCATGTAGTATAGCTGCATGATGGAATGTAGCGGGCCGTGCCACCAGTGGAAGTTGTAGAAGAGGTAGATTGCAGATGGTATGCTCGTGGTGAGATACAGAAGCAGGTGTGTGAGCATGACGACGTCGGTGTCGACGCGCACAGCAGAGCGGCCCCATCGTACGTATGGTTCGATTATATATTTGCGAAGGATAGGATTCGTGATGTTCGGGTAGTCGACCATTACAAAGACGGTGGGTTCGAATTGGTCAGAGGTGGGATTGTTGAGCTCTTTCATGTGCGCGAGCGCCTGCTCCTGAGCTTCTTCAGCATCTGCATTGTGGTCAGAATGGGTATTGTGAGAGAAGGGGCGAATCGATCGGACCTTCTGGTGACGCTGAGTCGAAGCGTGCCTGCTTCTGTCCAAAATCGTCCGGGTCCTCGGAAGGCTGCTGCTCATTGCCACTGGCTTTCTTGTGTCTGTCGTAGTCCTTCTGCAAGATGTCTAGGACCATGCGGTCCTGAGGCGTAAGCTGCGCATCTGGTTGAAAGTAGAGGTTGACCATGCTGCGTTCGCAGGAACGGGGCTAGGTACAAGGAAGCTGCGGCAATGCTACTTGCACAAGCAGGCAAGATTGCTCGGTGTCAAGGAAGCTGTGCAGCAGACACGGAACCAACGAAGGGGTGTAGTTGTCTAGGCGGGGCTAGCCAGGAACCGAGGGGCGCCGAAAAGTCGGTCAGGGACCAGCACAACGCGGCCGCGTCGCCACTTGCGGCTCTGCGCGCTAGGTCGTGCGATCGACCACGTGACGGATCCACCTCCAGGGCTCTCGCCTAGGACTACATATGTTGAATGCGATGTCAACAAACGCTCTAGGTTGCGACACAATCGTCTGAGTAACGCGGTGTCTTAGCGTCTTCCGCAGACGAACTGCTCCTTGAAGGTTTCACCAGTCGCTCATTGCTATTGGCTGATTTTCTTCTGTACAAGCACGAACTGCCTCTCGCATCGGGATGATCACACGGCGGAGCAGCATTCTCAGACACACAGTAGTCTGCTCGATGCCCCGCCGCGGCCTTTCGTTCTGACCATTTTTATTATTGCCTCGACCCTAGTTCCATGCAACACATCGTCGCGAGACATTCGAGGTCGGGGGTTGGGACTGCCGTCCGTCGTGCCAAGTGTTACTAATCCTAGGCGCTCAGATTCCGCTGGATGCAATTCTCCCTGTCATAGGGCGTTCCAATCCATCCTGGTAATTTGTAACCGTCGTGCTTCCGTCTAGACCCGAATAAGTATGCGCATCCTCTGTCGTCGCGGGGACGGGCGCCGCGAGATCCCGAGTTCACGAGGGTCCACATGCTGCCTTGCTCTTTATTACATTACAAGCGCGTAACGCCGGAGCGCAATAGTTCTCTCCATCGCCCTTCCCTCGACATGAGTGATACTGCAACACCTTCGTTGAACACGCCCTTCAAACGGTCGGTTCGTCGTGTCGCTCTTGCGTGCATACAATGCCGTGCAAGGAAAGTCCGATGTGACAGTTTACAACCTGCCTGTAACCGCTGTTGTGTAGACGAAAAAGAATGCGAGTACCAAAAGTCACGGCGCGGCGGACGTCCACGTCGTCCAATTACTGCGCCTATTCAGATTGCGGCTGGCGAACCTCACTCGCCAACTCATTCCACAAACAACTTTGCGCTCAGCACAGATAGCAGCTCGCTTGGGCTTGGGTCATCTGGAAGTTCTACGACGCAGAGCGCCTGCGAAAGCCTGGAGTCGAAGTCCCCTGAGACAGTCCTACCGAACGGTGCGCGATTGACGAAGACCATGGTGGACCAGCTTCTGACCCAGTACTACACGTACTTCCATGTATCCCATCCGTGTGTTCTTCCACGATGGGCATTGGAAACAAGAATCGCGACGGATACGGGCATAGCGGACTTTCTACTTCCTATCCTCTTTTACATTGGCTCGATATTTGCCCAGTCAGTCGACTCAACCTCTTTGGCAAACGCTGCATTTGAAGCAGTGAAGGCTGGGCAGCTGAACTCGACGGGATCCACGCCGAATCCGTACTTCATACAGGCACTAATGCTGTACTCAATAGCAGTGTATTGGTGTAACGAACCCGAAAGAGGTCGAGAGCTGCTGGATGAATGCATCAATGGAGCCTTCATACTAGGTATGCATCAGAAAAGCTTTGCTGAAGAGAACAGCGACGGGGATCCAGTCCTAGAAGAAAGCTGGAGGCGGACATGGTGGCAGATCCATGTGACTGATATCCATATCGCTGGTAGCACGCACTCATACAAAGGGCTATCTGTAAAGTTCCCAATCACGACCGAGTTGCCCTGCGAAGAAGAAGGTTATGAAACTGGAGTATGTTATTACACTGGCACGCATCGTGAATCGTATTGACGCTGCGTGCGATAGATCATCCCAACACCAGCAACACTCAAAAACTACAACGCTAGAGAATTCTCCGACATGGAGTTCTCATCGTTTGCTCATTTGATCGGCTTTTCACAAGGTCTTTGTAGGGTTCTTGCGACCCGACTGTACAACGATACCGAGAGCGCCAGAACCACTTGCGCCAACGCCGACACAATGATGACGGCATGGTGCTCGCTGCTTCCGGCATCCAAACGAAGACTCTTACGAGACGATGGAAGCGTCGACGAACTGCTGTTCAAAGCCACTATACTTATGCATACGTATGTTCACGGCGCACGAGCATGCGTAAGTCTCTCTGACATGGGCAGGTGCATCGTCGACCTACATCGTCAGCTATCGAACCTCCGATACAGCGACATCGAGTCGGTATCGAAATGCGCTCCCCCGCCTCCGCCGGAATCGAACGATTCAATCAAAGAAGACGCACCCATGCACACTTCCAAAGTGCTGTATGCAGTCGAAAAACTCAACAGCCTCTTGACCTTGCCCACAAAATTCAGTGTCCATACCCCTTTCATCATCTGCATGATCGCAAACATGACCATCGCACACCTCTCCGCCTGTCGATACATCTTCCGCGAACCGAGGCTGTCACTCGAGCGTGATAAGATCCGTTTGAATATGGGGGTGCTTAAGATGCTTGGCGAGTTTTGGCCTGCAGGACAGAGAGAGTATAAAACGATGGGAACCATCGCTAGAGAGATTCTGGCATTGAAGGAGGAGGAGATCCAAATTCCAAAAGAGACGCCAATCCTGCCACTGGATACACTGGACTACAATTTTCCTGATTTTGAGGTCAATTGGACCTGCGATTATTTTGCCACCAACCACGGCCCTTATTCTTTTGATGTTCCCGTCGACTGTCTTGTATAGAGTATCTTCACGGCTTACAAGCTCTTTTGTTGGGCTCAAGCTACCGCTATGCCTGAGAAAGAAAAGAAAAAAAAACCGTACTGTTAGCTTTACGCATTACTAATGCAAAAACACTGGCAATAACCCCCATGTCAAGCTCCTGCTCAAAGTGACATTGTTTTAACAATACATGCCTCTCCCATGGGGGAAGCATTGTGCGATAAGCTCGGATGACCGTGGCTCAACTTGCTGACTATAACGTTCACGTGTAGGCGCGGAGCCCCACATGGCTGGGGCTGTACCTCTGCCATGGTTCCTTGACTCTGCAAACCAATTGAGTGAATGACTATTACACGCCTGGCTAGCGTGTCTTGGCATGTACAAACGGATGCGGCAGGCAGCTGTGTAACGTGCTTGCGCCTCCGAACTTGCACCTAATTGCAAAACCCTCACCAAACGTTCCTCAGCACCACGTCGCGGTCGTCCTTTGGGAGGGCGGACAAGTTAACCCCGCCACGCAGGGCTTCGTGAGGGCATCATATCTACAATGCCGCCTCATAAGAAAGTATACAGTGCGCCGCAGGCTGACGACAAGACCTTCGCAACGCAGCAAGAGTTTCTCGACAGTCTGGTTCCTGTTCCGGTGGAGTCGGTGGATGGTAACAGCCGGAAGTGTGCTCATTGCTGGAGGCCGTATGGCGAGTCGAACCCCGGTGAGGATGACGCTGAAGCGCCCGTACGATTCAGATGCAATCATGTGTTCGGCGAACAATGTATGCGATCGCTCTTTGCTGTGCGGGACCCAGTCCGAGTTGATCTGAAGCCTCTATCGTTCGCGCCGGGCTCGAAAGGTGCAGATCTGGGCAGCCGGCTCAGTGCCTACGTGGGTTTTGCCACCCATACAAGTACTCAAAATTACATTACCGACTTACTTTGGGCATAGGTCGAGTCCCATGGCGTCGAGAAGAGCGCCTTACTAAGTGGTGGCAATCGCGCGACGGATTTCGCGCGACTTATTCGTGAAGTCATGCCCACGGTGCAGACGCTGACTTGCCCCACCGTATTGGGCCCGGGCTTCGATCTCTTGGGCAAAGAATGGTGAGTGTTATGAGAGATCTTCTCCGGCAAATTGACACGATGAGAACACAACTACGTTTCGAAGCGTTTACTGACAGCCTGAACAGGATGGTACTTGTATTCCAGATGTTCAGTCAATCTGACAGCCTTTTGGATAAGATTGAGCTCATGGAGAATGCAATAATAGTGAACAGCGACTCCGCCAAGCATCAAATGTACACATTCCCCCCCGGTAACATCATGATCGCACCGCCGATATCTGTGTCATCTCCCTATAGCACGGTCATGCCCTCCGAGCCTGGAGAGGCGCTCTCACAGGCGACGCCACAAATGAATCATATATCACCGCCACACCTGACTTGGGCACAAGAAGAACAGAAAACCAAAAAGAAACAAGAGACAGCCTCTACCACCTCGACCACTTGGAAAGACGCCTTGTTCAGCAAATCAAAGCTGGAAATCCCGGTACAAAAGCATAAGGAGCTGCAGGAACAGGAGGAGCTGCTGCAGGAGAAATCAGAAAGCGCTACAGCTGATGAAGAGGTAACGTAGTCCCCATAAAAATCAAGATGAGTCAGGGTCTCACGCTGAATCAGGCTGTCCATAGCTATGGTAGTCCTGTCATTCCCCCAACCATGACACAGATTGCGCCGTATCTGTTCGCCGACCCGCTTGCTGCAGCGCGAGATCAACATACCGGTATGCTCTTTTCATCTGCCGAAGAGATCATGGCGTGGTACTAATGAGTTATGGCAGAGTTGCAGGAGCACACCAAGGTGTTCGTGAAGCATTTGTCCCAGTCTTTCGCCAAGGTTTACGAAGCATATGAGAGGAATCAATACGAACAAGGTGTGGCCGCTGGTTTCCAACCTCCAGTGAAGAAACTTAAACTTGCGGGCCTGAACAAAACCTCGTCAGCGTCGCCCGAGACTGAGTTCGATGACATCTATTATCACAGAGTCCGCCATTCCGTCTTCGTCCTGACGGCCATCGCCCACAGGTATTCACTCAGTGAGAGGGGACTCGAGGTTAATCAACCTTATTCTTACGAGTTTCACGCTACAGAGGAGACAGATGAGGAAAATATCGAGGACGACGGATTCGTGGACGCGGAGCGAGCACCGGCAGTCGTCGCGCAGAAGACTGTTCTGGTGAAGCGAAAGATTTGTAGAAATTGCTGCGCTGAGCCTACGCCCTATGTGCAATCTCTCGCAACGCCAGAGTACGTGTTCTGGCCAGACAACAAGAAGATTCCGGACAACTGCCCTAAGTGTCGTCGAATTCTTTTTAATAAGAAGGATGACTAGGTGCGAGCTTTTCAGGAGTGGGGTGGTTATTCAGCTTGCGTCAGACACTGTTTAGTCCTGTCGCAATAGTAGTATAATTTCCACGAAAAGGATGACTGAATGATTATCACGATTGGGTATCTGGCGTTCGAGCATGGTAAACGTTTCCAGGTTGGAAGTCACAAATCAGTATAGGCAGCGCAGAAACACACAATACGAGCTTTCTGGCATAGTACTTGAACTGATGTATGAGTACAATAAATGATATCATACACGCATTTTATCAACTCCCTCATTGTCTTGCTTGACCACCTCGTCTTTCACTTCAAGGTAAAATCATTTGCCGGCCTTCACCACGGACCTCTTTCCAAGTTTATGCGTCTCCATGTTTATATGTAAGCCTTCCGCTAGCTCTTGCCCTCACACCCGATATTCGACGCGCAACCCACCAACTCAACCATGTCTCGCACCACCGCGCAAACACTTGCTGCTGAAGCATTGGCGTGTTTTTCTACACCTCCTTACCAAATGCAGCAAAATAAGCAGCCGCCCGCATCTGCCATGCAACAAAACTTCGGAAATAAGATTGGCAAAGTAACGACAGTGCACTTTTGTCAAGTGCCGCCCCGAATGTGCCAAATCGAAGGGAAAGTCGCAACGTACGAGCGCAACGGAGAATTCGTCGCTACAAGCAAATCTCTCGCCGTCGCCACGCCAGCGCCTCCGCTGCATCATCTGCAAACAGCCACGCCGCTGCCCTCGCTCCTCCACTACGTCGATAACGACCTCCTGCGTCGACGCGCCGAATACGATAGACCGCCAAATGGACAAGCCATCTGCTCAGCATGCGGCAAGCATGAATTCGCCGCGACCATCAAATCGACCTATCTCCCCCTCACCTGCGGCTGCTGGATGCACTACCGCTGCTTCATCGGGAACGTGGCGTACCAGAAACCGCACCTACGCCGGCACCCCAAAGACTGCTGTCCGGCGTGCGGCACGCAGCTGTTCATCTGGGAAGGTATTGTCGCGCTGACGCTCGCCGAGCGCACCAACGTGCTCATGCCAGACGTGAAATTCACGCCGCACGAGGCCTACGCTGATGCAAACACGGGCATGTACGTCGTGAGCGACAAGACACAATACGAGTCCGACTGCGCGCTCATTTCCGCTCTCATTCAATCGCATTTCCTCGCGCTGTTCGAGCCGGCTGCGCCAGAGTCTCGGTTCGCAGACGGGAGCCCAGATCTTACGGCGTGCTACTACGCTGTGCTGGCCGACCTCGACTACTATGGATGTCCGCGATCGAAGTGGTTGGCGTTTAGTAGAGAAAAGAAGCAGGATGGCGAAGTGAGCGTGGGGTTTCTGCTGTTTGGGATGCTGGTTGCGCTGAAGATGAGGGGGTTCTTGAATGTGTATCACGCGGCTGTTGTGGAGACGGAGGGGTGGGCAGAGTTTGAGAATATCAGGGAGGGGGTACAGAGGAGGATTCTGGCAGATGTAAGGGGGGAGGGGTGGAGCTGGGGTGCCTGAGGGGCATCGATGAGCTTCTGGCAAGCTTTGAGAGGGGACTCATGATGGTTTGCGCACGGCATAACGAGACACGCTTTCATCTGGCTTTGGAGTTTTGTTAGATACTGTTGGATTATAGCGGCCATGTCTGCATCGCGATAGCATGGGCATGTCGGTCGTATCTCGAACAGTATTGAGTAACGTCAATACAATGCCAGATCTCACACACCAGTAAGTGGCTCGACAACTATTTGACAGTAGCTTTAAGGGGGCGATCTACAAATACAATTATCAAAGACCCACATCAACCTCGCGTAAGCTTTAAATCCTCGTCATCAGAAGCTGGTATTGGCCGGGCCGCTTTACTGGCCGACCGCGTACCTCAAGTGTGAGCTCCTCGCGTGCTATTTTCAGGCCAGAGGAACATATTACGGAAAAGCTATGGTCGTCAGATCATAAACCTATCGGGCAGCGGAAGTAAAAAGGCCGGAGTAGATGTAAACGATGGATTCTAGGATCGACTAGGTATCACCAAGATCACCATCGATTTCCCGGTCAGCTGTGGGACGCGTCGACTAAAAGCAAGCTCTTGGTGACTGGTTGTTGATGAGGTTAATGCTTCTCTCGTGTTTTTTTCTCAAGAATGCTTTCACGAACAATTTGATTGACGGTTGCATTTTCATTGTGTGTATATGCTACTTTGACTTGGATCGTACAAACGCTCAGATCAGAAGGGTGACGCTATTTTCCCTTGAACATATCACCCAAAAGAGAGAATATCTTGAATAACGAGAACACATGTCACAGTCACTCTGAGCAGAGTAGTATTGAGCTTTTGGAACAATAGGCCTGAGATCAATTTTGACCAGTGCTGGTCAAAGCTGCCAGAAAGTATGAAATGTTCCCCGCGTACTACGTCATTTCAGTATGGCGTACTTCCACAGTGTGAGCAGTTCCTCTTAAGCCCTAGCACAATAGTTATGTGCGTCAGCCGAGAAAACTCGTTCCTTGGTTCATGCGCTAGCACTAACGTTCACCCAAAAATCCCATTCCTGACAGGTTACCCAATGATGATGCCACAACATATAATCAAAACTCTGCATGCGGGTATACTATGTGTTAAAAGTAGCTATAATAGTCCAAAGTAGCCACGCGCGACTTCTACGAGTATTTTATTTTACGTGAGGTTGCTGTGACTAGAATATTCATGCATGGATCTCTTTGCCGATGTAGAACATTGTTCAGTTCATCACATTCTGTCCACACAATGATCCTATAAGACAACATACTTTGGCATCGTTATTCGTGAAAGCCTTTGAAACTTCAAGCAGGCACAATGATTTCCGGACATACAGTATAAAGGTGCCATGGGATTTGCAGCCAATCTTCAAAAAGGTCAAAATACACACTTGTGCAAGCATGGGTCGAATCTCAAACCCCAAACACTCAAATGGGCCAAATTTGGCCATGGACAGCTTCCAGCTGGCTCGAAATGCCAGCCTGGCTATACGCGTTGCACTCGGCTCTGACTGGAACAGTCCCGGCGGCGCCCTCAGTACTGTCGCCGACAAGTACATCCTCAAAAGGCTGGACAAAGCCATAAGCTCCGCAGACGACGAGCAACCAGATTGGGAAGCCTACATCCTCATTCCCTTATTCAACTCCTGTCTCAGCACCTACACAGCAATCGACATCGATTCCAAATTCGTCACGCAAACCGTGGCGGTCATACTTCTAGCGTACGACATAATTCGTCAACGCAATGCAGTTCCAACTCAAACAGATTACAATTTCATTGAAAGCACCCTCGACAAGTTCCTTACTCCAGAAAGCCTAGTCATTATCAGGGAAGTTGTGGAGGCTGAGAGCGAACGGTACTCGGGACTAAACATCGACTTTGGAAAGGTGAATGGCCTTTTCGTTTTGGAGGCCTTGCTTAAAGAGGCCATTCACCGCGCCGAGAACAATGGCATCGTACCTGAGGGCGCTACTGTGAAGTTGATGGCTGACTCTGTCAAGACTCAAGTTCCAACTGCATCCGCCGATGAGGGGTTTTCTTCAACGCCAGGACTGCAGACTACCACTAAACGCGATGTTCACTTACAGTACTACCTCAAGTCCGGCTATGCGCTTGAGGTCGACTCCGTGACCTCCATCGACCTTCACAACGAGGCCTTGGTGCTCGAGACAAGCGACGGCCTTCACGTAAGCATTGAGGAAGGCGTCATTGTGTCAGAAGTGGAGGGTAAGTCTCGCACTGTTGATATTCGGGCGCCCCAGGCAGATGGTTTTGAACTCTCAGCTACGGTGGTCATTCCTCCGGACAACAGTTATATCATTGAAGATGTGACATCGGTAGAGCGGATCGATAAGATGGCGGACTGGGCGGTTTTTGAGACGTTGAAGGCTACGATTTGGGTTGGGAATGGGGCTTATATGTATGAGCGTGATGGAGAGACTGTCAAGGTTAAGAATCTCTTTAATATTTGCTCAACGGCTTAACGAAGTGGGAATTCTATCCCGCTTTGCAAGCGGACGGCCAACCAAGACGCGAGTAACAACAAATCACCAGTCTAGACTCGAACTATTCAAAACCCCAGCCATTGTATCAATTCAATCTTTCTTCTTATAGGCATTCAAGTTGCTGTTCGGCGCAATCATGACAGCCAGGCGCTAGTTATGGATCCTCCGGGTTTACCCTTCTTGTGTGAGATGAGAATGCAACGTACTTCCCAGTCGACCTATAGGCCCCAAATATCAATGTAACCAAACTAGACTTGAAATCTGAATATTCATATCAGTACAATCCAATTTTATACAGCGCCAGGGAAGTCACCTAAGTGACGCTAATGATCAACAACAATGGAAGCAAACATGATGTTTCCACGTTGCTGCACTAGCATATCTTGCAGGTCATGCATTGTCCTCACGATAATATCACAACAAAACAGTATCAGATAATGCAGGAGATTGACTGTTTGGTAGCCGTAGCGGCGCATGCAGACTAAGGTTTATGCGTCGTCAAAGCTACATTTCAAGCCCCCGCAACCCACTGTCCACCAGAAAGTCTGCCATTTTAGCGTTTCATTACCCCGGAAATGTTGAAGTTCGACATGTTGAAGTTAAAGATGTCATCTCAGTTGAGATACTAGAGTACATACTTTGACAATTCCCTGTCCCTAGTATTGGTGTTGCTTTTTCTGCGTGAATATGCCTTCGAGTCAGTGTATCCTGGTGTAATTATGCATTGACTGGATCTTCTTTCCACTCGGAGTGTGGACTTGGAGCCTGGCGGTCCGCTCCGAGTCTCCGGCCAACGGCTTCCAACGCACGAAAGACCCTATACCAGGCAACAAACCGCCATACAAGGTGGAAGATTCTTTCTGCTCAGCTGCCGGGAACGTGAAGTCTGGGTGTGTGCAGACATAGGCCGTCTCGTTGGCAAAGTAGCAAACTTCGCGAAGTGATGTCGAGATAATGTAAGGAAGAGGTCCTGGCGCGAATGGGAAGTAGGATCGGAAGTTATCAGTGAAACAAGTGATAGAATTCATGTTCGAGTCGCCAGAGACATGGAAGCTCTGGGTGAAAGAGTTCCACGACGTCGTCGATACAGTCTGACATGATAATCACTTGGATGTGATGATTGAAAGTTTAGTATAAAAAGTTCAAAGATGATTGAGGATTATGGGGAGGTTAGAGGACTGGATGTCTTAGGCTGTGGAGAAGGGATTGTTGCGAGCATGTGAGACTATATACGCCGCTGGTGCATCCCTGAGCACAATCTCTTGCTAAGAGGAGATCACAAAAAATCGTACTCTGCACGTCTTCTCCACAGCAAAGCAAACATTCATGTGGAGCCTAATGCAAGACAAGCGCCGGTGAAAACGGGAGGCTGCATGGAAAGGCCACTTCACCCCGTTTCCTGCCGAAGGGACAACGACAATAAACGATCCGAATTTGCCATGCGAGAAAGATCCCTTGCATATATGATGAATGAGACCCTAGGTCAAGAGCCTCGCATATTCATCGTAACAGTGGTGAGCGTGCACTTCCGCGTATCTTTGCACGCCTCCCAACCCCGACTGTGAAAAACAAACATGTCTTTTTGTCATCACAGACACACTTTGCTCGGTAATAGTTTAAAACTGATTAGCGAAAATGGGAGGCTGCGGCCTGAACCTAGAATGGGTAGTCAAAATGGCGGTAAACGCATGCACGTACCCGTGTTGCAAGGGCTTTGCTGCCGGGAAACAACCACGCCTGGAATGTCAGTATCTGTCTTCGATTTGGAGAATGTCGTATTCAGATATAAAATATGAGCTGAAAGGTTCGATGCTCCTGGATTGATGTATTCAGGAGGCACGATGTGCAATCTGGGTGGAACAACTCGTTACTGTATCAAGATAGCCAGGAAAGTTCTTGAAAACCGAGAGACTCTTTTTGAAACAAGTTCATGTGGACCCCCTATTAGACTATGATATGTTGAACTTTTTCTTCTTTCTTCCAAAGCAGGTCTGCGGTCCTAGAATACCGACTACTCAGCCGTAACTGTGGAGATCCAGTTATGATTTCATATTAGACCTTTAACATTGAAGTCGGCTGCCCAATATACACAACAAGAACCCCCTTCACGTTCGATTCATCACCCTATCTCCCACCGCCCAGCTCACTCTTACCCCATCTATACATTCCTCCTTCCCAGCCGATCTCCGCATCCTCGCCATCCCAATCCTCCCTATTCATCTCCCCACGTTGAGGACCGATCAAGCGACTGTATCTATCGTATGGACCCAGACTACGCCCAGGGAATATGTACGAGACTGCGCTTCACCATCAACCTCGCTAATGTTGATATCTGGCAGTCTCACTAGCATTGTGCACTCAATGACCGGCTATACTACAGACTTTTGTTAACTGTCTTCTTGTGCAAAGTCATCAGCGATTCGATGCGCGCGTTCAAGATAGTCAATCAGTAGTAAGTAGCGCGTAAGTATAGCTAGCATACCATGGACAGGTCCACGGAACCCGACAAACCGCGCAGGCATCACTGGTTCGAGCACTCGCTCACATCAGTGTCAATCGCAAGCGCCACTCACGTTACAACAACAGATATGCAGAAATAAGGGTTCTATAGGCTAAAGCTACACGTAGAGCTACACATACCCATCCGTATACACACAAAGGGAACTAGGATTTCGCATGAAACAGGGATTTTCCGCCATGCAACGCTTACTCTACAAGCAGACTCTGCAGCCGCGCCTCTGTCGCCATCACATCCAACGCCTGTTTCACCTCGAGCACTCTCCGGCACTCGCCGAGCCAGTCCTTGCTGAGGACTTTGGCCCAGCCCTGTAGGCCGTTCATCTCACGGGCAGCCGCGTCGAGGTCGCCTTCCTCGAGGAGCGCTTCTGTCCGCGCGAGCACGGCTTCGACGTCTTGGCCTACGGCGAGGCCGGACTTCTTGAACAGGACCTTAGACATGGCCAAGGAAGCAAGGTGCGATGCGACACCAGCGTCTTCGGGGAGAAGAGCAGCTTTTCGCACTTCCTGGGCGACGCGTCGGAAACGGTCGATGAGCTGTGCTGAGTTGGGGATGCCGCGCTGGTACGCAGCAGGGTTGATGCTCGCAATAGCGGCGGCGACCACGGGGTCATCAGCGGCAATCTCCTTTAGAGCAGCGAGCTCGGTGATGAAGGGTTTGGGTACGATCTGGTTTTCTAGAGCAGACTTGACTGCCTCAACGGCAACTACAAGATGTTGTGTCTTAAGGTTGGCGTCAATGACCGAGTTCCATTGCGCAGTCAGCTTCTCCAGCTCCTGTACAGAGGAAGAAAGCTCGTTTAGCTTGCCAAGACGGCCTTCGCGCTCATTCTCGACCTGATCCCGTACAGAACCGGCAAACTGGCGCTGGAGGGCAATACTCTGTTCAAGCAACTCGTTCTTCAGCTTCTGTTCGTAGACTTTCTGAGCAGCGTCCAGCTCAGAGCGAGTCCTCTCCTTGTACGCCTGGGCGAGGCGCTCGCGCTCGTTCTCGTACTCTTCTTTCCATTGCGTCTCCTGAACCTTCATCTGGTGCTCTAGACGCTGCACGAGCTCCTTTGCGGCTCCGTCGAACTCGGTGTGAGCGGCATTGATCTGTTCCTCAGCCGTCTTCTGGATGTTCGCTTTGAGCAGGTTAATGTCGGACACAACCTTGCTGAGCTCCGACTTGGCCTTCTCCAGCGCAGAGTTGTACTTGGTGTCACGGTTGGTGTCGGCGTTGATGACGGTGATGATATCGTTTACGATCTTGACAACGTCCTGCACGATGGGCTCGCTGGCTTGCGGCGTGTTCAGATGATCAATCTGTGCGATTTGCTTCGCTGGAGCTGGAGCTGGAGTCGGCGCAGGCTTCGTTTCGGTTGCGGGGACGGACTTGGCTTCCTCCTTTGGCAAGAGCTGGTGGGTGCTGGACTCGGTAGGCTTCCCCTCCTTGTCTTGGGATGTGGGCGAGGCGACCTTGGGCGACGGTGAGGACCTGTCGTGGGCAGCTTTAGCATTATCGTCGGTGGCGCTGACGTGCGGGCCCTTTACGGCGAGATCAGTGCTGTGCTCGCTGGCTAGGCGCGAAGTGAGGCCGCTATTTCCGGGGATGGTGACCTTGCTCTCGCCCGTGACCTGCGGGTGTAGTCGCGGCTGGCCAGCACGTCCAGGAAAGCGCCTTCGGAACTCGCGCTCCTCAAAGTAAGCCACGGCATCCTCGCCAAAGGGCACGTATTCGGTGAAGAAGTCGTGGAAGTTGTCCGAGACGAGCGAGTACCACACACCACCGCCGTATCCGAGGGCAGAGAGCAGCAGCGTGTAGAGAAGGAAGCGTCCCAGACGCCGCTTCCGCTTCGGCTTGGGTGCGCTCTTTGGGTCGGGGGCAATGCTGGCGGTGCCGGGGCCGGTGGGTGGGAGCGTTGCGGGCTGCACGACGGGCGCCGAGCGCGAGGCAGAGGTCTCGGGAGCCGGCGGTGCCCTCGGGATGTCAGAGCTGGGGATAGTCGCGTTCTCGACGGGGGCAGAGGTAGACGGCGTGACGGTTGGCGCGGGATTGGGGATGCTCGTCTCGCCGAGCGACTTTTTGTCGTCGGCGTAGAAGCGCTGGGCTTGCTGCCATTGCGGGCGCACCCTGGGGGCAATTGGCCGCAGGGCCGGCCGGGCGCGCAGGATAGAGGCGCGCAGCATAATGGCACCCTCCAATGCTTCGAGATGGGGAGGTCGACGGTAGCGGTGGTTGTCCGGCAGCTGCAGAATCTTGGAGAGCTCCTGCCGCCAGCGGTCATGCCGCTCGGGCCAGATGCTGGCCCCGCCCGTCCCGCTCCGGTAAACACATGCCTGACACCCATGGATGCCTCAGGCACCCAACACCAGACCGCCCACCATGGCCAGGGTCCAGCCCTCTATAGGAGGTTGTCCAAATAAAATCATCATGGAATATCGTTTGCTCTTCACTCACTAGCATGCTCTTATTCTCGCATCGCATCTGCACATCCCACTGTCATAGGCTCCACGTTGCTGCGGCTGTCTCGGGCTTCCATATGACAAACTCAAGTCCGGCATCCGTCCCTACAAAAAGGACTCCCTCTCGCCGGCGTACCCACGCCCTCTTCATTCATTCACTTTTTCACTCGGGTTACCTTTCGTTCGACCACGTCGCTGAGACACGCATCTGAACACCGCCACCAACACACGGCAGCCCTACGTCATCGCACAATGACTCTTCTTCCCTCTAGGCAGCCATATCGCAACACTGATTGACCTCGTTCGCACCCCACCCGGCGCTCCTACCCCACTTCATCACCTGCATTGCACTCACACTGCAGCAATTTCATCTTGTGGCTGTTCTGCCCCACTAATTTTCCTTCCTGGAGTGATCTGAGTCCATACACGCGGGTTCACAGAACTCGAACCGAGCCGAACACTTGTCCTGCACAAGCCAACTTTCTCAGCCTCACCAAGCATGGGCGATCCGAGTGCAGGCGCCCACCTCGCGCGTGACCCGTGTCTCTACCCCATGGATCCCATGGAGATGTCGTGCTTCGATATCCGCGCTGCACATGTGCCCACGATACCAGCACCTAGGCGTTCTCAAGATGCCAAAGCTGCGAAGCGGAGAGGCGCGTCGTCTCCGCCACGTATATCACTCGCAGGGTACACAAATGGGAAAAGCTACTGGATTGTCAACCAGCGCTGTCGCTTGCAACCCACCCAGGAGTCACAGCTGGAGCAACAGATGCACCAGAGCACGTGCCTCAACCTAAACGCAAATGTGAACAGTGCAGAGTCAGACCTCTGGATTTTGCCTGACTTTGACGATTGGGAGGTCGACAACGAGACCCCGCAGCAGAAGCATCTCCCAGGCGCGAAGAAGCAGAGTGCCTGGGCACCGCTCGTTAAGCGCGCCGCGAGTTCGAACCGCGAGCGCCTGCGCCGGCGGCTCGAAGGCGACGGGTGGGATTTCGTGGGTGGCAAGTACGGGGAAGACGATGCTGCGCTGAAAGAGGAGACCGAGGCGAGCGAGGGCAGCCAGGAGAGCGTGGACGATGAGTTTGACGTGGTCGTCTTGCCCGTTGTCCGCGCTGCTTGCTAGCCGTTCGTTGCTCAGACACATACGGACCAAGGCTGCTTCTTCCGAAAGTACAGCTACTTCGTTGCCTTACACCAATCCGACATCTGTTGCCGGGCCCATGATATGGTATTGCCACCGTCACGGAAAGTTCGACCACTGGTTGCGCGCCCACCCTGGGGTACCACGTGGCACCGAGAGTTCTACCCATGTACCTTCTTGTATATCTCCTTGGCTCTGGCTACTGTCTCGACACCATTATACATCTCCTCGGCTCTTTACGATACCACTTCACGACCATGCAAACCTTTCCTCGGTACATGCACTCGCTACCTCGCCTCTCCCTACATCTCCGACCTTTTTCCAACAACCTTCTCCTTACACCGCCGACGTCTAACATCCCGCTCTCCTTGCGTCTCAGTCTTCCCCAACCGACTTAGCTTTCCTTGCGTCCTAGATTTGTACCTCCTTAAATGATACCCCATGGATCTGTATCACCATCATATGTAGCAGTCTCTGTTCAGGCTTTTCCTTTCGTCCCGTCATTGAGTGCATGCTCAATGTTTTCGTTGGCAGGCGTCGGTCCTCAAAAACAAGTCAGACGCTGGGTCTCAGACGTTCTACACGATGGTTTCTTAGCACATGAGAAAGCAATGAAAACTTCAATGACCAATGCGACGTGTTGTAATTAAACTTCTATCTGTATCCAGTGTCATGTATGTTGGTAGAGAATCAATCATCGGCTCCTTACTCGTACATGCCCTTCCGAGACCCGCGCACTCGCCGCCAACCCAACCACCTACTCTATCCTCTTCTTTCCCTCCTCCAACCCCAGCAGTCGCGCATCGCTCTTTCCCCGCTCGTGCTTCGTGCCCACAAGACCGCCGACCACAGGATTGTGTGACACGCGCGAGAGCGTATCCTGCACCGACTCGATGGCGTACGGGAGGCGGTTCAGCTTCGGCCAGTTGACCTGCGCGTGTGTTAGCATCATCCTGTTTTAGCTCAAGAGCTCAAGGGACAATGTGAGTGTGGATTCGGCTTACATAAAGCGTGCCATTGCTCCAAATGAAGTTGCCCGAGACAGCCGCCATCGCCACGCAAAGAACGATGATGAAGCGCAGCGGCCACACCGCAGCTTCAGGCGCCCTGCGCGTAAACATGCCTACGAAGATGAGGAAGATGCTCGCGGCGAGCATGTACGGGATGGCCTGGATGAATAGCGGACGGCGGTCCGCGAAGAGGAGCTGACCGCCGATGCCCGAGTCAGACGGTAGGTATGTGCCGAGGAAGAGGTCGAAGGCGTCCTGACGGGGCCCGTCTGCAAAATTGTTCAGGACGTAGCGCGTGATGGAGTTATTGAGATCCTGGAGGGCGCCCTGCTTGGTGCGAATGCCGAGGCGCGTGAAGTCGGTCTTGAGTGCGCCTGTGCCGGAGTAGGACCTGGAGACGATGTCGGCGTTGTCAGCCCAAACGTTGCGGAAGAGGAACTCAAAGGCCTGGTCGTCTTCGGCGTTCTCGCCTTCGCGGATGATGCCTAGGTCGATGAGCATGCGAGAGAGGATGAAGCGGCCGATCATGCTTTGGACGACGTTTGTGCGATCCAGGCAGTCCATGCAGTTCGTGCGGACAACGGCCGTCTGATGTCCTCGAACCTCAACCCGTCCAGAGTCGCCCGGCATGTCTACGCCACGGAAGTAGCCGTGTTTGATGACGTACGGTGCAAGCTGGTCCATGAGTAGCTTAGCGCGATGCCATTGCAAGCCCTTAGTCTCGTTGTGGAAATCGAAGTAGACGTAGTGGATGCGATCAAACGTCGTTTTAGCCTGTTGTGGTTCTATGACATGGAACTTCTCGGATGTAATTTGGTCCCCTTCGGTGTTCTCTGCGGGTGAGTTCACAAGGTAGTCGACCATCTGCTCGTATGCCTCCTTGACGTTCTTTTCACGGCCCTTTTGGTTGACCAAATTGACCAGCCAATTGTCTCCATACAGACGAATCTGTTCTGCGAAATGCTTCTTGGCTGCGGGGACAGCGCTCTCAACTCCCCGCACTTGAAGCTTTGGCGTGTACTTCAAGGTATTAATCTCCGCCCAATAAACGGGCACGCTTCCGCGCGTCTGAACATAGGCCAGGACCTGGATTTCCTTGCCCGCGTTACCGCCAGCAGCACCGTTCTGATTGGATCCGTAGCCACCTAGTCCTCCGGAGGCGTGGTCATTAAGGATGATGGTCTGTTCTGTCTCGTTGAAGTTGGACACGTTGCCGTTCTCGTCGATGCCCCGGGAAAAGTAACGCGTGCCCGCTCGTACCCGCGACCGACGGGTGATGAGGATGAAGGTCAAGGGAGTCCCCTTGATAGAGGTGTTCTTAATCTCCATCATGCCATACATGACTGGCAGAATGAAGGGGTCCACCTCGGGCTGCTGGCCGCTAGGATGTCTGTGGCCATAGCCAGTGTTCAGCCCGCCGCGGAAGTCTATCAGATCGCTCTGCACGAAGCGGTTCCAGAAGAAGCGGTCGTCGGCGCGCTTCCATAATGGCACCGAGGGATCGGTGTGGGCCTGTCGCTGGAAGCTGTTGGTGATGTCGAACGAGTAGGAGAAGTAGAGCGGGGAGCTCTTGAGCAGCGTCTTGAGTAAGCTGAGGTACGTGTCCTCATCAGGATCGTGCAGCGGTCGCTCGCGCAACGGCAGGAACTCTGTGGAGATGACCTTGTAGATCATGTGACCCTTTATCCTGCCCACGGGCTGGGCCTTGGTGATCACGATTATGTACTTGTCTTCACATACTCATCAGCCGGGCTCTTGCTTGCACGGTGGAGAGGCTAACCTAGCCGCAGCTTAATCATTCCCAGAATGCCAGCGATGCTGGACACGCGCTTCGAGCCCAGAAGCTTTCCATCGTGCAAGCGGAGGTCGCCGCTGGGGCGGTCGACCACCAATGTCGGCGCAGAGGGGGACGACGGCGACGAGAAGGCGTAGTGCGAGGGCGACGAGTGCACGTTGATGTCGCGGAACGGCAGGCCGGCAGCCATGCTGGGCGGTAGCGACAGTGCGGCAGGTGGAGCGCGTGTTGGCGGGCTGTGCGTACAACGCGAACGGAATGCAGACGATTTGAAGTCAGGCGCAGTGTGTTTTGGAGAATGAAAGTGATCCCAGGCAGGGTCCAGATGTCGCCAAACGCACCTGCCCGCAGCACGTATGCCAAGGCCTGTGGAGGCGCTAAGGTCCCTCAATGCTCGCCCAGTCCGCGTCACGCAGCTACCTTTCGCTCCTCCCGCCAACAACCTACGCCATCTGCCTTCCCGTCCGCTCGATATACCCCAGACCCTCCTCCGCGCCCGCACCCCCTTCTCCTGTACCTGCCGCAGCCCCGATCGCCCGCCGCTCCTTCTCCAGCATGTCGGCACGACCGCAACAGGGCGGCCGCCCCGGCGGCTCCAGGTTCGCGCAGTTCAAGCTGGTGCTGCTCGGTATGTTGCGCCGGTCCTTTGTGCATGCCGTGTGGAGTGCTGACTCGTGCAGGTGAATCCGCCGTCGGAAAGGTGCGCATGTGCTTTCAAGGCAGCAGCAACGGGAGCTAACAGCATGTAGTCTTCGCTGGTACTGCGTTTCGTCAAGGTATGCGAGCGAGCGGCATGTGCTGGATCCACAGCGGCTGACATGCGTAGGACCAATTCGACGACTACCGGGAGTCCACCATCGGCGCCGCATTCCTCACCCAGACCATCGCCCTCGACGAGTCCACCACAGTCAAGTTCGAGATCTGGGACACCGCCGGCCAGGAGCGCTACAAGTCACTCGCGCCCATGTACTACAGGAACGCCAACTGCGCCGTGGTAGTATACGACATCACACAGGCTGTAGGTGCTGCCAGCCACCGCGAGGCTCGCACCCCGCTAACACCCACAGTCGTCGCTAGATAAGGCGAAAGCCTGGGTAAAGGAGCTGCAGCGCCAAGCGAACGAGAACATAATCATCGCCCTTGCCGGCAACAAGCTCGATCTTGTCACCGAGTCGCCCGATAAGCGCGCCATCCCCGCCGCCGACGCTGAGCAGTACGCCCGCGAAGCCGGCCTCCTTTTCTTCGAGACCTCCGCAAAGACCAGCGAGAACGTGCGGGAACTCTTCACCGCCATCGCTAAGAAGCTCCCTCTGGACCAGGGCGGTCCGCGAAACCTCCGCCCTGGCCAGGGCAGACAGAGCGTAAACCTCGGACGGGACGCGGCCCAAACCCAGGGCCCCGCAGGCTGCAACTGCTAGAGAGGAAATTGCATTATTCGGTTGTTATTCGTGCGTCTACACGAGGGGAATATCACGAGCTTCTTGACGCGTCTGTGCGCTGCAGCTTGGCTGTCCGCTCCATCCCATCGGATATCTTGGGTCGGTTCTTGGAGTCTACGGGTCTGTTCACTTTGCGACCAAGAGGTGAGCGTCGAGGCCACTCGACCATTAAATTTTAATCGGTTTTGTCCAAGCTAGCTTTTTCTTGTTCATTGTTAGGTAGGGTTGTCATTTGCAAGTTATATCCATCGTACATGTCGAATGTCTGAGTCGCACTTCTCGTTTTACCGCTGCAATGTCCCGGTCTCCATTGTTCGGTTTCGCTGGCAATAGCCAATCTCAAGTCGATGAACCCATTCTGAATATACACAAAGGCCTCATCCCGACACTGAGCTCACAGTAAAAACCCAATCCTCAGCCCTCATATACCGCCGCCCCGCCTCCGTCTCCGTCATATTAACTCCCTCCATCCAATGCGTCGCCTGCCTCGCTGTTCCCATGTTTGTGGAGTTTCTGTATACCAACCGTCAGCACGCATCCCTCCCATTCCCACCTTCGTCCAGAAACCAATACCAATCTCCCCACGCGATGGGGCACACAGAGGGGGGGACGCAGTGTCCAAGATCACTCCTAGGATGAAACGGTACAAAGACTCACGAACTCATGCGCCTCCTCAGCACCACCTCCCCCAGGTCCTCGCTGACCTTGAACAGCACGTCGCGATTCGGTCCGCAGGCTTGCGTGGTCGCCGTGGTATTGGATGTGCAGGTCAAGTTTGTGGGAGAGGCGGGCGAGGGGTCGGTGAACGAGAAGAGCAGGGAGGTTGAGTTCTGGGCGGGGGAGAGGGTGAGGGAGAAGTTGGAAATGAGCCACGTCGTTGAACTCTTCGGAATTGCAGGGAGAGCGTCGGCGAGGAAGGAAAGGCAGACAAGGCAGACGAAAACGGCAAGGGGAGCCATCTCGGTGGGGTAACAAAGGGGGCTCAAAAGGGTCGTGGAGGATGGGAAGGTGGAGGGGCAGAATGAGGTGTTTGCGGATAGAACTTATAGGTGACGTGGGGCTCGTTGGACGATGTGGTGTGCTGGGTCTTGGGCTGGGTGCGCTGTGCTGGCTGAGACGTCCTTTAGGGGGCCGAGACAAGGTTGTGGGTGGCGACGGTGGAGCTATCAGCAATCAGAGTGAACGAGCGGTGGGCTCGAGATAGCGCGGAGTGGAAGTCTTGTGGAGCTTGAACCACGCTTTGGGTTATCCTCGGGAAACCAACAGTAGGGCTCCTGTCTCGGTTCTACTTCACGTGCTGTTTAGGCTCCGTTAAGAAATCGCAGGAGTCTGACAGGAGGTAGTGTTGGGTACTTGCGTCCGCGCCAACGAACACTGCGCTAAAGAACGGGACGCAGGTTTCTCGAATCCGTCTGGGGAAGGCAGGTATAAGAGAAATACAATCGTGCACAAGGTCATTGCGTTGTCTTGTTTTCGGCTCGCGCGCATTCGGGTAAACGTTTGCTGCCAATATTTTTGTGGAATAGAGTGCAACGTTGCATGCAGGCTGTAAGTGGAGCGCAATTCTTTGATACCTTGACACACGAACAAGACTTGTGGCCCGTTCATATCCCCGAGATGGTGTTAGCAATCGCAGTGTTTGACGCAACGTGGGTGTGCATGTGTCTGGCAGAGAAAGACTGGTGGTACTTGTGTCACTATTGCTGCTGAGACTTCTATCCCTCTCCATTGCCACGTAAAGCGTGTGCGCTTGGTAGAAGAAAAAAGGGTCTGTAGAAAGGGAGCGTTCGGTTGCTGCAGACCACTAGCTAGGATATGCACATTGTCGTTTTTTCCTCTGATGGCTGCCTATCGCTCCCTGCTTATGCAGGCGAGTACTCTCGACACACCCAATTCGAGACTACTCTGGATATCTCACGATGTCTTACCCCAGCCCGTACCATTTCCTTCGTTCTCGTGCAGAGGTTTCTCTTCCTTAGATGCTTCGTCGTTACCCCTGCTGAGTTCTCTTTGGCTCAGTAGTCTATACCACCGTCTCCTCCGGCCAAATCTGGTTGTAATTAGCTGCGAGCCAGGCATATTGACAACCAGCTCACCTTTTCCACACAATATTTCCAAGAACCACCAGCAAGAGCAAGAGTATTGAGGAAGATCCAACACGGTCGACGAACTTTTCATGGGCCTCTGGGTCGTGGGGCTGTTCGAACGCACTGGGAAACTCTCGCTGCACTGCATCCCCCTTACCGCACACGATCTGTTTCTTTGACAGCGCATTGCCGCTACCCAAGATTGTCTGTATGCCGCTTCTGGCTGAGGCTTCGTGGTCAAGAGCTTGCAGTGGAATATCCAGTTGTTGTGCGAGGTTTTGTGCCGATTCTACGGTGAGGATTGGCGATGATGGACACTGGGATACTTCGGGATAGACGCGAAGGTCTAGGCAGTAGCATTCAACATCGTCCTGGATATTGCTCAGCCTGTCTAAGCGTGGCATGCTTGGTATTAATGTCGACGCAAGTGACAGGGAGCGGTGCTAAAGTGATGGGACCGCAGAACCTTTTGGGGATCCCGGAGTCGTGAAAAAGCAAGCGGGAGACGCCCGTGGGTGTCTGGGGAGCGGAAAATGATAGAGCATCCGAAAGTTTGGGCTTCCACTACATGTATGTCAACGACACGTTGGAATGCACGTATTCCTGCCCTTCCATCTTGGCGGAATGTCCCTTATGATGCGCATTGTCTCGAGCGCAAAAGTGCAAAAGGTGGTAGCAGTATCCGAACAGGACGGCAACAGGCCCTGACTACTGCAACGACGCCATAGGAGACTTGAGTGAAGAGATATATGGACAATATGTGTATTCGCCCAAGATTTTTCAGCTGGCCGCCTGCAAGCCATACATTCGAGATCAACGCCCTGACCCGATGCAGCTGTTTATAATATATTACGATCGGATGATAACTCAATTACGATAGAGGGCCCTCGAAGAGACGCAAATCGAGGGAGCATCGCACAAGAAATGCTCACGCTGCTACCGATATAGGAAGATCAGAAGCACTCCGTCCAGCGATGCGGGCGCTTCGCCTTATAGACGATGGGAAGGTAGCGTAAATCTATTTGAGTTGATGGGTGGACGCGTGAGTGAAAGACGTTCCGCAAATTCCCGGCTTGCATAGACTCCCTACACTACCGTATAGACGTACCTGGGTTTCGCTTGCGATGTCCAAGTGTCAACGATGCCGCAGGTGAATTCGTCGCGTCGTCACAAATTGATTGCGCTGCTTATGCTCATGGGAATATAGGATGTATGATGTTAGACCGCAACGTGTAGATGCCTAGGTATGGTCGTCTGGAGCTCTAAACCCTGGAGTAAAGGCGTGCACGCTTGCTATGATTGTGCGAATCAAGCTCAGCCGCAGCCTACCCATCGCGAAGTTCATGACAGTGACTTGTTTACGACACGGACGAAAGATGGCGGTCATGATGTTGGCGATGGCATAAGCGGATGTCGTGACTCGTGCTGCGTGAGATCTCGTCTTGCCTAGCGCGACAAGCACCGCTAAGCCTCCGCTAGCACCGTATAAGGAAAGTTTTAACACTGTTTCATACCTTAGATGCTACACTTTTCGCACACGTTGGATCGTTAGGTGTTTCTCGAGGCGTGCTATGGCCCAGATGGACGGCAATCCCAACGTCGTGTCATCATATATTCGAGTGTCAGCTTGTTGGAGCCCAGGTGCCCCGACACCATGCCCCGCTTCATGCTACCCACGCTCACAGCGGGATCTCCCTTCCCGTAGAGAAGAGCACATAGTTTTGGGGACATTCCTGTTTCAAAAGGTGCTTGAGGATGTTTTGACCACCAACCCAAACTTACGGGCGAGCACTCCCTTAGACTCATAAAGAACAGCTGCATTGTCTCTTTCTTGCGGCAGTGCAGGTTGATCCTCGCTCTTCATTCGAACACTATTTTCTATTCACGTTCATCAATTTGTAGAATCATTTCAACTTTTTCTTTGTTCGCGCGCTCGCAAAATCAACACTCCAACTCCTGTCGACATGCAGTTCTATCGGACTCTGGCACTTGCAGCCCTGGCTGGCCTGGTATCAGCTTCACCTATAGCAATTGAGGGTGATTGTATGTTTTTCTCAGATTTGGAGAGCGCTAGATTGAAGCTGATCCAACTTAGCCATCGCCGTTCGGTCTGGCCCTTCTCTCGACATCAAGGCACCTATAGTTGACAAGCGTGGCGCCCAGGGCAGTGGCCTTGTTGAAGATGATGATTTCGAGATCCCAGACGAACCAGATACCAAGAGGGCCATATCTGTTGATGACGAAGACAACTTTGATATCCCCGACGAACCTGATACTAAGAGGGCAGTCTTGATAGATAGCGAAGATGATTTCGTAATTCCAGACGAGCCGGATACCAAGAGGGCTATAACTGTTGATGATGACGACTTCGATATCCCGGACGAGCCTGATACCAAGAGGGCCGTGGCTGAGGACGAGGACGATTTCGAGATCCCAGACGAGCCCGACAACTAGAGAGTTGTGAGGAGCAAGCTCTTCTAAATCAAGGCCCTCAGCAAGTGTTATCACTGCTGTAATGTAAATACAACATGAGCTCTAAGACTGTACGTAATGCAAGACCGGGTTTTTGAGAACTTTATGGCGTGTGAAACCTTTCCATCATATTCCATGGGCCAGAGAAGCCCAGGCGAGTCGGATGCATGTCTCAATCAGGACTAGCGCCTTCACTCTCACTCTATATAGCGGCTAAAATATGCAAAACCTTCGGATCACGCTAGAGCAGAACTATTGACTACACTTCTCTGTTTCCGAGGAACTGGTCAAAACATACACGTTCACCGAGTGAAGTCTTTATTATTTCGATACATCGGTTTAATACTCAGGATACTCGGTACCCACTCAGATCTTTACATACATGAACTTTGTTTCAGAAGCAAACTCAAGGTCAGTGCCTACTTTCTCCTTACCTGAGTGTACTAAGATGTTAAATTTCGGGAACCATATGTGAATAGCTTTTCCACACGACCAGATATATATATAACTCATATGATTAAATTAGTGCCATGCATCAAATCCGGAACGACCAGATGGAGGGGCAGTGTTGCAACGCAGGGCTGACGTGAAGTTCGTAAGTGACCCGCCAGGATGGTAAATATTGGCGTCACAATATGCCTAGCATCGTATCGATATTTGCCGCTGCAGTGAGCCTTACACATAACAAGATCTGGTAAATGCGCCCTCATCTAGATCTCCGTGTATATCCCGAGCTAAAATATGCCGGGTAACTGGACTTCTATAAGACTGGGGACGGCTCGTGTAGCAGCAACAGCAACAGATCAACCAAGGGGGCTATTCCCAGTCAATAACACCATGTACTTCAAGTCGCTGGCCGCTTTCTTGCCCGCCGTTGCGGTTGCACTCCCAACGACAACCCCAATAGTCCACCGTGTCGCTAAAGCAATCGTTGCACGCGCACCACCGGAGGCAAATGTGGTTCTGAAATCCGTCACCGCGAGTGGAACAGGTTGTTCGGGGAATTCAGCGTCTTTCGTTCTCGGTATTGGCGACGGAGCTACAGTGGGATTCGACAATATGATCGTGGATAGCACCCAAATCGACAAGACAAAACGTTGCGTGATTACGCTCGATCTACAGCTGGACTCGAAGTGGAAGTACACCATAAACAAAGCAACGAATGTTCGGGGCTACGTGGAGAACGATGGTGGAACTTACAAGGTGGCGTATACTGTGGGCGGTAAGACGGTAAGACGGCCCTATTTCTTCCAAGCCACGTGACATCAACAAACAAGGTATACTGCTCACACGCAAAACACTAGTCCGATGTGAGCAATAGCATTCCGTCGAACCCATCCGGAGGCAACTGGGTCGACACATCTACATCTCCAGGCATAACGTCAGCCTACGGAGGTGGGGTAGCCAACATCGACATTTTGTTGAGGCTTTTACCTGCTGGAACACAAGTTGCAACCGCCACGATCGATTCATTGGACATACAGTTCGAGTACTCGAAGTAGATGAATTAGGGTACTTGCATGAACGCATAAGTTGACCTAGGTTGCTGGATTCCTCTCCAACGAGAGAGTAGGACTGCACATCCCATTTTTACCTGACTATTTAAGGGGGCATTGTCTTGCTTGTAGAGTAACGAGGCCTAAATCAAGTCATAGGGACTCTTATGTAGTTACTTACTCATCGTGCGTATCTTTCGGAATTTCCAATTGAATTTTTGATATAATTCGCATTGCACCCTGTTTAAACCTAGTTATAATATTGTGCCATGCAAAAGTTCTTGTACCACCTTTCCATGGGTCAGAGGCAATTTCCTTCACGAGATTCTTCAGTGGCATTTGGAGGAAGACGTATGTATGTAGTTGTAATGATCTTGATACTGAAGAATTCGGATTGATGGATTATTCATAGAGAACTATATAGTCTCTCTCCGCTTGAATTGGAGATAAGGTCCATCGGTTGAAGCACCGAAGGTGTCGTACAATTGAAACTCCTTTTCCCTTTGCCTCCCAGGTCCAAGACGCGAACTGCCAGCGCCAATGCTAGCCAGCTTTGCATCATCTGCAATCCTGAAATCGCCGTGCCAAAGGATAGTTACCATTGTAATCAAGACTTCATTTGTGGCTAATGTCATGCCCACACAGTTCCGGTCACCGACAGAGAATGGTGCCCATGCCGCTTTCGTGGCTGCAACCTTCTCGTTATCTTGCAGCCATCTTGAGGGGTCAAACCTGAAAGAATCAGGGTGATGCGCTTCGTTGTGATGCAAAGCATAGATTGAGGTGGCGACTTCGTAGCCTTCCGGGACATAGATCCCGCAGACGGATGCACCCCCCGGGCCAGCTTCACGGTAGAGTGGCGCAGTAGGAGCTGGGGAGACCCGCATAGCCTCTTGCAAACAGGCCTTGAGATAGGTGCATCTGCTCAATCTGCTGTTCATCCCAATATCTTGAGGCTTTTTGAAGATGCTACGCACTTCTTGGACCGCTTTCTGATACTCGTCCGGATACCGGGACAAATACCAGAGAAGGCTCGTCATACCAGTGGTGATAGTACCGCTTCCGGCAATGAGTAGAGTAGTCATCTCGGCCGTTAGCTCACCATCGCTAAGACCTTCACCCGAATCAGGGTCTCTGTATTGAGCGATTGCCGTGATCATGTCGCTTTCACCAGTTGCCTTTTCTGACCTAAGCTCCGTCAAGCGTGAAGCAATCCAAGAGCCCAAGAGCATATGCCACTCCTTTCCCAGCTTCGCGATCTTGGGGAAAAGAACTTCACCTACTTTGATCGGGTTTACCATGCCGCTGCAAAATGCCTCAGGCCATTGGATAGCAAGCCCCATGCGAACGAAATTGGCCTTGCGTGCCGGATTGTAGACCCGATTATCAGGACTTGTCAACATTGCCGTAGATCTTCCAACCGTAAGGTCCGCAATGAGATCGATGGCAAAGAAGGCGCTCCATTGCGTCGTCTCTCGTGCTTCACCCCAATCCTTGCCATTTGATGGTTCAAACAGGACATCACAGTAATTCCCAACATGTCTCAGAATTTTCGATTCCGACGCTCTCATTGCTTGCTCAGAAAAGCCTTGGGAGATGATTTTCCTCCGCCTGGAGTGAAGTTCGTTGCTTGCAGCGTTGAACACGCTAGGAAGCGGTTGTACCTGGATCAAATCTCAGTAAAGCTCTCTGGTCCTGGAGAAAATAAAGTACCCTCATGGCATCATATGCTCTGCCCTTGAAAAGGTTTTCATGGCGGCCATATATCTCTGAAGCTAGTTGTGAGAACAAATACGAAACCTTGCCCAATCGATCGGTTCTTACCTTCCATCGATTTTCGACTGTTGAAAAGAATCCTGTCCGGTCCATACCGGACCACAGGCCCTGGAAATAGATAAGCAATTGTGATGCCACGGCTTTGACACGGAACCTCGTACCATATTGCTCGTGAAGACGTTGTATCATAACATGCGTGTCCCCCTTCGCAGCATGATAAGCGCTGTACGCGTTCGTAAGCTTCGCTAAGATTGGGCCAGGAACGTGTGCGAAAGCATGGAAGTAAACTCGTCCAATACAGACGAACAAAGTATACGCTATAGTTGCGAACACCGCATAAGTGAGAAAAAGGAGCGTGGAACCCATGGCTTTGTTGGAAGTGGTGCTCATTCGCGGCGGAGCGATGGAGCAGAAATATGAACTCGCCAGGTGCAACAGAGCGGCTATCGATAACAAAGGACATTCGATGAACCCTGCATGAGGAGCTGAGCGCGCCCAAGTGATCATTTACTGAATGGAACTAGGCTGGAGCTAGTGTTAGCTGCTGTGTAAGCTGACCCATGATCGTGGGGTCTTCGTGTTCACTGCGGGGACGCGGCACCTGCCAGCTAGGTATAGTTCACAGCTCGTGCATGAGTAGCGCCTTGTACAAAGGGAAGGCTGATTCTACTTGAAAGTCCAATTACAAATGCAACGATCAGATACACCGAGATATGACATTATCATCACTCATCATGATTATGCATGAGCAGGTCTTCACTGTTCTCGCCTTGTCGATTATTACAGTGGTAAGACTATATTGCGAGACAACAGTATGCGAGACTATACTCACTTATTGCAGGTTACGTGCACTGTCGCGCACAAGCTTATTCTACATCCACTAGCTAAACATCCAGGACCACTGTTTTCACGCATCTCTGGATGGCCAAATTGGTACCATGCTGCAAAAGGCGATCGCCATATATGGCTTTTACGACTTCATTCGAAATATGGATCAGCTGTGCGTTTCAGTCCAGATTCAATGTCTTTCAACACCCTGGCGGCCGTGGAAAACATCTATACATCGAGAGAGGCCAACGTCCGTAAAGGCGACTGGTATCAGTGCGTCAAAGACTCTGCAGGAGGTTTTGAGAGCACTTTTACTGCCCGCGACAAGGTCCGACATGCGCTGAAACGACGGATATTGGCTCATGCCTTTTCCGAGAGAGCACTTCGCGATTACGAGTGCAGGATCAAACGCTTGACCAAGGAGTGGCTGGACTATCTCGTGACGGAAGGTAAGGGCAGCCGTACCGTTGATTTTGCAGCTTGGGCCAACTATATTATCTTTGACATCCTTGGTGATCTTTGCTATGGGAAAGACTTTGGACTAAGATATTCGGAGAGGGACCGGTACGTGACTGAACTACTTCCGCGTACGACCCGGATCTGGTACATGCTCGGCTATCACCCGTGGACCCACTTACTCCGGTACCTGCTCTTCAAAAATAGCCTAACAAATAAGTTAGGTCGGCTTTTTGTGCGGGAGAATTCAAACTTCCGAGAGTTCTGCGTTGCAGCTTTGATGTGGCGAATGAAGATGGGTAAAGCCTCGGACAAGGACGCGCCCGTCTCGCAAGACATGTTTCAATACCTTCTCAAGGCTCGAGATCAAGAAACTGGAGAGGGTTTCTCAATGGGAGATCTTGGTGCAGAGAGCGTGTTACTCATGATAGCTGGAACCCACACTACTTCCATCGCAATTGCAGCAATTATCTTCTACCTGACGACGCATGAAGATAAATTGGAGAAAGTCGCCGGGGAGATACAGAAAGAATTCCTCTCCATCGAGGACATGTCTTATCGACGACTGGCAGCACTTCCATACCTCCGGGCATGCATCAATGAGGCATTACGCTTATGCCCACCTACTGCAGGCCACCTCCAACGGGAGGCGCTAAGTGGCGGTACCGTGATTGATGGAGTCCGGTATCCAGAAGGCACCAATCTGGGAGTCTCGGCTTATGCTCTACAGCGTAATCCCCACATCTGGTTGAATCCCAATCAGTTTGAACCCGAAAGATGGCTTCAGGATGACGGCACCTTCAATCAAAGAAGCCAGCCGAGGCTCATCGCTTTTAGCTCTGGGCCTCTCGGGTGTCCCGGAAAACAGCTTGCATACATGGAAATGTCGTTTGTTGTTGCTATGCTGATCTATCATCTTGATATCACCTTGAACAGATCGGAGGGGTGCAATGTGGACTACGTTATTCGAGATTGTTATGTGGGCCAAAGTCGGGGTCCTCGGTTACACATCCGTACTCGCGAGTAGTTAGATGTGGCATGGGATTAGTGTAGCGTTTCGGCTATAACAAGGGGTAGATAGCAACGCTTGTTGAGCAACCTTTCCGAGCGGAGGCTTCTTCACTCAATCATTGACCGCCATGGCGCATCACCCCACAGCGAAACCGCAGCTTGCTTGTGAATACACCGCCACTTCAACCACTATTACGAAACTGAGCTGTCACTTCAACGACACCTATGACACGATCATCCAAAAATTTCGTCTTCAAGTCCCACTGCTTGACATCTCTCGTATGCGTGCCGCAACCAAGGACAAAGAAATATCGCAAGCGGTGGAAGCTTCTGGATCTCCGTCGGGATTTGTCCTTTTCGCGGAGTATAATCACGCAGGCTGGATGCGACACTTCACGATTCATGGGAAACCTCTGCAGCGTGCTCATCGGTTCACATTCGGTAACCCGTTGTTTGCCTTGCCGGTCCTACAGCACAGTATCCAAGCGGCGTTGCACATCCCGCTTGACTGCTGCTTTATTGAAGAGCTGGATCGGAAGAGAACAAAGATGATCGTCACACTTCCGACTACATTCCTTGGTAGTACTGAGGTGGATGTGGATGCTGCAAGGCATGCTTTGGCGGAAATCGAAGGGAAGCTGCTTACATTGGTTCAACAACTCACGCCGCAGACGTAGCTAACGGCATTCGCGGCATCTGCTCCACTAGCTCTGGGTGCCTACGTGTCGTATCAAAAATTACAATCCGATTATCTTGATTTGGTGGCGTTGCGCGTATCCATTGCGTTTTATTGCCCCATCCATCCTGCACGAATCCTTTGTCGTCGGAACTTGGGCGCTCTTCGCTTAATCCGCGAGCGTGCATCTGATCCTTCACTGCCGGCAACTCCGCCGTATATGTGAGTGGCTGAGTCAACACAAAGAACATTTTTCAAGTATCCTGGTAGTGTTGAAGAGAGGAGTGTCGATTAAGACTCGGTCAGCACAGCTACCCAATAAGACAGCTAAGCTAAGTCGCCGAACAAGACCTTGCGATCAAGCCTGAGCTAGCGGATCTGTACATACCCTGTCGCCTGCAGTAGACAATTAATCGGTGTGTCAGATGCGTTGGAGGCCTGAAAGTGGTTCTGCAGTGATTCATGTGGTATTGCATGTGGTGCAACATGAACACCGGGACCAATGGCATTCGGGCTCAACTAAGCAAGCGGCTTCCGTCAAAGGCACATTCCTATTAAATATTAACTTGGATGTGAATCTCTATCACCAATGCTCCACCATAAAAACAAGCTTGTCTAAACCATTGAGATGAACATTATCAGTCGCGAATCACATCGACTACGTGGGGACATGGAAACCGAACGAACCGGATTCAATACCCACAAAGAGCCGCACCCATCTGAGTTGCTCGACGCTGGAGTAGGTATCGCAAAAGTGCTGACACGTCCAACAACTGACTCAAATGGGTAGACCCTCAACAGCAATGAGCTAAGCATCAGACAACTACGTACCGCTATTCCGAGCTATTGCTTTGAGCCTTCGCTCTTCTGGTCCTTCTTTTATCTCATCCGAGATATTTCGTATTCCGCTATCCTGCTCAGCACACTTTGGTACTGCCTCACCTTGCCACAGGTCGAGCAGTCCAGTCTCCTCTACTATACACTTGTCTGCAGCTACGGTGTATGCCAGGGAATTGTCTGGACGGGCTTGTGGGTGATCGCTCACGATGCTGGCCACAGCGGGTTCTCAAAGATTCCGCTTCTTAACGATACCGTCGGGTTCGTTCTACACTCGTTCCTGCTCGCGCCATATTTCAGCTGGAAGTCAAGTCACCGCCGCCACCACATTTATGCCAATCACATTGAGAGAGATTTGAATTACGTCCCCCCTCAGCGTAGCGAATACGCTCGCCAGATCGGTGCTGCCCTGGACAAGATTGATGAGGTAGGAGAGGATGCGCCAGTCGTTTTAACCCTGCGGATCATACTCCAACAGTTGATTGGATGGAACTGGTACATCCTATCCAACATCACCACCCCTGACACGGCTGTCGTCAAGAAAGGCCTGTCAGTCTGGCGATACTCCCACTTCGACCCGTGGGGAGGTATGTTTCGGGACAGTGAGGTCACAGCTATCATTCTTAGTGACATTGGCTGTCTCTCGACCATCTCCGGACTCTACGTTCTCTATCGATACCTAGGGAGTTTCGAGTTGCTGTTCTGGGTCTACGTTGTGCCATGGTGTGTAGTCAATCATTTCATCGTCATGATCACTTTCTTGCATCATACACATCCGGATGTTCCGAAGTACACCGCAGACAGCTGGACGTTCCTTCGAGGCGCGACCGCTACCATCGACCGCGACTTTGGTATCATCGGCACCCATTTTTTCCACCACATCTCCAGCGACCATGTAACCCACCACCTCTTCTCTTCTATTCCGCACTACTACAGTCGCACTGCGAGCAAGGCGATTATACCGCTGCTAGGCGCTCACTATCATGGCCGAGGGACGTTCACGTACAACGACCTGAAGACATCGTTCCGGGACTGTCAATGGGTAGAAGAAGATGCGGCCAGAGATAGACATTTTGGTATCGGAGATGGCAATGGCAGAGAAAAGCGAGCTTTATGGTACAGGAAAGGGATCAGTCCCGCTCCTGAGTACCATCAACGGAAAGCGCCATTCCTGGCCGCCACGTCGAAGCTTCGGGAGGGGAAGAGTAAACAGCTGAGTTGTTCCTGAGGTTGAAGGTTGATGGTTGTAACATTGGCGCTATGAAGGGGGCGGAAAATCGGGCACAAACTGGATGTGTCTTAGGGAAGCATCGGCGCTGACACATACACCCTCTTGTCTAAATTCGCATTGAACTTGTTCCTGCGTTGCAATCCGGCTTGTGTGTCAAGGAAAAATCTCACTCTTTTGAACGCTCCAATTGTCGAGTACAAAGTGCAAAATATCAAATGAGAGTATGTGTGGTACTAAGTCGTTCTCGCCCATAACCTTGTCCCATAATCTTGTCATATTCAGTCGTTAGACTCCAATTACACCATGCGTGCCGGAATCGAGTGGTTCTTGCCAATACATTTTGATCTAATATTCCAGAAATGCATTCCCCGGTGCTCCAGGGACGTCTGTATCGACGGCAGGGCACGCTAGTCGTCACTCCCTCCATGACAGCCTGAGTAGCTAAGAACCCCTCTTTTTTATGGTCAAGACTTGTTCGTACTGTCTTACCAGGCGAAGCCAGCGCTGTCATATCTTTCGAAGAATCGGCCTCTGATCGAATCGTTCTCAATTCGACCGCTCCATGTAGTTTTGGGATTTCAGCTAGTCGCTGTGCCCAAATAATGAAAGTATACTCCCTGCAATTGGCCATTGTTGTGGTAAGCTCTTCATCAAATACATGGCGGAATCATATCTCCTAACTCCAGCGAGAGCCACCAGCGGATTTGCAAACGGTGCTTCCACATTTAGCTGTATCGTTGTCGTAAACAGCGCTGTAACACCAAACATTCAGACAGATGGTAGTTGTCCTCGGTGATAGAAAGACTCAAAGTTTATCTGGATTACTCCTGCAGCGGCAGAGGATATGTCTGCATCGTGAGAGGTCGGAACTCCAGAAGGTGATGCAGGATTAGAAACGAGTGGCCTCGGGCGATGTAACAGTAGCAGAGCAGTGTTGTACACAGGATGCAGTGTAGCGGGCCACAATTCCAAGTTCAACGTTGGACGAAGGTGAAGATGCTGCTGTAGCATCAGAGACGAAGTCGCCAACTTTCTGTCTGCTTCGGCGGAAACCTCATGTCTTTTGTGTTTCCTGGACACAGGACCAAAACTCCTGCGATAGATGCTCTTGACTATGATGCAGCGCTCTGTCATGGCGATGGCATAATCGACTTGTGTATTCGGATCGCAATCGCTGTAATCTTCTAGTTTTGGTCGCTATAAGGCACAGTCTTCGAGGCTTCTGGACAATTAGCACTCGATGTGTTGGCCCGGCGTCGAACGTACATTGCAAATGGGCGCCCATGTTGTAATGCGACAGGAAGACCGCATTGAACCAGCAACCACCATGCTCGCCTCCACATCCTTTTGTTGTGGATACCAGTGTACTAGGGTCAGCATCACGATGTGTTCCAAGACCCACGGCAGTAGATGTTCCAATATTAGTAGGAAAACCATGTTAAATTGAGCACGGGTATCGACTGGTACAGCAAAGACCACATCGGGATGTCGTTAGTCGCATACAGATAATTATCGAGCATCAATACTGGAACACGAAGGGATCTATTGATCGAAACTGACTGCGACTACGCGTACTGACTCCTGTCCTTCCAAGACGGCTGCAGAGCCTTGCCATCAATCTTGTCAAAGCCGAACCCGCTCTGGTACTTCCCATACTGTATCAGCTGAAGGGTGCTCAACTTAGCGCCGGCCTCAGTCTGAGCCCACAGAGCCACACTCAGCGTGTTCTTCCCACGCGTGTTGATGATGCCTGGGGGAATAGGAAATCTTGTCTGAGGCCCAATGTGAGGGACGAATTTGCCGTATTGATAACCGTTGATGAAAAGGAGCACTCGCGCAATTGTTCCCGATGGAGCACCGACCTCGATCCCAAGCGGTACGTCGAGGTCCCTATCAATGTCCAGCGTGAATGTAGTAGTGAACCATTTGATACCAACACCCTTTACTCCATCTGTGACGGGGCTGGCCTTGGTCCACTTCGACGTATCGAAGCCGGGTAGGTGCCATCCGAGACGTTCGCCGTAGAGGCCTCCTTCGTTCATAGGTCCTCTTATGGGGTCAATATTCTTCTCCCCGCCGGCATTTCCTTGAATCTTCCACTGGCTGAAGGTTCCTCCCTGGAGCTGGGCACCAAGAAGTCCGCGCGGGTTCTCGACACCTGCAGGTCCGGTGGAAGTCTGATCGTGACCGGTGTAGTCCGTGACTACTGTCAAGACGTTGTTATCGGTCAGATTCACACCCTTGAAGGAGAAGGTACCCGTAGTTGACTGAAGTGAGACATTACCGGGGTGGTAACCGACGAATTGCCCGTTAAGCCAAGCATTCCATCCGGCAGCCACACCCCCCTGAGCAGTGATATTCGCACCTGTGACATTTTTTTCGGAGAAATAGCCACGGTATACCTTTGCACCGGTATAAAATTTATAATCGCTGCTGAAAAGGACCGGGAGCGTCAGAGGCTTTACAGGACTCAATGTCGTGGTCTTATTCGCTACAATCCAATTCTTATCGTTATAAGACGGCGACACCTCAGGAACCGAATCAGCGGCTCTGAAGTCAGTCAGAGCTGGAAGAGAGATCTGCCGGTCTTCGGCGCCGGTAATGCTGGCAGTGAGCGATCCGTAAGCAGTCTTTGTAGTCTTGATCTTATCCCCATTCCAAGATATCGTGTTAGCCTTTTTTCCTGCGTAAACTTCGATTGTTGTAGAGTTTGCATTGTCGCCAACGATATTGACAGTATCGCCATGGAGCCTCGCCGATCGAACGAGGTAAGGACCGAAAACAAAGATTTGCTCATCGGGTTTTACTGTTGGGCTTGATGTGGTGGAAGGGGCAAAGAAGGTCCAGGCCGTGGGGATGTCGACAAAGTAGGCTAACACACCGTTCGAAAAGAGAACAGCGGTCGAACCTTTGGCCTGGGTGTACGTGAAACCATCTCCGGATTCTGTGGCCTTGATACCCGACTCTGCACCGTAGGTCTTGAAAGTGACTTTCTCAGCGTCTTTGAAGGCAAATTGTCCGGTCTGGCCTTCCCGGAGGTAAAATACGACAACCGGCCGATCAAAGGTACCATACGTCAATACTTCTGCAGAAGAATATAATAATGTCACCTTTCCGATCGAATAGTCGGTCACGATCCATCTGCTTTGCCTACCAGCAAGCTGCAAGTCAGGGATGGTGACGTTGCCTCCTGAAGTACTGACCGTGATAGAGAAATCAGTTATCGAGCGCGAGTTCGTGACATTGTGCTGGGCCAGGTAGAACCTTGAACTGGTTTCCTTGTTCTTTAGCACCCAGGTCCACAGATCAGCATTGCCTGTTGCAACGGCACTGCCGTTGGTTTCCATTACGGTGTTCGCCAAACCTTCGCTCACGCGGGTGAACAAAGTCAACAGTTTATATTGCTTGAACTTGTCTTGTATCTCGCGCGTCTCCCTCAATGGCGCAGAATAGTCGTAAGAGGTATAAACCTGAATAAATTGTCAGAAGATGGACCTAGTCGATCGGGGCCATGACATGGTGTAGGAAGCACGTACCACTGGTGCACCGCTGTGGCCCCAGTTAGTGCCACCAAAGGCGACATAAAGATTGAGAAGCGTAGCCCTCTGTGCAACGATGCCCTTGTAGAATACGTCGGCGAACTCGGGACTGTGCTCTGCCTGGCACGTGTCATAGAAGTATCCTCCCCAAGGCTGAAAGTATCCACCTTCGAATTCAGGAAGATACTGAGGTTGAGAAGGCGACACGTCGTGAAACCACTGGTAGTAGGTGTAGGGTAGATTAAATCCTGAGTTAGGGTTGGTGCAGCTCATGCCACCGGGATAACTGTCAAGGCCATAGATGTCGACTGCGCCGCCGACATTGTTGTACTCCGACGACCAGCTCTTGCTCCGGAAGCCCTTCTCGTTGTGTGAAGTCGGCACGATCAAGCCAGCTTCTTTGAAGGCATCCTCAATCTGTATCATGTACTTGACAAGGGTGTTGTTCGGATCATACTTAGTCTCTTGTAGCTCATTCTCAACCTGAGTGAGAATGACCGGGCCGCCATTGGTGATTTGGTTTTTCGCTATGATAGCTCCCACTTCGGCAATCCATTCCGACCAGGCCTGATGGTATGTCTCATCAGACGTCCTGAGACTGCCCATACTTCCATCACTGCCCCATAGGGCCAATCCTCCTCCATTGGTTTCCGCATTGCAGTAGGGGCCGGGGCGCGCAATTACGTAAAGCCCAGCTTCTTTCGCCAGATCGAACAGACGTTGGATGTCCTTGCCCGGGGTGGTGAAATCGTACGTTCCCTTCGATGCGGAGTGATAAGACCAGAAGAAATATATGCTGACAGCGTTCATCCCGTTGGCTTTGAACTTTTGGAAAACATCAAGCCACAGTTCTGGCACGGGCAGGCGCTGATAATGGAACTCCCCGCTCATGACAATGATGCGCTCGCCATCAACGAGAAGACTGCCGCTATCCCAGGTGACATCTTTCTGGAGCCCATTGTCAATTGCGCTGACTGCGGCCAGGACGCTCGAGAGGCTTGCGAGCAGTCGCAAAAACCGCATGATTTCTTGCGGGGAGAGGCGAATTGCGGTAATCAAGCACTAGAAAGCGTACCATTGTGCCTTTCTATATATGATGCTTGTACATCCGAGGAGGCAACTCAGGGCTTCGCGTGCTCGGTGCTATCCCCTAAGGAACTGGTAGACGGCGCAAATCATCTCCATGTTCCTGTTGGCGCAGAGCTATTATTGACGGTCTTTGAATTTACCGGCGGGAGAGCTTCCGGAAGATTGCCCTTACAGCAAGGGTCCGGGCACCTGGGGATGATGGCTGCGGGGATTGCGCATGGCAGGGGCATCATCGCACCGAATTGCCGAGGCAGGGAGCGCGTCATGTTCCCCTGTTGGCAACACACCCGTCTTGAGGAACATACCATCGATGAGGCTCAAAGTCGTAGTCTTCATAGTCGGGGTCATGCGACGCGACAAGATGCGATAGAAGAAGGGAATACCAAGCTTCCGCGATCTTTGGCCAAGGAAGCCGGGTTGCCCAGCCCCCGCCCCCGCAATTTTGCGAGAGCTGGCGACGCGTCCATGAACAACGACCCTTTCTCTGCCAATTGTTACTTCACGTCCCATCACAGCAATCCCATATAGGATCGATATCCTTGTGTGCTCATCCCAATTAGCTCGCACCCGCGGGAAGTGGCCAACATGCCTTCAAACCACCTGAACAGCTCGGAATCCACGCCTTTGCTACACCGCATCGTGCCTGCCCATGTCCACCCTGACGGCGAGAGCGGAAGACGTGGCTTTCATCTGGGCCACTTTCTCAATGTTTCATGGCGGAGTGGTTCTACGATAGCGAAATATGTGAACCTTCTATGGCTGTTCGTGCCCGTGGCAATTACCCTGAAGTTAGCCACGCCGGGGCTTCCTCTCCTCGTCTTTGCGTTCAGCTATATTGCGATGATTCCAGTAGCGAACCTGCTGGGATTTGCGGGCCAAGAGTTTGCGCGAAAGATGCCGAAAGTGTCTGGGATCCTCATCGAGACATCCTTTGGCTCCATCGTCGAGATCATCCTGTTTCTGGTTCTCCTTGTCAAGCACAATTCTGCGGAGGGTTCATCAGAGCATGGCAACCTGATTCCAGTGATCCAAGCAGCAATCCTTGGGTCCATCTTGACCAACCTACTGCTCTGCTTGGGTGCGTGCTTTTACGTGGGTGGCCTGCGGCAAGCAAGCCAGAAATTTCACGCCTCCATTAGCGAAGTCGGAACTGGACTGTTGTGCGTGGCAGGCTTTGGTTTGCTTATCCCGAGCGCATACTACACTGCGCTGAAGGGATCCGCCGTGCCGGTAGCCATTGGCCATCATACGTTCACGGAGGCGGTACTGCAATACAACACCCTCAAGATCAGCCAGGTGACATCGGTCCTACTCATAATCGCCTTTGGGATGCAAGTAAAGCTCATCAAATTTGTCAACGTGAGCTGATAGTACGCAGTTTCATCTTTTACAATGCGCGCTCGCAACACTCCATCTTTGACGAGGTTCTCGAAGCCGATGAGCACCACGACCTAGACCGCTCTGAGGACCTCGCGAAGCCCAAGTTTACCTTCACTGAGTGCATTGTCGCGTTAACACTGTCTCTGGTGCTCGTCACCTTGCTTGCAGTATTCCTCGTTGAGCGGATCGAGGATGTCGTTGAATCAGGTGTGCCAGATCAGTTCCTCGGCCTGATTCTCCTTCCACTCGTCGAGAAAGCGGCCGAACATCTCACGGCGGTTGATGAAGCCTGGGATGGGCAAATGGTAGTCTCCTGCATGTTGTTCCTTGACCACGCTAACAATTTCCAAGAACTTTGCTCTTTTCCATTGCATCGGTCCCTCGATCCAGACCGCACTTTTCAACGCGCCTTTGGTCGTCATCGTCGGCTGGATGCTGGGCAAGGATATGGATCTGAACTTTGAGATCTTCATGATCGTCCTGCTGGTGCTGTCCATTGTCGTGGTGGGCAACTTCCTTCGAGACGGCGAGTCGAACTATCTCGAGGGCGCTCTTCTGATCGTAAGTACGCTTGGGAGATAGTGTTTTGCGCAGCCTAACCTTTCGACAGATCATCTACATCATCATCGCGGTCGCATCGTGGTATTACCCCAACCCAGACGTCGCAACATCGAACGGCCTCGCGAATTCTTCGTAGCGGGGTATTCGGGGACCTTGACTGAGTATCCCTATTACAAGCCCCTACCATGGGTCTGTTTACTATGGTCTCGTTCCCGCTTTGCGTTGTACCATGTCGCTCCTGTCCATGCAACACGTCATGGTCACACATCCGTGCGTATAAGCTACCATGTACCATCCGTCTGGTAATTCCGAATCTGTATCTACTATCAAATATGAGATGGACGTTAGACAGCCTTTGACGGCGCCAAAGGCATTCTTTCAAGTGAGCAATCCCCTGCAAAGATTGTTAGTCGCTATGTGCAGCGATACCACGGCCCAGTCCAAGGACCAGGTCGCGGGACACGGCTGTTTTGGGGACATAGTGCGCAGGTCGCATGGGTGGCATGGGGCCAAGCACGCGACGTCGCACAACCGTTAGCTTACTGTACTCCTCTTGTTCCTAGTCGGTGGGTAGTAAGCTAGGTGAACGAAGTGTACACAGTAAGACGAGCTTGCCAGGGACCACATGCCGTGCGTTCAGATGTGCTCCACTGCAACTCTTGGTGCTCTCCTGCGTCCCTCGCACAGGAGCACCTAGATGAACACTGCCCAGTCCGCACGGCACGGCCGAGGAAGCTTGGAAGTGCGGCGCGGGTCTTCGCGGAGCTTCGACGGTGTCGTTATCAGGGTCGTGTGGACGCAATTCCCACTCGTCGTTGGCGCCTTCCTGACGCGGCGCTAGCGCGATGGCGTTCACCAAACAAATACCCAGAGGGTGGACTTGGCTCTGCAGCAGTAATGACCACCGACCGGGACCAAGCTCCAACAAGCATGGACCGCTCAATACCAAGAACGGGGGCTCCTGATCTGCCTGGTACCTGCCTGGAATGCAAGGGATACGAGGCGGGGTCAGTGTGGCGGTTGGTTGCAGACCTGCCATGAACAGCAAGGCCAACAGCGATTGCGCGGGAACCGGGTCAGCGCACGCGGCGAGAGGATTCTGGGTTGATTGCAAGCTCATTGCATCATTTGGCGCGAGCACATAAAGTGGCCAGCGTCCGGGTGAAGAAGGACCTGTGGCTACGCGTTCTTGCCCAGAGGTCCCTCGGTCTACCTCTCCGCCGGCATCAGCTTCAGCACTGCACGCAACCAGCTCCGTCCACCATGCAGATGCTCGCGTCCGCGTTGCTGGCGGCAGCAATGGCTGCGCACGCGGTTGTCGCGTCGCCAATCCAAGCGCGCTCGCCCTACGCCGTCAAGGAGACGCACTTTGCGCCACGCGAGTGGACCAAGCTCGACCGTGCCAATGGCAACAAGTTGGTGCAATTGCAAATTGGCCTCAAGCAGGGCAATATGGATGGGTTGCTTAAGCATCTTGACCAAGGTGAGCGACGCCGCAGACCATCAACGCAATTGCATTCGCTGATCATAGGCAGTCTCGGACCCGGACCATGCGCGCTATGGAGCCCATTTGAGCGCCGACGAGGTCGACGAAATGGTCCGACCCGCCAAGGAGACTTGCGATCAGGTCGAAGACTGGCTGCGCGAAGCCGGCGTCGGCGACGTCAGCTACAACACGGCCAAGGACTGGATCACTGTCAACCTGCCCATTGACTTCGTGGAGAAGCTCCTCGACACCGAGTACCACGACTACAAGCACGAGGATGGGTCCATCATCTCTCGCACCACGCACTGGTCCCTCCCTCGCCACCTGCACGGGCATATTGATGTCATCCAGCCGACTACTTCCTTCTTCCGTGGAGCCGCCAACGCTGCCACCTATGTCAAGACCATCGACAAGGTGCACGAGGAGGTTGCCAGCTTGAGCTTGGCCAACGGCCAATACGAACCCACCGAGATCTCAAAAGTGTGCAACGTCAGCTCAGTCACGCCAGAGTGCTTCCAGACCCTCTACAAGACTAAGGGATACAAGACCAAGGCCGCGCACAAGAATAGCGTCGGCTTCACCAACTACCTTGAGGAAGTGCCCATCAGGCCCGACACCGAGCTGTTCCTGAAGAAGTACCGCCCTGAAGCCGTGTCTTCGGCGAAGGACTTCAAGACTTACTCCATCAACGGCGGTCCCTTGAACGATGGGCCTTTGACCGAACAGGAGCTTGCCGACGACAAGAGCCACGAGGCCAATCTCGATGTCCAGGCCATTGCTGGAATCAGCTACAAGACTCCCATTGTCAGTTACTCTACCGGCGGCCGTCCTCCGTTCATCCCGGACCTTACTGTGGTGGAGAACGATAGCGAGCCGTACCTCGTCTGGGTCAACTGGCTTCTCCAGCAGCGCTCTATCCCCAACATCATCAGCACCTCGTACGGTGAACCTGAGCAGACCGTACCCCGCAGCTACGCCGAGCGCGTGTGCAAGCAGTTCGCCGCCGTTGGAGCTCGTGGCACCACTCTATTCTTTTCCTCCGGGGATAGGGGCCTCGGAGGAACCAACAAGTGCTACAGCAACGACGGAAAGAACACCTACAAGTTCCTTCCTGCCTTCCCTGCGTCCTGCCCTTATGTCACGACTGTCGGCGCCACCAAGAACTTTGAGCCAGAGGAGTCTGCGTACCGCGCTGCGCGCAACGTCTCTGGCGTCTTCCGCGACTTGTACTCCAGTGGCAGTGGCTTCAGCGAGTACTTCAAGCAGCCCACTTGGCAAAAGGATGCGGTCCCCAAGTATGTTAAGAGCATTGGGGACCTCTACAAGGGCCTTTACAACCCCCGCGGCCGCGGCTACCCGGACCTCGCCGCGCAGGGTCTCTACTTCGCATACTTCTGGAATGGCACTGAAGGCACCATCAGCGGTACTTCGGCGTCGACACCGCTCACTGCTGGCATCTTTGCCCTCGTGAACGACGCCCTCATCGCGTCGGGCAAGCCTACGCTGGGTTACCTCAACCCGTGGCTGTACAAGAAGGGCTACAAGGGACTGACTGACATTACTATCGGTTTCAGCTACGGCTGCAATGTCCAGGGCTTCCCAGTGACGAAAGGCTGGGACCCGATCACCGGCTTCGGTACCCCAATCTTCCCAGAGCTCGTGAAGTTGGCTGGGGGCAAGGGTGTAGGTTATTAGAACTGCTTTGGATGCCGCATGGGCTGGTTGCTAGACTAACTCCCTGCCTACTTCCAATTGATAATATCGTTTTTGACATAAACTTATCTTCAGTTGGCCTGTATGATGTGAAGTATTGTACAGTAAAATTGGAGACCATTCGGCAGCGCTTTCCTCAGTTAACTTGCAACACTAGATTAACATAGGCTAGCGCAAGCCACTGAAACGTATGGTCGCTGACGCTACCTCTTCACCCACTTCAAATGCTGATCAGACACACGCGCACAAGACGGGCAGCGATGTGCGGACGATAGTCAACGGTGCATTGCGACGGACTAATACCAACGCTTCGCCATCGCAGCGTCCCAGCATCGCACCATGCGACAGTGGAGTGCAAGAACGAGGCCTCCCCGACCTTCTGCCTTTTCCACCGCGAGCACTTCAGTCATCCTCCTGTGTGCGTACCTTGGGAAAATCCCATTGCCGCATGCATGCATGAATAAATTCTCCGATCGGCCCTCAGCGATCGGCGTGGCCCCACACGTTTGACATTCCTGACGTGTCGGACGTTTGGCGTCGTGCGGCCCTTGCGGCGGCAGCATGTTTTTCTTGGGCATACTGTGGGTGATCGTGTACGCTGGGTGTGGTTCCATCTCGTTTGGGCTTCTTTGCAAAGGCATCCGGGCAGCGCTTCGTGGGAGACGAGGAAGTGGCTTGCCGAGGGATGGTCCTTGAGGTGCCGGGGGTGTGTGGATTGCACCGTAGGTCAACTCGTGCTAGAGAACGCTGGGAGTGCAGAGAGTGAGTGCTGGATGGGGACGAGCGTGGGTGGGTGGAAGGGGCTGCGTGGCAGTGCGTGATCGCCTGTTGCGCGTGCGGCTCTTGCGGCACCAATACGTGCTGGGTTGCGTAGGCACTGCTGTGGATGCACCGAACGGCTCAATCCGCTGCGAGCCTGCTGGATTGGGAAGATATCACGAACATCGTGGGAGTGGGACAGGGGAGAGGGAAGTGCATGATCGTCTTCTTGGCGTCTTGCGTATGGTCCATGATGGATGATCAATCACTCAGCTCGAAGATACTGCACAGAAGAAGAGGCTTTGGCGTCTCTTCGCCGATTTTGCGCGGAACTTGAAGGCTTGTATAAAGGTTGGCGTGGGAGCATGGGGTTTTTTCTTCCATCCTTTCTCTTCCTCTCATCTGCTTCTTTGCAAGACGGCCCCGCTTCCCATCCATTCTTTTGCTTTGTACATACTGCTGTGCGGTACCTTCATTACGTCTACTCTCTTTCAGATAATACCCTTACAATCATCTCCATCATGAAGGTCTTCGCCTCCGCTGCTGCGCTTTTCGCTATTCCCCTTGTTGCGGGTGCGCCTATCGTATGTCTTCGCGATGTTGGAATGAGCCATAGTGAAGTTGTTAATATCGTTGCAGGAATCCAAGCGCCAAGTCGACCAACTGCTGCAAGGCGTGACGGGCGCGGCAGGCAACCTCGTTGGCGGCGTCACCGGTGCAGCTGGAGATGTCGTCGGTGGAGTTACGGGCGCGGCGGGTAATGTCGTCAACGGTGTCGGCAACACAGCCGGCGGTGTCGTTGCTGGAGTCACTGGTGCAGCAGACGATGTTGTGCGTGGAGCTACTGGCGCAGCTGGCGGCGTTGCGGGAGGAGTCACAAGCGCAGCTGGAGATGTCGTCGACGGAATCAAGAACACTACTGGCGACGTCCTCTCCGGCGTCACCGGCACCGCTGGTCAAGCAGTTGGCGACGTGACTGGCACTGCGGGCAACCTCGTCTCTGGCCTCACAGGGACGGCTGGAAACGCCGCCAAAGGCGTAGGCAACACCGCGGGTGCGGCGACGCAGGGCACAGGTGGACTGCTCAGCGGCTTGCTCGGACGCGATGTCAAAGATCTCACTGAGGTCGAGAAACGACAGCTCGACTCACTGCTCGGCGGCGTGACAAGCACTGTGGGCGATCTGACGGGAACTGTCGGTAACCTGGCAGGAGGCGTCACGGGTGGGCTCACTGGGGGCTCTAATGCCAACGCGCAGGGTGGTGCTGCTCAGGGTGCTGGGGCAGGAAGCTCGGGTGGCCTGCTCAGTGGACTTCTTGGCCGCGATGTCGAGGAGCTCAGCGAAGTCGAGAGGAGGCAGCTTGATGGCCTTCTAAGTGGACTAACTGGCACTGTTGGCGATCTGACTGGTAGCCTTCTTGGGGGACTTACGGGCGGGAACGGTGGGAATGCGGCGGCTGTTACGGGAGCGAACGGCGATTCTTCGGGAGCAGCAGATGCTTCCGGGGCGGGTGGAGTTGGTAATTTGCTCAGCGGTCTTACGGTAAGTTCTACTCCTCAGTCTACACGCTAGGATCTCAGACTGATTGTCTCGCTAGGGCTCCCTCACCGGATCCGGGGCGAATGCTGGCTCGACGCAGGGCACTGCTGGTACGGGCACGAGTGGCGCTTCAAATGCGAGCGCAGCCGCATAGAACGATCGTTTCACAGTTTGAGCGATACTACGTGTTAAAGTCGAAACGAGACGGAACTTAAAGGAAAGCACACAGATGCGATCCATTTCGGTTCCCAATGGTTGTATATACCCAAGCTAAAGAGCAGTCCAGATCACTGCTACTGGAAAATGGAGACACCCTTTTGCGGTGTATGGCAAATGCTCGATTTCTGGCATGAGCAATTCAATAAATTTCAGGATCTTGTTGACCCTTTCGGTCCACCTGCGACCCTACTTTTGTCGATGCGAAGGAACGAAGCACTATTTGACAATCGCGCGCTTAGGTCCTGGACCATGGAACAATCTGATGTGATTACAGAAAGGCACCGTAGAAACGTGTCTGTCGGTTGGTCTGTGTTTGCAACTCTATAAATTCGAGATATATAATTGGCAGTGTAAGCATGACAGCGTTTTTCGGATGTAATCACCCTGACTCATTTCGTCTCATGGTTAGCCATACCAGGTCATGGAATATATCAACATCAGAATTCGTGTGACAACGCATCAATCTTCCTCTGTGGTCTAAATAACTCCTGAATGGTCAGATACCCTAGGCACAACTACCTCTGCAAGATGTAATGGATATTATGTGTAAGTCTTCCACACCGTTTCCTTCACAATTTCAGCACGACGATGAAAGCTCATCGATTCACTCGCCTTTCCTACTATATGATGCGGAATTGCCTTGTGCATGTATTCGCGGCTTCTGATATGTTCCAACACGTGAAAATTTGCTTCCTGTAACACCATGTTCCTGGCTAATCCAGGGATTTCACAGCTACATGATTCACCACCGCATCTTTTGGAATGAGATAGATAGGCAAGGAGCGCCTATCCACCCGCGTTCAAGGTATTGTTTCAGAAGCCTAGGTCTTCCCTTCCCACTCGAGCATCACATGACATATGAACATGCCAATGCTAGGGTTGGCGTAGAAATCATACATATCAACCTCCACACCCAGGTTGTGCTTTATCAGAAACATAACTTCAACAAGAGCAAACGAGTCGGCGCCTATCTCACTGAAAGTGAGTCCATCTTCGAGTGTCTTTTTATCGATATTTGTCGCGGAGCTGATAATACTGAGGCATTGTTCCATGATGTTTCCAGCACTCAAGGCACCTCTTGGAGGTGCCGGAGGTGGCTCAGGTTCTGAAGCGTCGTAGCCAATCCCGCGTATACAGATACTGGTAGGATGTCCCATCTTACTACTGAAGGTCCACGTATCCGGTCTTCGGCACATATAGATGACGCGGCCCCCCATCTCAGAGTCCAAGTAAGATAGAGCCAGGCTAAGTTGCCGCGGATTCCCGTTCTTATCCTCAACTTGACAATTCAATGTAGCTTCTCGTTGCTTCTTGAAACCATTTCCTTTGTTACTGTAGATTGGCAATGTGATCTGGAGTCCGAGATTCGTCATGTGGAAGGAAGAATTTTCCGCTTTGGACCGTTGAATCTCCTGGCCTAACCGCCTAACATTCCCCGAATTCCGAAAACATGCCGGCGTATTGGCCAGCAGTCGAAACGTGGTCATCCCCGAAATGTACCAAGCAAATATACTTTGATCTGGCGTAGTGCTGAAGATCTCTTGTTGTAACCTCACAAAAGCTTTCTCTAAACCCTCTCCATATATAATGGGCATATGGATGCCAAACAACCCCATCAAGCTGTACGCCCAGTCCTCCGGCCTGGAGGTCTTTCTGCTGGATGCCCAGAACATACGCTGCGATACGCAAGCCTGCTCAAGCCGTTTCTGGCCTGTAATGAATGGTTCAGGGATTTGCGTTATTCGTGATACCCACTGAGTGACATCTAGCCACGCCTTCAATCTGGCGTACTTCTGGTTGTCATTTTCGCGAGGAACAATATGATAAACACTGTTAAAGTTGCCTATCTGGCCAAACACGGTCCAGTCCTGGGCGAAGAACAGGATTTTACAGGGAGCCAGCAACTCCTGCAGAGTCCAGCCGCGCGTAAACCATTTGCTGTTTGCGAGCGTGTCATAGTCATAGAGACCACCAGGAACGTCGGATAAGTAGACGTAACAAATTTCAGAGTGTTTGTACCAGGGAAACATGGAGTTGATGGCTTCGGAAAGCTCTGCACTGCTTCGCTTGTCTATGCAACAAGAATCCACCCATGCCCAATTATATCCATCTTTTTTCGCGCGAGCACAACATCCCCCGATCTTGGAGAAGCCCGCTTTAGCCTTGGCCTGGTCCCGATACTTTTTTTTCTTCATCTCCACGAAGGATACTTCTTCCGCGCCCCATGTATGGGAGAGTATTGCGTAGGGCGGGATATCGGTGCCAATGAACTCTTTCAGCTCCAGACTATCGACGCTGAGCAGCCACATCTCTAGGCTGAACGACAAAGCGCAAAAAAAAGAATGAATCCAGTTTGGGTTTTCTAATTGGATGTTTTGTGAAGTTCGATATGTCTGGAGGCCCATAGAATGGATTTTCGGCGCAATCAGCGTCGTGGGAGGCTGCCTAGAAGCGGGGCTATGTTACACAGAATCAAGCGACTGATGGTCAAATGTCGTTGGCTGGGTCTGCATTGGATTTCGAATTCGTGACGGAGGCTATCACCAAGCATTTCCATATACTGACCGATCGTACATCGCGGTACAAGAAAGTGATGTATTAATTATTTCCATGAACGAGCTAACAAGTTAGATGCGATGCGCTTCTGAAGCCATCTTGAAAGCTAAACCCTCCATTTTTTATGTCCCATGCACACCCACCAACGATGCTTACACCCAATCAAATCAACCAGATACCTACTTCCATACTGCCGTGACCTGAGCCCATACACTGACCCAACGCCGTCCGACATCCACTTGACCACTCGGCCCAGCCGCGCTGTTGACTGAACACCGCTGCCTACTTTTTCTCTCAGCCAGGTCCCCGTACCAGGCGTTGGTGTGAGAGACAAGCACTGGAAAGCTCTGCTCCATGATGTGCGGCACGATACACGAGCAGAGCGTGTGCGGAAGCGAGGAAAAGCGGTTGACACCAGGCAGCCAGAACGCCGACGGATAGGACAAGCAGGAGACAGACGGCTAGTCTGTGGGGGTGGAAACCGGGGCTTGAGCAGACGAACTCTGGCCATTGCACGTGGACACGGCAAAAGACCCAACAGGCAAACGGGTAACGAAAATATGTGCCTTTCTGCCCCTACCTCTCTCTCGCTCCGAATCCATCAAACATTACTATAACACCCTGGCTAATCATACCCTATCCCAACAAAAGACCCGCTGACTCGCTCGCTGAAACAAATTGTGACCGCAGATGAACGCCTTCGCAAATGCCATGCCCACAAGCCATGCCATGCCATGCCCGTCTCTAGCAGCATCTCATGCGATTTTACACACGCACGCACACACAAACCCAAAATACACGCCAAAATATATCCTTTGGAAAAAGACACTCCCATCATGCCCTCCCCTCCATCTTCCTCTCTTACATGTTACTGCTTCTTAGTTCAGTATTGGGAGGCTCAATCACGCAGCCAGCCCCGACTAGCCTGGCTCGCGCGACTCGGACTCGTCCGGCTCCGCTCATCCTCCTCCATGACATCGCTCAAGCGCGTCGGGTGGTGATGCCGCATGCCCACCCACTCACTGCCATATCCATCGCCGCTGTAATCCGCGGGCGCCTGGCTCACGCCCGACCCCGTCCCCATCGTCGCGGTGCTCCCGTACACCGTGGTCGCGGTACTCCCGTACCGATGCAAGTGCTCGAGCTCCCTACGCCGGTCCTCGGACACATCTTCATCGTCCGAGTCCTGCTGCTGCTGCTGGCGCAGCGCGCGGAACGGGACGCGGTGGCCTGCGGCGTCGAGGATGTAGTTTCCATTTTCGTCGATGGCGTATTCGTCTTCGGCGTCGGAGGGGTCCTCCTCCGGGTGGGAAAGGATGGTGGAACGCTCGTCTTCGGGGGAGGCGGCGGAGTCGCGGTGGAGGTAGACGTCGGGCTGTTGGTAAAAGGCTTCGGGTTGGGAGGTGCGTGGGTCTTTGGAGAATGGTTGCTGGGGAGCGGGAGGGCCTTGGTGGCCGCTGGATGCTTGCTGGGGGCGGAGAGGCGCGGGGATCTGCGGCTGCTCCGGGGCTTGGGAATACCCAGGCTGGTATAGAGTGGACGGACCGGCACCTGAGGGGACGTACGTGCCCTGGGCGACCGGTTTGGCCTCAGGTTCGTGCCGCCGTCCTTCGGTAAAGGGGTCTGTGTCAGTCGGTGACTGACCTTCTTCGTAGGAATAATGCTGCTCGATCCCTTGGCTAGCTGAGCTTGCACCGTACGTATCGTCTCCGTGCGAACGGACGCTGCCATGCCTTCCCATGGCTTGGGCCGTCGGAAGCACCTGGACGCCGCCTATCATGGTAGGTTGGCCTTCTCGTAAGGAAAAGACACGGTCACGCTCCTCCTGCTCACGTCGTCCAAGCTCTTCCCACGCTCGTCTTGCTTCTTCTTTAGATATTTGCAGTTCACGCTTCATCTCCTGCACAGATCGTTCGGCATTTCTCTTCTCCGTGGACAGACGCTCCATATCGGCTACGGCCTGGTTTCGGGCGGCACGTTCATCTCTTATTGTGTTCTCGAGCTGTGCTTCGCGTTCTTGCGCCCGCTCCTGTTCTTGTCGATGGTCATAAAACCATCGCTGGAACTTGCGCTCCGATGATGCTCGAAGCCGTTGCAACTCGACGACAGCATGAAATAGATTTGCGCCTGCAGCAGAGAGATCCGTGATCTGGCGGGACATCTGCTGAGCAAGGGGTGCGCCGCGCACCTCGTCTGTATTTTGCTCCAATCGCCGTATCCAGTAGGAAGTGAGCCCTTCCCAATGGGACGAGAGGGTCTCCCATCGTTCAAAGGCATGTGGGAATGTCGAAACCGTAGACTGGCGCTGCTGGGAGGAGGAAGAAGCACCTGGAAGGGCCGACGCAGCTGCAGGGGCAGAGGAAACAGGCTGCGCTGACGCAGCAGGAGCAGAGGGGTTTCTGGCGTGCTGGGCGGGCGGTGGTCGTCGCGAGGAGCCAGCTTGTGTAGTAGAGGGTTGCTGAACAGGACGAGGCTGTTGCTGCGATTGTGAATTTGCACGCGGCCTATTCGACTGCGCGCCGGATGTTGTATCTTGTGCGCGCCCTGATGGTGGCAGTGTGGCCGCCGCTGGAGGTGCAGGTTGCCTCGCAGACGCACCCTGTGGCCCGTACGAGCCATAGCCGCTGTCGTACGTTTGCTGTGGTTGCGGTTGTCTTTGGATCCCCGCATCGGGATTCATGGGGGCGCCTGCAACGCCAGCAGCTTGAGCTCTCCGTTCTGCACTTCTCCTCCGCTCTTCTCGTGCCTCTTGCGCCTTTCGCTCCTCCTCAGCCTCTCGCCGCGCTTCTCGCTGGCGACGATTGTTCATGATCATTTGCGGCGTCACAATGTTGGGGCGGTCTTCCTTGGTGACTGGAAACGGTCCACCAGCGCGCGCGCCGGCATTGGCAGCGCGGCCGTTGCCCCCAGCTGTCAACTCCGCCATGGACGCGTTCTCCTCGGCGAGATCTGGGGTGAAGGGATACGGAGTCCGGATGGCTTCTTCGAGCACGAAGTGGATCGCAGACGCAGTCCGCTGGGAGATGCGGAGCGCGGGGTGCGGCTCGAATTGCGGGTCTGAAATGCGGGCGCGAAAGCTGTCCGAGGGACCGGGGCTCAGGTGCGAATACTCGGCAGCGAAGCGGACAGTGCGCTGTTGGGGTTCGGGCGCGGGGTCGGCTGGCGGTGTGCGGTACCGTTGGCGGACGTCTTCGATGTTCGGGGTGCGCCTGAGGGTGTGGGCGGCGCTGCCCTCGGAACTCGAGGCTCGCGAGTAGTTGTGCTGGGCCCTGAAGAACTCGGCAGCCTGCTGCTGGCGTTGCTGCAACGATGAGATATAAGGCTCGAATGCGGGAGGGTCGTTATCGTGGGTATCGTCAGAGATGGGCTGCGTGCGTTGGTACAGGGTGGGCGCGTCGGGCGCCGGAGTCGTCAATGTGGCGAGCCCGGACTGCTGGTGCGCAATCGAGCACCGCCAGAGGCGACGGCCGCCGGGACGACGGGGAGGACGAGTGGTGGTGGTGTTGGGCGACGGGGCAGCTGGTGGAGCGCTGGGTCCGAGGGGGCGCGCGCAGTGCTGGGACTAGCGGGCGGGCTGGAGGGATGCTGCAATGCCTGGAGAGCACGCTGTTAGTGAAGGCGATGGCAGGGAGCAGTGCCATTGCAGGGCGCGCAAGATAATAGCTGGGGGGTTGGGGTGGTTGGTGCGGTCGTGGGCCGTAATGGGGAGGCTGGGACGCGCTGCGAGACGACGTATACTTACGCTGTCGCAAACAAGAAACGCCCCACGAGTCGCCGGGCATGCTTCACCGACTCTTTTGCGCGAGTGCTTCTGCGCGGCGCGAGCGTTGTCGCCGCCGGTGCGGTTGCGTCTTGCCGCGCGCGCTGCCAGGTCGTCGCGTATCGAGACAGCAGCCCACGTCACCGCCGGGCCCTCACCTGCTCTCCACTCACGTCTGCTCGCCGGCAACCAGCCACAGCGGCTGTGCGGGCGGCGACAAGGCGCTGCGCTGCGACCGAGGCGACGAGACGGCGGCGGGCAATGGGTCTGGAGGCAGGCGTGGTCAGGCGCTGGGCATGGTCGAGGGTCGCGGGTCGCAGGTCGCGGTTGGGCAATGGCGGCGCGGATTGCTCCTGGGATGCCGTCGACGGGTCAATTGGGAGCCTGCAGCGCTGCGTAGCGGATGCACGCGCAATTGACAGTGTGCGCTGCACCTAGGCGACGAGTGTCATCAGGGCTGTCCGTCGTGCCAGCGCATGTTGCATACTTGGCGCCATGTCCCCATGTCGCCCGAGGCTCGGTTCGGAATGGCTCCCTCTGCCGTGGCTGGCGAGACAGAGGAGCGCGGCGGCGTGTTCATTGCATGGCCAGCGAGACACGCGAGGGCAGAGGTCCATGGAGATGGAGACGGAGCGTTCCTGCAGCACGAGACTTGACAAAGGCAAGCAAGGATGCCCGCCGACTGAGACACCGTTCTCGCCATGACTTCTCCCTCGCCTTTGACCCTGCGGGGCAGCCAATCACCGCCGCAAACAGCCCTTTCCCTCGCATCGGCCCTATGCTAGCATTGCGGGAGATTGGGACGCTACATGACATCAAAGAGCCTCGGTTGCTCGACGCGAGTAAGGTATCTGTCCGTGTGTCAAAAGGGCTTCCTCGTGGAAGCGAAGCGCACCGAAATCTCGACTCCCTTATTGTACGCACGCGCGGCATTCTCGAGTTCACATGCAAAGCTCAGGTACACGAACTAAGACAGCCAACGTCACCGCACTTTCGACTCCCAAGTCGGCACATACATGTCATTTCTGTTCATTGAGGACTTTTTGCATGCTCGCGCAATACAGGAACTCGGGCAACACTTTTGTATTCACCATATAATCAAAATCCACCCAAATCATCAAGCCCGTCCATTCATCATTTCTGAACACACAAGGAAATCAAGAACAAGCTCCGAAGACAAGCTGCAGAGAAGAATCCAGACACCTTCCACTAAAACGTCGACAGGAGAAGAACGCCCGCAACAAGAACCACAACACTGTTCAAGCCTATGCTGAACCTGCTCGCAGCACCCTCAAAAAGAGGCGGTGGGTAGGAAGGCACGGGAGCACCCGTGGAGCTTGCCGCGCCCTTGGTGCTGCTCGCCATTCCGCTGGGCACGTATGCCGCAGTGCTGTTGACAGGGACGTAGGGCGCAGCAGTAGCTTCGTAGCTAGGGGCCTCGGACGCGGGGGTTGGGACAACCGTGACGTATAATTTGCTCGTCGCACCAATGCTCTCCTCACCTGCATCCATGCCAGGAACAGGGACGTACGCCGCCTTGGAGGGCTTGGCTTCGAGGTAAGAGCCCTTGCCTGCAGAGTAACCTGCCGGAGCAGATGGAGCATAGTACGCCGCTTCCGAGGGAGTCGGGTAGGGCTTGGTCAGAGTGACAGTCGTGGTTGCTGGTCCGCAGTGGGTGCAGACAGTAACAGTGGTGTACCAGCCCTCGGGAACCTCGTTGGACGTAGGCTTGGGGGCAACACCAGTGTATGTCTTGGTGACGGTCGCAGTGATGGTCGTCAATCCAGTCTCGCAGACATCGACGTACGATGTGGTGTAGGTGGTGGTCTTAGCTGCGGCAGGAGATGAGGCGGCATATCCAGGCTCGCTAGTAACGGATGGTTTGCTGTGACTTTGGCTAGACTCCACAGGGTACGACTTGGAGGTGTGAACAGCATAGCCTTCAATCGTCTTAGAGGTAGGCACGCCGTAACTGGGTCCAGTGTAAACAGGGTAGCTATGCTCAGGGGTCGACGAATCAGCTGTGGGATAGGCAGAGTACGAGCCGTTGGAAGGTGCCGAAGAAGAGCTGATGATGCTGGCAGAAGCAATACCCGTGGGCACAGGCGTAACAACGGTGCTGCTCACGGAAAGGACGGAGGCGCTGGGAGTTACGGTCGAAGCTGATCCAGTGCTGGAAACGCCACGTGAAGAGGAGATCACGCTGCTTGAAACCACACTGCTTAAAGGAGGGGCCGCACTGCGCGAAGAGATGTTAGCTAACCTAGTGGAAGACGCAGACTTCGACGTGGAGACTGCCTTCGATGTAGAAACAGCCTTAGACGACGTAGGCTTGACAGACGAGGACGAAGGCTTGGCAGAAGTCGTAGGTTTGACAGAGCTGCTAGGCTTGACAGAGCTGGTGGGTTTGACAGAGCTGGTGGGTTTGACAGAGCTGGTGGGTTTGACAGAGCTGGT